AGGAACTGATGTAAAAAGGTATTCAGGGGTCTGTCTAGGTTTTTCTGACAGGTACCTATTTTGTGAAAATTTAGACGTAATTTGTGAAAAATTAAAAATTATATTAAAAAATCAACACAAAAATATGGATTTATCGTTTCTTAAGGGAGACAAAAATAAAATTTTAAGAAAAAGTATTTTGTGAAAATACCGTTTTTCCTAAAGTTGAATTTGTGAAGGTACCGCTAAACGGTATTAAATTCGGCCTGGACAGACCCCTTTCTTTACTGAACTTATGTTCAGGAGTTGCGGTTCGTTTTCAAAAGCCAATGTCCATGCAACCAAATATTTACGGAACAGTCAAGTTTCGTCGATATTGTAAATTAACTTGTTCATATCAAGGTCCTTTTGATTCCAAAAAGTTTTAAAATTCCATTTTAAAACCTTCTGCAGCTTGAATGTCACCACTTAGTTTCTCACCTGAAAGACTGATTTCATGGATCCTGTGATGTTTTTTAAATCGTGTCAACCATCATGATGATGCATCGATATATCCTTCTAGATCTAGCATTTCAAAAAATTGTTTTGCTTTTGCAGAAACAATCGGACCAGAAATAGGAATTCATCACTTCTAATTTGCATTATCTATTGCAAGGGAGTCGCTTCTAGCTCTTCATATATGTGTTAGTTTTCATAGTTTTTCTTTTTTTCATTGATGAAGAATTATCTGACGTAGATGCAAATTCAATTGATTTAAAAGTTATTCATTGTGAATCTTATTCACGCGATTTAAAAATCGTGCATCAGTATTTGTGTTAACGTGATTCAAAAATCCAATATCTTGTTTTGTTTTTACAAATTTTAGAAATCAATATCGCTATTCGTATTCACGCGAGTTTAAATCCAATGTCACTATTTGTACTGACGGGATCTAAAAATCATGTGTTGTGATCTGTATTTACGCGATTCAAAAACTCGCTATTGTAATTTGTATTTTCACATTTATAAATTCATATTCTCCCTATTTTAAAACCCAATTTCGCAATTTGTATTTTCGCGTTCTTAACATCCAATATCGAGATTCATATTGACACGATTTTAATATTCAATATCGCGATTTTTGTAAGAACAAAGTTTTTTCCTAAATCAGTTATTATAAAAGGTAGTATTCTTTATTGGTAGATCATTTAATTATAAATCGCAGCTCAAAAAATTTTAATGAACATGAGTAGTATATAAATTGGCAACTTCTTAAATTTTGCGTTGGTAACTTTTGCATACTCTTCAATTGTTTTTTCAAGTTTGCAACTTTCAGGTTTTTTCGCTTATTGTCACAATCACCCTTGATGCATGCATTTGAGTGTATAAATTAGTAAAAAAAAAAAACATGTCAACTTAAGAAAAGCAGTTTAACTTCATATAGTTTTCAGTAATTAATCTCTCCCAAGTGATTAATTTTTACTAAAAGTCTAATTAGCTCTGGCACAAACAGTACTGTGATGGTATAAAAAGGAAACATCCTCAGGATCAAATAAAATTATTTTATTTATATATTATTCGAGTTCATAACTAATGATAATGATCATTTATAGAGAATAAATGTTTCTTAATATTTGTGCTTAATATGTTTATTTTTTAACTGAGTAATTAATCCCAATAATTAACTCTTTTTTATAACAAAAGGAATTTTAAATAGTAGCGCATCAATAGCTCCAAAAAATAACAGAATTTTTAGAAACAATTGTTAAGATTTCACCATTCTTCTTTAAAATCTGATCTGCTGTTTTGGTGGGAAAGGTGCTAAAATTCAACATTAAAACCTTCAAGCAATAAAGGTAGTATTTTATGAATGAAATAAAATTTACTTAATTAGTTTTAAGCAAATTATTTGAAGATTTTGAATTATCTATATTGTTTGTTTTGTTGGTTACTTAAGTGCTTTTTTTTTTTTTTTTTTTTTTTTTTTTTTTTTTTTTTTTTTTTTTTTTTTTTTTTTTNTTTTAACTGGATAAAAATCAATTGAATTTCTTTTTGAATTGTTAATATTATAATTTTGCTAAGTTTAAATAAAAATCTATGTTAATAGTTTTTACAGATTATTTATTTCTATATCATTGCAATTATTCTAAATACAATTTATAGCTTTATCCTTCGTTTTTAATGTGCCCTTCCCGTAAACAGCAAATATCTTAAAAGGGAAAAAAATTAGATTCTGCTTAGCTGAGGTTTCACTGTATTCCTTTTTAGTTTGTTTTTGCATGTTGTGTTACGTAAGTGATGTGCCGTGACATTGAAAAATTAATTGATTCTCTACTGCTGTATTGATTTATACTGATGTTGCATGATGTTTAAATTACCAAAAAAAAAAATTGTGTTTTTATGTGTGGACAGGAATATTACCTATTCACATGCTACTACCTAGTTGCACTTTGGAGGCTTTGGTAGTAGATTAAAAAAATATATAAAATGGATAGTCTTGGAGTTAGATACGAATAATATCTTATTTGCTTACCCCCTTTTATGTGTGCCATTATCTGATATTTGCCAAAGCTTGAGGAACTTGATAAATTAACTCATAAAAATTTCCATATTGGAATCTACACAAAAGTGGCCCTCAAGTTTTAGAGATAACCATGCAGTGGCACAGAACAAAGTACGAAAAAATCATAAGAGGAATATATCTGCATCTACTGCCGAGTTAGCTACTTTACACTTTTTTAATTTATCACAATTACAAGAACTGAGTAGTAACAACTTATATGCTTTTTCTTTACCTTTGAACATTTAACTCTTTTTTTATTTTTCAAATAACTTGAAAATCCTTACTGATTTTTACATTGCATACCTGCTGAATCTCATCACCGTATATGTTATTTAATTTTACTTTTTGCTATAGACGCCTACTAGTCTTATTGTAAGAAGTAAGAAATATTACTCAAATATAGTTATTATTTTCAACATGTTTTTTATCAAAATGCAGTATACTTTTTATTTATTTATTCTTTTTTGTGAAATGTAGTTAACCTGATAAATTTAATGTATGGATGTTATTTATGTATACTAAACTATATATTTATGTATATTGCAACTTATTATTATAAAATGTACCAATTTTGTTCATATTAAAAGTTTATATATTTGAAACTTATCATTTTTAAATTTTTGGAACTATTTAGAATTTTATACTACTATGAGAATCAATTTCATAGCCTCATATAATTCCGTAAAGGTCTATATTATGTAGAATTATATAAAGGTAAAGATTCCTACAGTAGCCCATTGTTAGCCAGGTGGTCATCGCTCCACAATTTTGTGACATCTGTGGCAGAATTTTTTCAAGCTTTCTGCAACAATTTTCGTGTACACTAATTTGTAATAGTAATTTTTTAATTTATTTTTAATACTAATACTATTTACACTAATTTTTAATTTTTTAAATATTCACCACATTAAAACTTGATAAAATCTTGGAAGTAACTACTGAAAAAAAGATTGACAACGAAATCACGTGAATCACTCTTCAAAAAGGTTTTACTCAAAGGAGTGTTTCATTTAAAAATCAGTTTGTTGTAATAAATAATATCGTATTAAAAACATTTTACGAACTTTCTGAAAATCAATGGGAATAACTGTCGAAAAAACAATAAGATCATTGTGTTAAAAAGTAAATACTCTAATGTGTGATATGAATTCCTCATATTATGTAAAATATATCAGGATCTTTAAAAACCATGTATAAATTAGTAACGCTGTCAAAAATCCACAATGACATCAGCTTGAATTGAGCTCATCAAAAAGTGATAAGGTATTTAAATGCGCAATACAAATTTCATGAGTCTAAATGATATCAAATGAGAAAAACTACATGGAAATCATTAGCAATAATTGCCGAAAAGAGTAAAACGGTGGAATCGCCATTTTAGAGGTAAATTAATTAAATTTATGTATTGTAATAAGATCAGCATTTTTTTTAATAGATAAATCGTAAGAATATCAATAATAATTATTTAGCAATGAAAGACATCGGGATTTTGAAAAACCAAATGAAAATTCGTAGCAATAATTGCCCATAAACATTACAAACACTGCATACATTAGCAATGGAATCGGGGGTGAACTGTGAGCGATGAAGTGAAGGCTTAAATACGTTATTTAACATTTTCATGTGCTAATGTCAAGTTGAAAATATTTCAATCGAATAAAAAAAAAGGAAGGACAAATATACCGCAGAAATGATTTATTAATTAATTTACTATAAATCTAAATATGTATCAAAATACCCACTCAGTCATATTTTATTAAAATGAAGTATTTTATAAAAATATTTCTAGGGCAAACTATTTTTAAATTTTCGTGATATTGGAATTACTTTTTCTAATATCTATGTGAAATTCAAGCTAAACCCCCTCTGTCATGCGAGAAAAGCATATTTTGAAAATAATTTTGTAATAAAGAAAAGCAAACATAATTCAAAAAATTCTGAAGAAAAAAAAATCATTTGAAAAATTCTGCTGATAAGAAAACCAAACTTTTTGGTTCCCAAATGAAAACTCTTTTCTGCAAGAACATTCTGTGACAATGTCTCCATGATTCTGCCACAGGGTTTGTGACCAATGAGACAATTTTTGCAATGTGGTCAGCATTGTGCACAAGTCATCTTTAGTTCCAGACCAGCCGGCACCCATTAAATGTTTAGAAGAATATTCCCTTTTGAATACTTTACTACAAGAAGTACAGGCAGATTGTTCAACAAAAAATACTTTTTAAGATCTTTTTTGTAAGAAAAAAAATATCTAGATCACCAAAATTTTTCGTATTCCTATTGTTGAAATTTCTTCATTACATACAATTTACAAATTGCGAAAATATTTTCAGAGACTTTGCATGATCATAATAAAATAGTTTCTGTCTAAGTACTCTATTGAATTTTTTAACCACCATAAAAACTTCATGCATAATTTTAAATATGTTCCATATATAATTTCTTCTGTTCTTTAAAATAACTACTTTATTCAATATTGTAAAGAAAAATAATTTTACTTTAAAGTTACAATTTGTTGCATTTTATTTTAGAGAATAAAACAAAATAAGAAAAACTAAATAAATTCAAATCAAAAATGTAAATTACTGAATGGACCCTTATGAAATTTTTATTAAAAATTATAATTTGATTCAATACACCTTTAATCAAATAATTAAAAAATAGTTTCAATAATTTTGAAACGTAAACAAAGTAATGTAGCCTAAAGTAAATGACAATTTGGTCCCTTCATTATATTTAACAAATCTGAAATGTATCGTTAATTTCAATTGCCTTTAAATCAAATGATAAAGGGATTTTTTTTTTTATATAGAAATGAGAAATATGAACCACAAAAGGTTTCTTACTGTTGCTTAGTATTAAAAAAATGAAGATCCCCTAACTTTTTTAAAATCTTCTCAAAAAAAAATTTTGAGTTTTTATCAATAACTCAGTAGCACCAAACCATTTGATAGTAAATCAATAAAACTACCATAAAATACTTTATACAATTATTGGACGCTCTTTGGATACAAGTTCTCGCGATTATAAAATTGTAATTCTTATATTTATTAAATCAAATGAATATAAGAAACACAAAAAGTTTGAAACTCTGTGAATGTTCAATTATATTATATTGAAGTTCCCTTAAATGTATTTTTTGCTCTTGAAATAAAATACTAAGTATCAATCTAAATAAAATCTTATAAAATTAATATTTATAAGATGCAACACAGAAGTTTTGGATTAAGCAAATCGCAAAGCAAGAATGTGAAATTAAGTTTTCTATCAAAAATCAGTTAGGGAAACCTTATGCTTGAATAATTACAAATTAACTCAGTTTGATTATTGTTGTTTCCTAATGTAAAATTAAATAGACTTTCAGGACATTCACATTTTTAAATACAGAAATAACTCCCGATTAATTATGATCTATCTGATTATGGGGGACGCAGGCATCCAATTTCTGAGAAGGACGAAATTTAAGTACTAATTCACCATACTTATCTAAATTTTACACATAAGAAAAATTTTCTTACATCTATCAAATCTGTGCAAAAGAATTAATTATATTTTTGCTTCTTGTTTTTAACTTTGATGAATTTAGATCAATTGATGTTTGATGCTAATTTAAATCAATGATAATTCGTGAACTTTTAGTATTGAGCGCTGCCAGCGATACCCATGGTTCTGATTATAGAACAGACTCTTTTGTGGGAAATTTTTGTGACTGCAAATCAGAGTTTGTTGAATTCAAATTATTTTCTTTTTAAACGAAATCAATATTTAAAAATTTACAAAGCATTTTAATATGAGAATCTTTACATTCTTGGTTAATTTTTATAGTCTTAAAATTTATTGTAAATATATTGCCATATTAATAAATTTCAGTTAACTTTGATAAGTACTTGGTGTTTAAAAAATTACAGTGTTTTTGAAACAATATTTTAGATAACTTTTTCTTTTAACTTTTCAAAATACAAATGAAGTACAAGTTTATACAATATTAAGAGGAAGTTAACCTTATCTGGGATTAAAAAATAGTTCATTAAATTCAAACTGTCTTTTCTCATAGTGCATTTAAACAGGTTTCTTACAGTCCAGTTTTGTAAAATGAGAAAAATTAACAGAAACTGCGAGAAACTCGGAGCAGACAAAGAAGACAAAATTAAGGAGTGAAAGGTGATAGGTCATCTCTCAAGGCCTATTTTTCAAATATCATTTTTTTATTTTGTTAGCATATTTATGAAAAAAGAATGAATATATTTTAATAGCCTATTGAAAACAATTAATAGCTAAAAAGGTTTATATAAAATACTTTTGATTGGTTTAGATACTCTTAATTTTGGACTTAATATTTGGTCCTTTGTTTCAAATAACCAAAAAAACGAAAATAAAAAAAGCATGATATAAGGTTTTTATGCAGAAAAAAAAAAGATTTTTTCTCAACCCTGATAAGTCTAAATAATAATTATTATTTAGACTGATATGATGGTTGATGGTATATTTCAGAACTCAGAGAAAAAGATTTAAAAATAATTTGCTAGATAAAAAAATATTAATGTCTTCATATTTTAAAAATATGAAGACATTGAAATGAAAATTTTCATTATTGATACTCAAAAGATATATTGATGGGTTTAATATCTGTATATTTAAAACACATTACATATACTTTTATGCCTCATTTAATACAATAAAAAGTCCATATTATTGAGTAATTTTTACAAAAAAAGGCAATGGCAGAGTAATATTAAATGATTAAATAGAATACAGGTTAAAAATCAAAATATAATAAAGAAAAAAAACAGTTGCCAAAACATTTTTATTATTATTTCCAGTGTATAAGTTTACAAAATTTGAACTTAACACATCCATAACTAATCAAGCAAAACTTTTGATTTTGGAAAATAAATAAAAAGAAACCTATTCAATACTTATGGCCCCTTCAGATTATATGTAAATACAAATATAAAATTAAAATACACATAAAAATATATAAAATCATTGTAAGTATGTATCTAAAATTAACTGGAATTTTCAAACATAGCTATTTAAAAATGTCAGTTTAATATTAATATTTTGATGATATCTAGACAAATATTATTAAAAAAAGTTCATAATTGTAAACTTATCAAACTACCTTTGATCAAATAACATACATTTTAGATTATGTAAAGTGATATGATTGATTACAAAAAAAGTTAATGAAATACAAATTAAAACTCTACATCTATCTAAGCAAATATTAAACTTCAATTTTGAGGTATTCATTTTTATTTAGATCTTTAGTTATAAGTCCATTTTTCATGGGGGAAAAAATTCAGAAGGGCTTAATTAGCATCCTGAATAAATAGCCTTATGTTATAAATCTGATTAAACAATCAATAACTACCAAAAACTTGGTTTAAAATTAAAAATTATTTATATTTTAAATATACAGCACAGTTAAGCAAACAAAATTTATTTAATTTTGTCTACAAATATAGCTATCTGCTTTTCAACTTCTCGTTGCAACTCTCGTTCTGAAGCTCTAGGATGTTCTTTGACATACTGACTTATAGCCAAAATTGCTTCTTCCTAGAATGAGTTTCTAAATTAGTAAGTTTTTCTGATGAAACATTAAATCATAAATGTATTTCCTATATAAGAAAGTGTACATAGGTTAGACATTCTAATATTTCCAAGGATTAAAAGTTTTTAATTAAGTTAAAACACTTTTTAAAGAAAACTTCTTAAATTAAGGAGAGAAATGTTAATAGCTAAAAAACTACAATTCATTTCAATTCAAAACGTCTCTTTTATGCAAGGCCACTTGTGGCTACAGGTTATCCGCATTATCGATATTATACATGATCTTTGAAATTTAAAGTGTAAATCCAATAAAATTTCGGCACTTTAAAATTTACCCACTAATCTTAATCTTATAAAATTCTTCATTCCCTTAAATTTGAAGAAAAATATAAATTTTTTAAACATGAGAAGCAGACATGAGAATGGAAAAAAAGAGAAAAGAAGGTAAAATAAAATTAAGAAGACTTTTCAGCTCTTTGTGTGCAATAAATTTACTAACTTGCAATATTTTTGTTTTAATGCTACATCATGTGATTAAATGTACCAAATTAAAAACTATCATAATTTGCAGCAAATTTTTTAAATTTTCACAAAGACTAATTTATGACTAATAGAAGAATAGGTCAGAAAATTCAGCAATAATGAAACATTAGTAATATTGTTTTAATGAAATATTCAACAATATGCAGAATAAAGCAATTTCATTATTGATTTTTATAGCAACAAAATAAGAAATATAAGACACAGATGCAAGGAAAGAAAGTAATTAAACAGACAACAAAACAAGCTTAGAAGGAGTGCCTTAGTATTGAAGTAAAATATAGCCTTATAAAGAATATACAAGTATTTTAAAATAAAAATGAAGAATACAATCTTAAACGCACTAAAGGAAAATTAATTTGTTAATAAGAAAAACTGTAATAAAACAAAAATCACAAAAGAAAAAATAATACAGTACAAACATACCTCACAAAATACATCCATGCAAAGAACAATTTTGACATTTTTAAGGAAACAGATTTGATGTATTTCTACCATTTCTCACTATAATAGAAATGCATTGTATTTATGCAAATTTAGTGCAGGTGCAAGGAAAAAACAAAGTATAAATACTTAGCTCACAAATGGGAGAAACAAATAAAGAATCTTACTCTTGCTTTTTCTATATGATCATTATGAACAATATCATCATAAAACCCTTTCAGAACCTTAGCAGCAATCACAGCTTTATAGAGATCTTTTGAATCTTCTCCTCTATGGACATATGCTAACAAAGCCAACTAGAAATAAGATAAAATCAAATTATTACGACTGTAAAGCAAATTTGAATAATAATGACTGGATAAAAATGACTACTAATAATAAAAAATCTCAATAGTCTAGAACACATGGGAAATGTTAAAATATTTATGTAATAGGGCAAAAAATATCTTATAATTTCTATATGCCCTACCAGGCATGCTAATCAAGAAAATACATGCTCAAATAAAACTAATATCTGCCCAAACATCTTTTTCAAAGGCTTATTAATAAAACAGATAAATGTAACTAATCATTTAAAATAGGAAGTTTAAGAAGGAACAAATTGAACATTTATAAAAAAAAAATTACCTGACATAGTGAAATTCCATCAAAGATTTCAACCAAATGTTAAATATGAGTCATAAAAAGGATATCATTTTCACTTGCTTTCGCATTTCAATTTTTTAACTTTTTATTACTTTTTTTTATGCACAGTGATCATGTTAAACTTTTTTTTTAACAAAAATAAGCATGAGGAAGAAAGGAAAAAGAACTAAGCAATCCTTGTTTTACATCTAATGAAATTCTGAGAAGACACTTAAATAGTAATTATGATTAAATACTTAAATGCCCAGCCATGCATGTAAAAATGAAAAAATTTTATGCGTCAAGTAATATAATTTTGAGCCTTGATGTGCACATTTTTATTCATTATAAAATTTAGTTTGAAAATTGAGTAAAACTTTGAAGGTGAGTATGATTTTATAAGTGTTAGACAATGTAACAAATAAATCTAGTTTTTCTGAGTGTTATTCAACTTGATTATTTATTAATATTTTTTGTAATGTGAAGTAATTATATTTTGTTATTGCTCTATATTTCTGCTAAATTTACTTTTTTTTTCTTCTACTTAAACTGGTAAAAACCAATTTTGATGAAGTTTACGTATTCTGTTAACATGAATGACACAAAATCAGAAATATTTTTCATGTTTAAAACAAACAAAAATAAATACTAAATTATCTCTTTGAATATAATGATTGTAGAATTTTATTGGCATCATTTTATCAGAAAAATCTATTGATTACTTAAAATATCATGTGTTGTATAATCTCCAGTTCTCAGTAAAAGACTATTTTTTGTTTTACAAGTTTTTAATTGCCACTTAAGAGTACCCTTTGAAGAATAATCATTTCATCATCAATGCCGCTTAGAACAATCATTTAAACTATGAAAACTAAATCGAGATGACTAAAAGTACAATAAATATTTTCCCATTCAGACTTTTCTAGCTGTTCAGTTTCCTCTTAAGAAAAGAGGTTTTTTAAAAAAAAATAGCTATTCAGAGAAATATCAAGTGCTTCCTATAAATAAGATTTTTATTAGTTTATCAGATATATCTTTTAGGCATATTTTAATATTGGCACCTATTAGTACCAATTGAAACTGCCAAATAAAACTAAAATTACCAACAATCAATATTAATTAATATTGATTGTTACACTATGTCTAAAAAATAAAATAAATAAGCACATAACACCACACAGTTACATGCCAATACTTTACGATTATTTCCAATATATTACGATTATTTCGTTCTGTTATATTAATTTCCACATTTTTCTTTTTAAAAAATATAACAATTTTCAGCTAAGCTATTTTAAATACTTTTTGTAATTTAAACAGCCAATTAAAATAAAAAAATAATAAATCAATCAATCTTACGTTAAGATATCTAGTTATTAATAAAATATTTTGACGTACCCTTTGAATTAGCTTCCAATGATCTCCAACCAAAGATGTCATTTTGCTACAATACTGTAAAGAGAAAAAAAAATCAAATCATTAAACAGAAAGAGAGCAAGACAAAACTAAAAACTATTAACAAAATATATTCCTCATTCGTTGTCTAAAAATATATTTATTTTGAAATATTGGATAGATATAATATATATCCGTTTATGTATTGTAACAAAGCTATAAGTGCAGAAAACTCTCAGGTCCTCATATTTCTCTAGAACAGTTTTTTTTTTCATTATTATTACAATAACATTTTTAAAATATTTTTAGAAAGTCCATTTTTTTAAAAAAAAAATAATTTTACTAAGAAAATAAAATTATTTGATTTTGAAAAATTCTTGAATTGTACCAATTGAGTTAAGTTACTCATTGAGTTAAAATATAAATCAAATTATATTGAAATAGTAATATTTTAAATGCACTTATAATTTGTAAAGGAACACAGCTTTTACAATTAAAAATTTTGTAGCAATTTTTTCATTTAATTAGACAAAAGTTTTCTTAGGGCTGCCACAATTTCTCTTGAACCTTGATCGCGCATTTAGACATACTCTGCGACCTAATCTAAATAAATTGTATGCAATAAGTGGTATGTGTATGCATATTGCACACGTTTTGATCGATAGAGTAAGTAATATGTAATATTTTAGAAAAATTTTTAATCATGTACATTATTTCTTTGCTTTTATTTAGTTAATTTCAACTAAATTTCACTTACGTAAATCAGATAATTGATTTATGTTTTCATTCATAAATAAATAAGTTAAATAGTTAATAAGTTAAATTTATAAAGCATTAAGTTGGTAATTTCAAAAAACAATTTAATTTTGATAATTGTAAAAATAAAAATTGTTCAGAAATGATAGTGCAAAAAAATAAATAAATAAATAAATAAATACCCCACTTAGTAGGTATAAAGATAGGTTTTTTTCAAGTAGGCCCACTATAAAAAAGCATACCAGGTTTGGCGAACCCTATCAAGAATGAAATTGATTTCAGCATATTTTAAACATAACTTCATAAAGAGTTTTAGGTGCAGAAAACTACACTACTAGAGAGAACTAGCCAGAGGTGTGATTAGGATTATAGCCGGCGAAACATTGAAGCATTTTATCAGGGTTGATTAATAAAATTCATGTTTTGTTTAAAAAAATATATATATTAAACATTGAATTACTTCAATCAGAATTTTTTCAAAATTATTTCCGCATTAGCGATCAGAACTCAGTTAAAATGAATAGATAATACTGAAAATCATTTAGCAATGCAATTTGAAAATGTCCCCATAGTACTTAATTTTTTAAAAATATACAAACAATAAATATAGAATCATTTTAACATTAAATTATAAGACACTTGGAACATCGATAGCAGAAAACTGCTAGAAGTAAATATTGTCGTTACAAAATTTACAATGAATGAAAATGAGAAAAGCAGTCATAAAATATGTAATAAAAATTCTTATAGACCTATATCAATGTAAGTTATATTTAAGGTAGAACAATTTCATTAATTTAAAATTTAAGACAAAAAAAAAGGATAATTGCTTTTCTGCTTCTAATTTTTGTTTACTCATCATGCATATCTCACGCTTCGATTTTTAAGGCTCCTTTCCTAGCTTGCATGTATTTTATTTATACGCAAAAAATTTCACTTTTATTGTTGAGACTTCAGAAGTTGGCAACATCGACTTTTCTTTGCCATCCATCGGCGTTTCGAAAATTTTCTGAATTTTCTTCCGTTGCTTGAATTAGCGGCAAAACTAACTTTTATTAAATATTTTAAAAGCTAAATTATTATAATTTATTAACATCGCAAATAATAAAGCCATGGAAGAAGGTATATTATTCTTTAGTTGGCTGTCTTTTGTTATGGATAGAAGTTTTCATCCATGTAGTGCTACGTATAACAAATTATAAAATTACAAATTTTTTATTTGATTGATCAATTATTTTTCTTTCAATTATACTTTAAAACTTATGCATACTGATTAGTGATGCCATGTTAAATGCTACTTTTTTTTTAAATCTGTTATCGACGTTAAGTTTTTTTTTAATACATTGTTTAAATTGGAAAGTCAATAAAGTAGTCACATTCCCAGTGAACTGTTCCATTTCAACACTGATTGGGCATTTCGAATAAACTTCAGAAAAATTTAGGGTAGTTATCACAGCTATATTTTTGAAGTATCACAAGAGAACTCCGTTAATTGAAGATATGTTCTTTCTTCCTATATAGCAAATTGATTTAAACTGTTATATTTATGCCAAGAGTTATATTTTCTGTTCTGGGAATAAAATTCTAAATTAAAGTAACTAATGGAATATTATAGTTAAAACACTGTAAACAAAATACCACTGTAAATTAAGCATTAATAGTGATGAAATGAAATGGATAAATCCCTAAATAAATGTGTACTAGATAACAAATTATTTATTGGGTGAAGATGGCATTACATAAATCGTGATGTTTCCTTTTTGTGATAAGATGAGCCAACTACAATTGCCAGATGCATTTGAAATTAGCAAATTTTTTTTTTTTTAAATAGATTTTTGCTTGTGGGGGGGTTAATAAGGTGAAATAAGGGGTTTGCGAGAGCATCTCAGTCCGTTCAGTAGAAAGAAGTGGGATCCTACATGCAAAAAGGGTATTTAGAAAAAGGAATTTGATGAAGAGCCTCAGAGCTCAAATAAATCTTGTTAGGCTAAATTAAGCCTTACCTATCGAAATGCAGTGCTATAAGCAAAAGCAGAGAGCACGTCGCACTTTACTGGACAAGAAATAAAAAAAAAAGAAACTTCAACAATTCAAACAATTCTTTTTAAAGAAAGAAATATAACATTTCTGTTAATAAACTTGTTAAATAAAACCACACAAAAAAGTTAAGACTGTAGAAATAATAGGTGAATCATTTCATCTAACGTATGAAACTTTTTACACATTATAAACATTTCAAAGTTAGATAATTATTCTTAGTTTAATATTCAAGATTATTATCTTTTGTTTTTAATTTTTAGAAAGATTGCATAAACTAGAATAAATTTCTTTCCTAAGTATTTTTATTGATTGCCTTCCAAAATGCATTCAGTTTTAACTAAAAATATTAATTTCTTTTTTTAAAAAAAAAGGTTTTAAAATTGATATATTAACAATGTACTTTAATGCCATTTTGTGGGGTATTAAACTTACAAACTCTCTTGTATGTATTCAGAAGGAAACTTTAAACAGTGAAATATGAATTACTTAAATTAATTATTTTTTTAATTCATTTTTTTTTTATCGGACCTTTTATTAAATGCTTTTAAATTTGTGATTTAGCCTTTTAATATGCATAAAAATTGTATTTTCATGCTTTTTATTTTCAATTTCATAACAAAAATGAGACTGTATTGTTATTTAAAAATATACATTGTATCTATTTTATAAGTTTTAACAAGTTTTGTGTAAAAATAGCTATATGAAAATGTAAGTAAAAATATATATTGCTCTATAATTTTGATTTAAGTCAAGAGAAAAAGTTAGATATTTATGTTAAATGTTTTACTACTAAGATAATTAAAATTCATTTAAGTTTTTGACATTTACAAAAGATTTGACATTTTCTGCCCTCCCTTACCAAAGAAAAAAAAAAACTCCTCACTGGAAAATGTGTGCTGTGTAGCATTTAAAAGTCACTAAGCATAAGAAAAACCTAATGAAATACAAGTAAGCTAAAAAAAATACATGTAGAATAGATGTAAATAGACTTTACAGAGGACGGCTACTCCCTACTTTGGAAGGGCATTTAGATCTGATTTCGTAACTTAAAATATCCTCTGCATTAATGAATTAGCATATTTATGGTTACCCCTTTAAATCATTAGTATTGAGTCCTAGATTTAAAGACCCGATCATTAGATCAAAAGTTATTCAGGTAGGCCCGTTTTTATTTCTTGTGCGCTGTACTTATGTCTTTTTATTTGAACGAAAATTCATTGATTTCTTTTGTCATATGACGTAAATACGTGCTAGTTTCATTTCAAAACTCTTGCTAAAAGAAATGTTTCAAAAGTGTTTATTGAAATGGTGGGCTAAAGTTCTAAATAACCTTGTGACAAATAGAATAAAAAAAAATTAACATTTAAATTTTGATGTTTTTTATTCTCTATGTAGTGTATTTGAAATGTGCTGCATATTTTATGATATACATATTGTTTCATTTTACCCTTTCATATGAGACAAAAATACAGTTTCAATATATTCACTGTAAATAAAAAATATGCAAATTACGATAGAAAGTATCAGCATTCAGCCAGTAATGAAGTATCAGCATTCAGAAAGTATCAGCCAGTAATTTCTATTTACCATAAAATTTCCTTGATCCCAGCTACCGCCTATATTTTGGGGGTCAAAAATCTGAATCCGTCGAAAAAAGTGTATGTCTATTCAGAGAAAGTGCTTTTTTGTCTGATTTCGTAACTTAAAATTCGTCTGCACTTATTAACATATTTGGAGTCACCCCTCTAGCCATTAAGAGATCCCAACCATTTTTGTGCCCGGATCCATTCTTGCTACCAAAAGATGACGTTGGTCCTTAGTCGGACGCTCATTCTCAGTTCAAAGAATGAAATGTGTGCTACCCTTGCCAAATTAAAGATAAAAAAAACTGAAATTTTCCAATATTTATTTGGATGTAGATCTAAGATGCATCATTCGAGGGAATGAAAATGAAAAAAAAAATTTTACTGAAAATGCAAATAATACTATTTGCTCTTTTAGTCACCTATAACATGATTTTAAAACTTTTTGTTTTAACCCTCCAACTCACAGCAACCTACAACTATTAGCTCATTTTTGTTTAATAGTGTGGCAGAAGAGCATGTTGGTCTTTATTTCTTATTGTACATTCTTTTCTATATGTTTAAAAATGGGTAGGTCAGGCTTTTTTTTTTCTTTGCACATTGTACCTAATTGTGGTAGTTTGTAACAAGAAGTTTGACATGACATTATTTAATCCCAGCAGATGAAATATATTTTTTTCTTTTTTATAATATTTATAATTTTTGGAAAATATTTATTTACTTGTGTGTTTCGGAACTGTTCGTAAATTTTTATTTAATATAAGAAGACATATAGTAAAAACTAGCTGGTTTGGTGAGGTATATTTTGTGACAGGAGGAAAGAGTCAAATTTATTGAAAAAAATGCAAGAGTTCCATACATAAATGCAAATGGGGGTTTTATATTATATAAAAAAATCTGATTTAATTTTGTTTAATAAAATTTAAAATTAAACAATTTGTTATATTTTAAAATTTCTCAAAACGAATGTTTTAATATTTTATGTTCATTCTGATTTCACGTCATTGTCCTCTGTTTTGAATAAATAGCAAAGTTGTTAATAGAATAAGCTTTAGCTAAATTCTTGTTCTTTTTTTTTTTAAACTAAAATTCCCATGTAATGCATTTTTTAGAGTATTTGTCTATTTTTAAGAGTGACTAATTAAAACCTTTATTTATATAGATCAAAAATTTTAATTACTTTATTAATATTTATTTTAGCTGAGCAAGAAAACACAAGTGGCCAAACAGAAACAGTTTCTAAAGAAGCAGTTACAGATGATTCTCAAAAGGTCAGATTTAATATAGATGCGTACCAATTTTTCCCTTTTCAGGTTTCTTAAACAAATGTTATTTAATAAGATATCATGGAATTATAAATCCAATATAATTGTTTTTAGAGCTAAATTAATATTCAGTGAATAAAAAAAATTTAAAAAAAAAAATTTTTTGTTCAAAAATATTTATTTTCTTATTTTATTTTTGCATGTGCTTAAAAATTATTTTTCTATGTTAGACAGAGCTCATTCTAGGCAGAAAAAAGGGCAGAGTGCAAAAGTTTAAAAAAAGGGCATTATTATTCTAAAAAGGCAATAATTTCACGTTCTATTAAAAAGCATTGTCAATCAGTAAAAGAATTTTTTTTTAACGTAACTGAGAGTAGCAAAGCAATCATTAATTACTTATTTTCATTAATAAATTAACATATATATCGAGTTAATGAGCTAATTAGCTTAGTAATTTATTTAAAATGCATGCATATATTAATAAAATAATAAATGTATGTTTTTAAGTGTCTGTAGTTATGATTAAATAATTAAAATGATTAATAATAATTATGATTTAATGATAGTGGAAGTAACTGCAAACTTTCAAAGACAAGTGCAACAATGGGTTGTGATGGCTATTTTTCCTTTCCCATATAAATCTATGTATTGACAGCAATGACAAACTAAATAAAAAGAGTTAAAAATAACAGTTCATGAAATCCATTGTAGAGTTTGGGGGAAAAGTAAAGAAGGGTTGGATGAAAAAGGAAAGAAGGGTTCAGGAAAGAAAGGGCAAAAAGGGTATGGAGTCTATTACATCAGGGCACTAATTTACTTCAGGGGCAACAGGGTGAATTCTTTTGACTAAAAGGGCAGCAGGGTGCTGCACCCTGTTTACCCTGCCTAGAATGAGCTCTGTGTTAGAATAAATGAATTATGCTTGTTTAAATTTTTAAAGAACAAACTACATATTTTGCAAACTTAAATGTAAACTGTTTTTATTTTTATTAGTCTTGCACTAGGCGTACATAGATAAGAGTCCTAACAGATATCATTTCACTTTGAACCTACAGTAAGATTTGAAGTTATTGAATACAGCATCTACAGCCTGTATCAGAAATAGTAATGATTAAAAACTGCCAAATCGAAAGCCCGTCTGCGTTGCTTGCACCCAATGTGTAATATGTAAATAATACATGTCTTTACTGTGGTGCTGGGCAACAAAAAAGATTGAAAAAGGGGGTATATTAGTAAATTTTTTAAGTGATTTTTAATTTTTGGGTAAATACCTTTTTTTTTTTTTTTTAATATTCACCTATAATTGTTTGTTTTCTTATGATTTTCAATTTAAGTTATAGAACAAGCTTACAAAGAAATAAAACAAATTTCAGTAATTTGGCAGAACTTCTATAACATATAGTTATTTTAATTTTATTAATGGAAATGAACTTCAACAGCTAATGATGCTTATATTCTCATTCCGTCTCCTTCACTGTGAGAAAATGGCACTTTTATGAGGGGTAAATTTTAATGTGTCTAAGGACTAGTTAAAAAAATATTTTTTTATTTCACTTTTAAAGCCATAAGTGTTGCATATACTTAAATTTATTGATTAAAATTATTGTTTTCAACATGTTTATAACTAAAGTTTTTATTCTCTCATTTAAAAAAGTTTTTTTTTAAGACGCCTATATTCTTTGCAGAAAGCAAATGCTGTGGAAAAAGATATATCGGGTGAAACTGCATCTAAAAAGCCCAGAGTAGATTATAATGTTATGCCTACTCGACCTTATTTGGATGCAACGGTTGTGCCTATTTTACTTCAAGCCCTCTCTGCTCTTGCAAGGGACAGGTTGGTTGAAAACTTTAAATCAGTTTCGAGTTTGTTTGCTATATATTTCATTGCAATATTTGTAATATAATTTGTAGTAAGAAGGAGGTAAGTGTCATTTTAGCTTGAAATTGAGGTTTGGTTATGGATTCTCACAGTATGTGCTATAGGTGTAATCTTATTTGAAGTTTCACATCAGTGCTTTTGTGAATCCCTGTCTTCCACAACTGTTTCAAAAATGTTTTGTAACAGACAAAGTAAGAATACCTATTGTATTACCATGTGTACATATCTACTTTTTAAACTAATCAGTTGAATGTGAAATTGTAACAAACAGTATTTCATTCTGAAATTAGTCTCACTTTTTAAGATGTATGGAATATTTTCTGAATGTTATTTTAAAGTCATTGTTATGTTAAGAAATATGACATTCTTGTTTATTTTATTAGCAATATCTAAAAAGTAAATAACACAATTAACTTAAATTACATGGTATATGTTAGAAGAAAAAAATTAATAAGGAAAATGTAATTAAATGATTCCGAGTAGCGATTTCTGAACAATAGCTACTTGTCGCTAGCATAAAATTTGTAATATGGTGTTTCTTGGTCAGTTTGTTTTCTCCTATTTTTTTTAATCTCTTGTCCAGTAATTTTGACTGGTCGTGTTTTCTTCCATCAGTCATCACATTCAAGTCATTGTTAACAATTTTCAAGCGGGCATGCAATAGTCAATCAAAGATTTGACAGTTTAATTCCTCCTACTGCAAATAAGCTGTATCTTTCAAGGATGGTCTGTAAAAATCACAGCAATCTTGTTTTGTTGTAATTTTTAAACATTCATACAGAAATCAATCATAATTTTGCAGTTCTGTCCTGCCTACTACAGATACCAATAAGGTGCAACTTTCAAGGGTGGTCTCATTAAAAAATATTGTTGTAATAAGTACGATGATAGAAAAATCAAGTTAATAAAAAAGTCAAAAGAGAAATAGAAAAAGATAGTTCTGAAATATAGGTTTAATGTTGGGGCCTATGTTACTAGTTAAAATGTAGGGAAATTGCGGCTACATTGTCGCAGAACGTTACAGAGTTCTTGCAGAAGGGTTTTTTTTTTTAGGGAAGTAAAAAGTTTCAGTTTACTTTTCTGCAGAAATTTACACGTAAAATTTGAATCGCTTAATCTGTGCCGATATCGCGCATCCATTTTGATTGTAATTTCGGCCGTTATTGACATTGATTTTCACATCGCTTTTACATATCCCGATATATTTTTAGGCGCTATGTGAAAATTGAATTGCGCATTTGATCATTTACTTTTTACAGCAATGATTCTATCGTATTTCTTTACTTCCACTTAGCTTTTAAAACCTGACATTTTTTGTTTGTTATTACATAACGTAACTTGCATTTGAGTAACCTTCAAAAAAGAGTCCAATTCGCGTGATTTTATCATCGATCTGTTTTTTGTCAATTACTGCTACAGATTTCATGATATTTATTTATTTTTTTAATGTAATGATAATTTGCAAAATGCGATAAAGAAAATAATTTGTGCGTCCCTTCCCCAGCAAATTGCAGGAATATCCCCCTTAATATTTTAATCAAAAAAATATTACATATTCAATTTTAAATTTTTTTTTGTTTCGTTTTGTTTCTGTAAACACAACGTTTTTGTTACCTTAAATTAGTAACGTACATCTTTGTTATAACTCCGAATATCCAATACAACCCTAATGAGAACTAAATGAATAATCAAAATTTGAGTTATCGCAAGCAAAAATCCTTTACGTAGAGGGAAAAATGAAAAATTTAGATAATACTAAAAACGGAATAAGCTCACTTAAATTAGCTTCACTATATAGCTGTTTAAAAATCACTAATCAATGAAGTCTATATTTCAAAAGAATTATCATTAATTAAATTATGAAACTATTCTGCATAGCGGTGACCTCTTAACCCTGGTTACATAAATATAGTCTTACAAGGGACCATTGTTCAGAAGTTTTACTGTATTAAGTTAACAATAACAATTGTATTTAATTTTGTGAAAAATAAAGCTGTTACGATATTTTCTGTGATATGTCCTTAAAAATTCTGAATTTTTGCAGAACTATGATTCTAACTCAATATAATCCCTGATTCTAATGTAAAACATTTATCATGTTTAATTTTTTAGTATTCTTGATGATTTAACAATTTATCCATAGCTCTCTTGGTAAACATTTTTTTCGTAGTTACAAATGATATAAATTGTTTTTCTTTTTTAGGCCTGCTGATCCAATTCAGTTCTTAGCTGACTTTTTGATTAGAAATAAAGCACAATATTCACAGACGATTGAGTTACCTGAAGGTACATCAAGCTGAATTTCCTGCTTCTGATTTATAAAATCAGATTAAAGTTTTATCATTGCAGTTTCATTTGTAGTTTGATTTTTTTTTCATTTTTCATATTAAAGAAAAAAGACGCAAGCCTCAGTGCCTGTGAAGTCTTTTACTATTTAATTTCACCATCTATGTTAGTTTATTTATGTTTCAAATTTTGTTTTTATTTACTTACTGGTGGTTATACTAAGTTCCATACATGTTTTCAATAAACATTCATCCAAATTGGCTCTTTTTTGTTTCTCGGGAAATGTTTTCTCTCCTTGTAAACATTTAGAACTCATAACCTTAAGGCAGCGATTCCCAATTATTTTTGGTTATAGAACCTTAAAAGCTAATTATTGCAAAACCCTGACTTAATGTAAAGAATATAGTTCAACAGCAGCTGTGTATATACTAGCAAACAAAACAAAAAAAAATACTTGTTATTTTGTACATATTTAATGCAAAGAATGAAATATTATAAACTAGTTCTTGGTTTATGTATTTGCTGAGAATGAATAAAATGAACTAAATTATGATTTTCACTTTTATAAATGTAGAGGATACTTAACAGCGAAACATAATTCTTAAATTTTGGCTTTGTGTTTTGAATTGAAAAGTTTGAACTATAATTATAAATATTTTTTACAAATGCATATTCTTTTCGTAATTTTTTCAATATTGTTATTGAAAAAAAATATTTTTTTTATATTTTGCTGCTTTTTCATTGGCAAGTTACATACATAATTTCATTTAAATAATCCTAATATACAAATTATGGATTGTTGATTAGATCTAAATATTACCAATTAAAAATATTTCCTTGTTCTCAGAACCTCTGTGATCCTTATACAAAACCTAGGGCTTCGTCGAACACCAGTTGAGGACTGGTGCTATAAGCTGCTTCTAACTATAAATTTCCGAAAAACTGCTCGGTTTTCACTTTTGACATTATTTTGAGAATTTAAACATTTTGTTCCTTCTACCTCTTTCGGAAACAGTACTGATTTAGTAAAGTATTAATTTTTTTATTTTATAAATTTTCATGCAGTTATCATTACTGTGTCTTAATTTTATCTTTTGACTTACTTTTTTTTTACAATTCTAAAATATATTTTAATGACTATGATTAACTTAAATGAGAATGGTAAAAACTGTTTTTTCGTTTATTGCACTATTCATGTTTTTATATTTTCTGTTCTTTTATATTCAGCCAAACCTAATATTAGCCCTTTAGGTCAAAGTTCAAATAATTGTTGCATCCTTAGCACATATGTCATTGTCTAAAATCGACTCTTTTTAAACTTTTTTGTCTAAGTACTGATCCATCAAATTTTTTATTAAAAATACTGCTGTGTTGTGAACTGAGATGAAAAATTAAATTTAAAATGGAGAAACTTTAGCTATTGAACTAATGACTTTTTTGCACGTTAATTACTTAATGTGCAAAAAAGTCATTATCTAAGAAAATATTGATAAACAACTGTTCTGTGTCTGGATTCCCACGTTTTAGTAAAGTATATTTTTTCGAAATTTCTGTTTTGTTTACTTTTGACCCCTAAGATGTTGGGGAAAAAAAAGATAACTTAATTGCGAAATATTTTATTGATAATGATTACAATTAAATTTTGAAGGAGGGAGGACGGCTGATAAAACTTCGAACTTGAATTTTCACATAAATTAACTTTGATACAATGCTTTGTATTTTTTCATGAAATCAGTCATGCACAGTATTGGATCCTCTGGCCTAAAAATTACAATAAAAATAAGTATGATACTGCAAAGTGAAAAGAAGGTATTTTATTACAAAGAGCACATAGTTTAACTTCGTATTGAACTGGTATTTGAAATTCCATACCAAGGTTAAAAGTAAGTCAAATTTTGTTTCAAAGCATGTTACATTAAAAAATTCATCACTCAGTTTCTGAAATCCATATATTTTACTTAATTGAATTTTTTTTTGAGCATTCGAATGAAGTTTTTTTTTTTATATGGAGAAAAAACTACTATTTTATTAGTCTCACCCACTATCATAATGAGAATAAACCTTGTGTGATTTAATTTTTGTTTTTTTTTTTAATTAATGCATGCATTTTCTGTCCAACCATACTTAAGTTCCTTATGCACTCACAAACTGGAATCTGGGTGATCAAGACGTCTTGGGGGTTTTGATATAAGTTGCTTTGTTAGACTTGTGTTAGGTAGTGATAAAAAATTCTGCATTGTAAGAATAGATCACTTATAATTTTGTTTCGCTTGCCGGTTTCAACTTTTCAAAATTTACAAAACCAATCAAAGTAATATTCAGTGGGAGTCAAAATTAATGAAAATTTATCGGAACAATAATTATGAGGACGAAAAGAAAAATAGCAATTTTCAAAACAAAATTTTTGATAGTTGGCTGACTTTTAGCTTTGATTAGTCCTCCATAGGTTGTGCAAAGTTTTTTTTTATAGTTCATCGGTTGTAAAGTGATACTAAGAGTTAAACATTTGTTTAAAAAAAAATTGGATTTTATTTCTAGTTTGCTTTGTGACAAGTTTCTTCAGTCCAAACCAGAAGTTCTCGCACTTTCTTTGTACATTTGAAATTGGAAATTCAAACTGAGCATCAAATTTTATCTCGCTACTCCATGTGTAAATGCGTATTGTTCGAAGAACGATGGGAAAATAGCTTGAATTTACGACAAAAGTTGACACAAATTATGCACGTGAAAAGTGATTACTAAGGCCCGGATTTTGATGACATTTGCATTTTTGGACATTCTTTGTCCTTTAGAGCATTTTTTGAGATTTATAGGGCATTTTCTTTAAAATTTTGGGGCGTATTTTGCATTTTTTAAATTTTTTGTTAAATTTTTCTAATTTTCATTATTTTTTATTATTACACTGGCTTCCAAACAATGAAAATTTCTAGGATATTAACAGGTGAAGCAACATCTTTTCAAATTGTAGAAGAATTGTCAGTAAGTGTGACATCAGTAGACGTTGAAAGAAGCTTCTCCTGGTATAAAAATTTGCTTTCAGACAAGAGACGCTCGTTTACATTTCAAAATATTATTAAAGAAAAATTTAATAATCCACTGTAATTCTGATATTTAGTAATATTCTGAGATGGAAGTTGTTATATTCATTTAAGTTTCTATACAAAATGAAAATGTTTTGGGGTCAATATATTTTCCTTTTTTTGTTATTTTTGGATATAAAACATTTTTGTCGAACTTTAATGAACGTAGAACAAGTATTGCATTGCTTTATATTTTTTTAAACGACTCATCATAATTTTGAAGAGTAAAACATTGTTTTAGTTCAATATTTTTTTAAGTCATGTCATAAGGCATTTTTAGCGCAATTTTCGCATTTTAAGGGCATTTTTTAGGTCATCAAAATCCGGGCTCTAGTGATTACTATTTTCGCTAGTTATAATATCGTTCAAAAAATATCGAGATTTTAAGAAATACGAGGAAATCCGACAATATAGACTTCGAAAGCACGATCAAAAAGTCACTATAAAATAATGGACTCGAATAAAGAGTTACAAAAGTGACTTCACAAGTGAAATTCGAAATTCACGCATCATAATTTTGTCGTACTATTAAAAATATTGCAATTTTTAAAACTATGAAAATTCGTGGTGATAGCCACCGAAAAAAGCAATCGAAAAACTACATTGATTTAGATTTAGCTCGTCCAACAAAACTTAAATCAAAAGAATTTTCGATTTTTTCTTATTTTCCAAAGCAAATTATAAATTTTTTTTTATTATTATTGCGTTCAGGAGTGGCCGCAGGTTACGCACCCCTATACTTACAGTGGAAGACAAAAAATTTTATTAGTGCACATATTTAAATGATATTTTTTTTTTTTTTTAAAAGTGCTTAAAATATTTTTTGAGTGCCTAATTGTCTTAAAGGTGCTCATTTTTTGTTGAAAAATTTGGCTACGCACACTGTTTTAGTATGCATGATACTGTTGTCTAATATTGAAAATGTGTTTTTTGAATCTGTTCATATCAGTGTTGAAATTCGTTATGAGTTTAGAAATGCTCGTCCCTATTGTTTCTTTCGACATAACATTTCAACAACAAAAAAATTCTTTTGGCTAAATAGTTTTATGAAATATTAAATATTCTCTTAAATTTAGTGTAAAATCTTACTGAATTAAATTATCTTGCTGAAAGATTTAAAAAATAAATAACCAATTAACGTAAGACATGGCATAGAAAGAAAGATACTACGAAAAGGGTTTTGCTCCTTTAAAATGAAAAGAACATTCAAAATAGCTTTTGCTATCTCTTATTTACACATTCTTCACTAGTATAAAATTGTTACCATTACGAAATTCCTATTGTTTAATGCTAAAAATGTAAATGTGTGTATGGTAACACATATGATATTAATTTCTGGAGAGCTGTAGTTTATTAATTAAAAACTTACTTTTTATTTATTATTGTTTTATCAGAAAGTAATTTTGACGATTTTACACAATTGTAAAATATTACAGAGAGAAAAGTTAAGTTACTGGAATGTAATTTGTGTAATAACATTTTAGTGTTTGTTTTAGACATCTTGTAATTTTAGTTTTACTTCATTTTAATTTCCTTAAAATACTATTTTTGTCTTAAGTTGGGCCCTAAAACAAAGTACTTCCTGGACTAGACTATCTGCTAATAAGTAAGACGTAAAGAAAAATCATTATAAATTTCATAGAACTTCTCAAAAAAAAAAAAATAATAATCATAATACTTTTCAGACGGACAGCAAATGGCTCCCATATGTAAGTGTGGTAAGTTAAAATCCGAACTGAAACTTTGATGATAGCGCATGCGCGCATCCATTGGATAACCTCCCTCAAATACTTCTATATTAATTGGCTTTTACGTATGAGCTTTGGGTGTAAGATGTTATGTTTTGTCTGCTTGTTAATTGTATACCATTGTTGATGTTGTCTTGCTAAATAGAATATTATTAATTTTACGATCTGCCCAATGTAGAACTTCGGTGGACATCCTTAGAACAATAATAATTAAGTTAAGCGACAGTAAGAAACGATCCTGTTACCTCTAGAACAGTGTTTACCAACTGGCGGCCCGCGGGTCACATCCGGCCAGCAAAGCCTTTTGTTTCCCACGAACTGAAAAATATTGTTGTCATTTTTTGCGGACAATTTTTGTAGAAAATCTATTTGGGTTTAAAATACTTTCCTTTGTTAAAAAAAAACTAATTTCTTCGCTTCTGTTAAATTAACATACCGACGGTACAAAAAAAATTATACTTCAGGTTTTGCATCCAAGAAAATATTTATTATTATTCGTAATTCAATAGTTTTGTTTTGTACAACTTGATAAAAATCTGACAGAAATATTTAATGTCCCATCAAACATTAAAAAGTCCTATATAAAATTTTAATGAAGTTGCTGCCCGCCATTTGACTGGTGTTTTTAATTGCGGCCCCCGGCCTCATGTAAGTTGAAAACCCCTGCTCTAGAACTTAAATAGTCTTGTCATAATCAGCTTTACTTACCTGTAATGAGTCGTCCGTGATAACGTTTCTGGCGTGTCTTCCCTAAATATTTATTGTAAATCTAATGCTTATATTTTTTAACAAGGGTTTTAAAAAAATATTCATTAAGGGTGATCATTATGGAACTCTATGTTTCGAGTAAATATAATTAAACATACCTTTCTATTATAATAATATCTAAAGCATCCCTTATGATAGATAACACTGTTGCTTCCAAGTAAAATCGAGTGGGTAAGATCTTATAACCTTCTTTCGGATTTTCTATTTGGGGCCGCTTCGCAGGGAAAGTCTTTTTCCATTGCATTTGCCACCTGTTCAATCACAGAAGAAAAATTAAATTATTTGAAAATTGACATCTATATAGTTCAATGTTGCAATTAAGTCCTGATTTCGTAATTGTTTAACTTTTCGAAACTACTTGCATTGCCATACCTTTCCTTTCTCATCAGCGCAGAGAGTTCCTTTGGACTGATAAAAACCAAACACGTTTGTACTAGACCTGAAAATAATCGCTCGCCACGTAAACACAAAAAGTGGCGACTTTTCTCATCGTTTTTTTTTTTTAAACCGTTTAAATAATAGAAGTACGTCAATTCAGAAAGACTATGGAAAAACAGAATTTTCATTTAAATGCCCTATATTTCTGTTCAAAATTTTGATCCATCAATTTGTGATGGAAAGATTACTCTTGGAAGAAAAGTTTATTAACAAATCACATATTTCAAAATTGTTATGTATTCATTAAATGCATTCTGCCTCCCAAAATATTTCTTTAAAGTCAGTATGTTTAGGTTGTCTCATATTTATACAATTTTTATAGTTGATTTATCTTTTTATAGCCGTAGATTATTTTTTATAATATGAGTTTTTTTTTTTTTAATGTAATTTAATCCGAGCAACGAAGAAAAAAAGTTTGCCAAAAGTGAGTATTAAATGAAAAGGACTTATCGATATCAGTCACCGACAAGGGCGCCGGCAGCGGGGTGCAAGGGGGTGCACTTGCACCCCCCTGGCTTTTTTTAAACAATTAAAGACTATAGAAAAATTTTTATTAAAAATATTTTTTTCAAAAGCAAATAGTTAAGAAATTATTGATTCGTAACAATTTAAAATTGTTTAATAAAACAAGAATTGTAATCGTCTTGTTAGCTGTCCAAATCTTTTTATAACATTTTCAATGAATTCTGAGTCATCTTTGATTCTTTTCCTATGCACACTGAGCATGCACAAACTACTTAATCTCTCGTGAGACATTGTAGTACCGATTCCATGTTTTCATGCGTCGCATTGTACTAAAAGTACGTTCAATAGTACACGTAGTAGCTTGAAGAGTTAGGCCAATTTTGATTGCCTCCGCTACAGCTGGATAAAACGGTGTGGCCTCAATATCTAAATCGATGTATTTGAGGGATTCATAAGAATTTTCTCTATTCCTCCACATTTCGGATCACGTAAATTCGTAATTTTTTTAAAATATCTTGTTAACAATGAAGAAATGTACAGGTATAGGAAAAAATAATAGGAACATCTGTGAAAGAATGGAGTCGTTCTCGACCGTCCAATAAGCGGCGGGCACGTGTCGCAAGAATGTGCCACCTAGTGGTGATGAAAGGCAAGGTATCTGTCTAGCATTTGGCAGTGTGAGATTTGCATGAGAAAAATCTATTTCTAGCAAAACGAGATTATGTCCGACCTCTCTGACCTTAAAAGAGGCATGATAATCGGAGCTCGCCTGGCTGGAGCGTCCGTGTCCAGAACAGCGAACCTTGTAGGTGTTTCAAGGACCACTGTATCAAGGACTCTGTCGGCATACACAAAGTTGGGTAAGGTGTCTTCGGCGAGGCACAACAGCGGCAGGAAGTCGAAGTTGTCAGACCGTGATAGACGGGTGTTGAAGAGGATAGTCGCTCGAAAACGCAAGACTACACTGCCGGTGATAACATCCGAGATGAATACCCACCTTCAGAACCCTGTATCCATGAAAACTATTCAACGGGAGTTGCATGCTGCTAACATTCATGGCAGAGTAGCTATTCCAAAACCGTTAGTTTCAGCGCGGAATGCTTTGAAGAGACTACAGTGGTGCCAAGACCACCTAAAATGGACACAACTGCAATGGGAACAAGTCATCTGGTCTGATGAATCCTCTTTTGCACTATTCCAGACCACCGGACGTGTGTTCGTGTGACAAACGCCGGCAGAAGCATTTCATGTTGACTGCCTGGTTCCAACCGTGAAACATGGAGGTGGTTCAGTGATGGTGTGGGGCGCTATATCTGCCCGTGGCTTGGGGCCTCTCGTTGTCTTGAGGGGGTGGCCAAGGGGGACCATTACCGATGCATTCTTGCAGATCATCTTCACCCTATGCTTCATACTCTCTTTCCGAGAGAACGTCCTGTGTTCCAAGATGACAACGCCCCTGTTCACACGTCTCACTATGTTCAAACATGGTTAAATGAGCATAATTATGAAGTGGACCATCTAACGTGATGTCCTCAGTCCCCTGATCTCAATATCATTGAGCCTTTGTGGGGTCTTTTGGAGAAAAAATCCGTGCTCGGTTTCCTCCTCCACGCACACTCTCCGAACTCGAGACAGCCCTTCAAGAGGAATGGCTGCAAATTCCAATGAACTTTGTTCAAGATCTTTATTTGTCAATCTCACGTCGAATGCAAGCTGTCATTCAGGCCAAAGGTGGCCCAACTCCTTATTAATAAAACATTTTCATTTTTTCACAGGTGTTCCTATTATTTTGTCCTATACCTGAATCTTGAAAAAAATTAATAGATGAAAGTATATGTAATAACGAAAAAAACGTAATAACAGAATATTTTTTAAAAAAAAAAATTGGGGGGGGGGGGTTAGTTTGTTAGACGGTTGCACCCCCTTTTATATTATTCTGCCGGCGCCCTTGGTCACCGACTCATTAAGTTTGAGGAAAAAGTGGCTACTAAGTTCGTCGATTCTACCAGCCACTGGCTACAAACTGAAATCTAGTTTGTACAATAAATGTTTTTTGATCTTTATAAATCATTTTCAAGGTTCAAACAATTTTTTTTTAAATAGAGGGGAAAAAATCAAACCAACTTATTACCCAACATTGCTAATAGATAATAGAATTATTATGATTTATTGAATACAACTGAGCAAAAGCATTCATAACATTATCCTCGAATACGAACATTATTTTAATATGTGCTTTGCAAGTTTATAAGCGATGGCGTGCTTAGATTGGATGGTTGTAAATCTAATTCGAAAATTTTATGAAGATTAATTCAAATGCATTTACTTTTCATCCGCAGAAAGTTACTTTCGAGAGAATTTAGAGCCACTTTTGGAATACCAAAGTCGATATGTATGTTCTTCCTAAGTAAAATAAAAATATACTCAACGAAAATTCCTTCCTCATATATCAAGAAATGATTTCAAATATAAAATGAACGCTTCTGAAACGTTAAGTAATAGAAATAGATTTAGTAGGAAAATTAACATTTTTGTTTAAATATGATATTAACAGCAACTTGCGAATTTTCAGAGAGTTATTAATGTTTCAGTTGCGCTCTGTGACGAATATTTTTAAATTAACTGATATTCTGTAAAGAAAAATGCAATTTAGTTCATCGTTAAAATAGTACCAAAAAACGACGTGACTAAGATTTCGAATTTAAATTTTTTAATGATATTACATAAGAATTTCTCCTTTTTTTGCACTAATTTTATGAGTTTTAATTCAGGGTGGAGCATTATCATGACATTCTTTAATGCTGGAAAAATCAGGGAGTTTTAAAGACAAGATGGTATGCATTTTTTTTTCTTAATCGTAATTGTTTTACCATTCGTTACACCCACTTTTTTGACGGAAATTTATAGCCAAACAGTTGAATTATCATAAAATTAGGAATACTTTGCTTGCATTAAAATTTTTGCACCCACCATTATAATCCTGTTAAACTAGAATGCCACATGAAACTCTCCCACCGTTGCTAAATGAATGGAGAAACCTTTGACCTCTTTGGAGACTATAGTTTGTCTATGCAAAGAACTCGCTTAGCCATTCGTCTAGAGTGGTGGCGGTTACTATGGTTACGAGGTTTAATTATTTCGCGTAAAAGCGTTGGGCATCATTTTATACAGGTTTTGACTCGGGTTAGCGATAGAAAGGAAATCAGAAGAGAAAGAAGCTCCCCTCTTTGAAATGCGCTATTTCTTGTTTCCATAGTAGCAGTTGGTCTTAGACTTCGTGGCGAGGGGAGTTCTTTCAATAGGCAGTTTAGGAAAAGCAAATATTGTAGAGGAGGTGATGATTTGAGTGGCCACCCTGTAATTATTAGATTTTTAAAACCAGTAATCAACTTCTATTATATTATCTAGCTTCATGCACCTCAAATAATATTCTTCATTAGATTTAAATTTTAAAACATATCGTACATAAGTTTACAACCTTACTTTTTCACTCTAAAGTCAATTTGTTCTATTACTGATGAACTATCTTTAACATCATGGCCCTGTTGCTCTACAAAAAAAAATTAATTATTATTATTATTATAATAAAAAATTTTAATAACAATTCAAAAACTTTTACTTCTAATTTGTTTTATGCTACCGCTTCCCGCATTGCCTCCCTCTTCCTTAAAAAATCTTTAATTGTTAAGGAACATGAATGTCTCTCCTATCATTAGTATTAGTTTAAGTGTCTTTCATGAACCCAATAAGTAAAGCAGTGTACATAGATTTTAAATATTCTGTGTCATCACTTTTTGATTTCGACTATCCATAAAAAGGTCTACCATTGGATCTTGAGCTAATATTGGATTTTCCACTAAGTAAGTTATAATCCTGGAATAGATTAGGAAAGCGTTCTCGAAATAAACTTTTTTAAAAAAATGATTGGAACATTTCAAATTGTAAAAAATCAAGCACAATGGTTTGGTTAATTTTATTTACTTTAATTTTACTTTTTGCGTTTTTTTACCATGCCAATAGAAATACTACAATTCTCCTCTTTCCCCCGCTGTCCAAATTTTAGAACGCTAGTACAAACGGTCCTGGAGTTGTAAGAGAAGCACGTGAACTCTTCCTTTTATTATCATAAATATTTATTCTCAGTAAATATAAGTTTAAAAGATGTGTAACGTTATTTTTCTGAAAAAATTTCTTCTTTTTTTTTTTTTAATAAATAAATGATATATTACTGAGCGAAATTTCTTGTGTCGATAGCTCTTCAGATTTCAAGCTTGCCTGTGGGTCTAAATCTTAAAAGAGAGGAAAAAAACGTTCCCGCTTAGATAAAGAAAGATATATTGGGATATAATAAGAGAAACGCATTAACTCTTCCATTTATTATCATAGATATTCATTTTCCATAAATATAAGTTTAAAAGACAGGCAATATTATTTTTCTATAAAGTTTAAAATGTTTCTAAAAAAATAAATAAATAATATATTACTGAGCGAAATTTCTTGTGTCGATAGCTCTTCAGATTTCAAGCTTGCCTGTGGGTCTAAATCTTAAAAGAGAAGAAAAAAAACGTCCCTGCTTAGATAAAGAAAGATATATTTGGAGTTATAAGAGAAACGCATTAACTCTTCCATTTATTATCATAGATATTAATTTTCCATAAATATAAGTTTAAAAGACAGGCAATATTATTTTTCTATAAAATTTAAAATGTTTCTAAAAAAAATAAATAAATGATATACTACCGAGCGAAATTTCTTGTGTCGATAGCTTTTCAGATTTCAATCTCTTTTTACTTTTTATTTATCAACGAAAATTTAAAACAATAATTTAGCTTCTGAGGCTAGACTAGGGTTTTTTAGACGAGTAGTTTCTTAAACTATAGGTTGACCCCAAATGGCGTGGCGGGATGCGATTTTCCAACTACGTTGGTTTCAAGATCCGTTCTCCTGTTTGGTTTGAGCGGGTGTGATTTTTGGCTACACCTCCGCGAGGAAGGGTAGAGGGGAACCTTTTTGATTTGTCTTTCTCTTAAAAAAGAAAGTAAAAAATACTTGGTTTTTCATTTATCAGTCGCATGCTGTAAGTCTATATTTTTTCACCTATTCAATTATTATTATTATTATAATTTGTATTCGATAGTACAATAATAATATCAAGGTTTTATAAATAACTACATAAAACTAAGTATTTTATGGAGCACAACAATAAAGCTTATTCAGGGATTTGAAAGATATATAACATATCTTATTCATGAATTAAGTTCTGAAAATTAAAATGTTCCTAAACCATTGCTTACTAATTAATGAAGCATAATTAATAGAAATAATTTTCTATTGAAATGCTAAGCTATAAATACAAAGACACGTTAAACTCATCTCAGTTTTGTTACAGACAGTCAAGTATTCAATACATGCATTTTGTTTTAAAATTGAAAAAACTCAAAAACTAATTAATAATTTTGAAACAAGTTATGAAAGAGAAAATGAGTTCGTTCTTAAATCTGTACGATAAACTTTATGAGAAGATATACTAAAATTTATAAAAATCAAGGTTTTATAATCGTAAGATTTTGTTTTCATTGTGGAATGTTCTTTTGAAACTGATCGATTTTTATAAATATGCGAAGGCAACTTGATGATTTTTTTAGTATCATAATAACGGCTGAATACTCAAATAATGTCGCTTACCCGGTTCTTCTACTATGCTCTTCATATATATATAAGTTCAAAATGTAGATAAAACAAGGGAAAAATTACAGAACAATTAAAGAAGGGAAAAAAAGGAAAATAATAACGAAAATAGCAAAAATCCGGAAATAATCCGCAAAATATTTTTGCGGATACAATCGTGTGGGCTGATGAAAAGATTATATCCTACATTTTCCGGATTTTTAAAAAAAATTTTGTCCTTTTTTTCGGATTTTTTCCCCCTCGGTTTTTGTTATTTTTATTATTATTTTGTCTTTTTTTTTTTCACTTTTTTCATTGTTCTGTAATTTTTTCCCTGTTTTATCTACATTTCGAACATTTTGAACTTATTTTATAAGTTCTATTTACTTGCAGCTTATGTTCAATAAATAAAACTTATTGTTTTTCTTAATTTTCTTCCTGATTTTTGTGTTTATTTATTATGCTATATATATATATATATATATATATATATATACTTCATAAANAAAAAAAAAAACACACACACTACTATCAAAATGAAGTGTTAGATCTCCATTTTCAATTTTACTCACGCATGTGTTGGATTTGCTAAATGCTTATAGGGTCCACCCACCAAACACTTTAAGAAACCCTACTTTAGTGAAATATCAAAATAAAATAAATTATTTCTTTTACGTGAATAATAGAAAATAAAATTTATTTCCAATATACTGCCACGCAGAAAAATAAAAATAAAAAATGCAGGCGAAGAAATTCACAATTGAGATTTTTAATATATTTGGCATTTTCGTGTAATAATCTANAAAAAAAAAAAAAAAAAAAAAAAAAAAAAAAAAAAAAAAAAAAAAAAAAATTATTAATACATTTTACTTTATTAGTTTTTTGAGATTCTATTTTAACATTCGTAGCATCAGCGATCGAAAGAAAAAAGATATTAATTCACTTTTCTCGAAATCTATCGCGAAGCACCTACGCAGTATCTTCAATCGCTCGTTAGTACATGATTTTGTCAAGGAACTCTGTAAAATACCTGTCTCATTGTGTTGAATTTCTGATGATGCTGATAGATTTTCAAATTTCACTCTTAGTTCTGGATTTAAATCTTAGAAAAGAAAAACAAAGTTATTTTTATTCTCTTTATTACATTATGAAATTGGATATAAAATGTATGAATGGGTGTTCCGTCGTTTAAAATATCACCGTTTTAAAATAATTTTAGAAAATTTTGAGAAAAAAAAAATTGTCTATTGGGAGTCGCTAAATAACATTCAAGCGAGGAAAAAAAAAAAGAAAAGAAAAAGCTTTCGAAATCTAATGAATCACTACTGAGCAAGGTGAAAACTAAAAACATCAAAATCTGATCGATTGCTGGAGAAAAGAGAGAAAATTATTCGAAAACCATAAAATTTTATCAGACAATCAAACATTCAGGTCGTTTTTTGACAGAGGCTTTAATAACAATAGGTCGGTTATTACGGAAGACCCTGTAAGTAAATATATTCAATTTAAAATATATTTATATACATGAGATTTTTTTTATAAGGACGATTATTAAGGAACACCATATATAGAAATAGCAAATCTGTCCTTTCGCTTACCTGCCGACTGAAAATTTATCAATGGTCAATCAGATACTAGTAAGAATCAATAAGAATGCTCTGCTATTGAAATAAGTATAAGAATCATCCAATAGGTATAGTGTAAACTCGTTGTCATTCACAACCACGATATAACGACAGTTGATTTAATTATACTAAGACTAAAAAACTAACCTCAGTGGTGCGACAGCCCATGGCCAAGGCCTACTGTGCCCATCTCAGTTTTCTTGATCTTGGGCTCTGGGGAGCAGGAGCAAATGTTCCGGTTAGGTGGTCGGCCAAACGGTGCTGGCCAAACGCGGCACCCCCAGTGTTTAGTTCCCAAGCATGCTTGGTACTCATTTATCGACCCTTGTTGAATGGTAAACAATTTCTTATCAGTGAAAAGACTTGCTACACGTCTCTGAAAATTTCAATAAGCGTTTGAGCCTCTGCATCGCTGCAAAAGGCGGCCATTTTGAAACCAATTGAATTTATTTATTAGTAAAAGTCTACTCTTATTATTACTTGTAAATAAATTTATTTTTAGTGAAGTTATCTTGAAAATTGTTTGTCCTACTTTTTCTGCCACACTTTGTATAAGATCTGTTTTATTATTTGCGTCTGAGATATAGGCATTAACCTCAAGTGATCAGGATGTGTTGGCAACTTTCTGGTGAAAAGTCCTACGATGTATATGTGGAACTCAGGTGAATGGCAAAATTGGAAAAATTTGAATTTGGAACAAAATTTGAAAATTAATTTGAACACGATTTTTTTAAATCAAAAACATGTGAGAAAAATTGATTTATATCATTATTTTTATGAACTTACTTACCAAAGAAAGCTTCTAATGATTCTTCAGTTTGTGAATTTGTAGCTGAAGAAAAGAGAGAAAAGAAAAGATGACGTTTAATTTTCACACACAAACAGTTTCAAATGGCTAACAAAAGAAGAAAAAAAATGGTACGAAGTAAGGATGCTGCGTTGGCGTACCAAGTAAGCGTAACAAGTGTCAAGTAGTTAACCAAAACTTTAACTTTGATACGAACTACGGACTTTTTTTTTATTTCTTGATAATTGTTTGCCGATATGTACAATACGTCATTGGCTATTTTATGACAAAAGCATCATAATCAGCTCAGCATATTTTTGCAACGCAAGGAGTTAATGAAGTTAACTAATTTCAACATCTAATTAAATATTCGAGCTATCAAATTTTCCAAAAATTTTTTTAATATACAAAAACATTTTAAAGACCGGTATAGCCTGGTCGGCAGAGAGCTGGGTCCTTATCCGAGAGTTCGTGGGTTCGAATCCCGCCGGCTGAAGACTCCCCGTGTAGTAAAGTGACTGATGCACGTTAAATCTGTCGAGTCGTAAAAGTCCTCTATGTTCCCATAACAAATCAATACCTCCGGGAGTACTGGATTAGAGATCGATCGTTCTCTGATTGAGGTTAAAATTACGATCCGTGGATGCATAAATGGATGTATGAATGGGTCTGCCCTGCAAACGGGTGTGACGTAAGGTGTGGCAGAAGTCGAATTCTTGGCCATAGATGGCGCCACTGGAAAACAAGAACAATCTCACCCCCTCTGCCTACAGGCATGCATCAACAACAACAACATTTTTAAAAAAAGCATTGTATAAAAATAATTTATTTTACTTATTTTTGTTCCATGCCCAACTATAATTCCCCAACCCCTCATAAAACTGTATATTTTTTTCTCTATCGGCCTAGATAAATGTAAGTTTTGTAAAGCATGAAGTAGGAAATTAAATTAGTTAAAGTAAATGTTAAAATTTTAGGGTGAAGAAAAACATATTGAAAGAAAATAATTAAAGCAAAATTAAGACGAAAAAAAGCTGTTTTGTTTTTGATCAAAATATCTCTAAAAAAATTTTTTTTTTGTTACGCTATTCCCTCGAAATTATTTTAAAATTATATATATCTACTTAATAAAAAGTATTAGCGCTCAACTTTTTTTACAAAAAATTGTTATTACAAATTTATTTGAAAGCATAACGAAAATTACTATGTAATAAGTTTTAAAGTACTGTTGATAAGTATTTCACGTTAATATAGGATATGATGGGAAACAAAATAAAAAATTCATTTTTATTCTTATTAATGCTAATGTTTAAAAATGGTAAAGAACTGATTTAATGGTTTAACAGTGTTGAACCGTTGAAAAGGAAACTTGCACCAGACTCAAAAGATTCACGGAATTATATTTAAAGAATGATAATGCGATATAAAAACAATATCTGATTTTGAGTACTTGAAAAAACTTTTTTTTTTTATAATTTATATTTCTAACAATAAAAATTTCGTATTATCATTAGAAATACTTATAACTTGTAAAAAAAAACTTGCTTATTATGTATAATAATGGGGTTATTAACTTACAACTTAACAAACAACTTACTATGACGCCTAGGAGTCTGAAAAATTTAGAGTGAAAATAAGCTAACTCAAAGTTAAAGTAAAATTAGCTAACTCAAAATGTCTTTTGATAAATAAGCAAAAATTGTTAGATTCCATGGCAGTTGATAGATCTTTTTGGAAATTAAAGGTAATTTATTACAGGATTTAAAAATATTTTTTCACATACATTTTTTATTGCATTAACTTATCTGTTATTTTCTTTGTGTGTAAATGATTTACGTGTAAATTTTAAAAAAAACATATTGATACCAAATTTCAAACACAACAATTTAACAAATCATCTTTTTTTTTCCCTCTTTCACTCACTATTCCACAGATTAAAAACAAAATCAATTACGAAAAATAGATAAAAGCAAAGTTCATCCTTTTGTTTACACTTTCACGGTACTCACTTTCACATAGTAGTTGCGAATGTAAAGTCCGAAGAGAATAACTCGCTGAACTCGAGAAACCGCCTTCTTCATTTTAAAGAATCAACCCTCCACACTTTTGGAACGTTTCAAACTCTANAATGCACTTAGGGATCAGGAAAACTGAATAACGACAATTTTTTTAATTCGAAAATGTCAACATTTTAAACCTTTCGAAACATTTATAGTAATTGCAAAATAACTAGGAAAGATAATTACTTTAAATGATAAACACGGTAATGTATATGCTGCGTGTTATAAAAGGAGTTTAGAAAATTATTAAAGCTACTACAGTGAAACTATCGTAAACTGATCAGAAGTGGAACTACAATTTGATGGTTTTATAAGAGAAGTCATCTTATAAAAATGATAATAAATTGTTTTTACCAGTTTTGCACTTGATCATCAAAATCTTAGATAGGTGATTAACTTATAGAGATGGTCAACTTAACAGGTTTCACTGTGCAAGTAAAGTAAGCACAGCAACTAAGCAAGATGCGAGAAAAGAAAATATTTACGAGCATTTAGTGCAAATCTATCTTTCTATCATTGTTTTTTTTTTTTTTTTTTTAACTTTACAACAGATGTTACGGCTACTATAAATGAAAAAAAAAAATTAGTTAAAAATATTTGTTGCTTCGTAGACGCTTTAAAATACTGTTTCATACGTGGCCCAAATCAAAATATTCATTTGTTCACTAAATTACTATCAAAACTATTTTCAATCGAGTTTGAAACAATTATTGATGCTGTTACAAAGAAAAGCAAAGTCATATTTCTCATCTGCGAGCTGAATGTTTGTATTTTGTATTGTTTCGAACTTCAGAGCAGAAATGATTAAATAAATTATTTTGCTTATCAAAAAAAGATTTTTTGCCTTTTATTTTCAAATGCACACAGATGTGTGCCATGAAGTTGAACTTTTCTGAATTTCTTGTTGGCGATTGGGTCCTTGTTAGGTCTTATTTTTAATTTCCTCGAAACGCGAGATAATTTTTATTAAAAAAAAATTAGCTAGTGAGAACATTTTTATGCGCGAGTAATTAAGGTTCTTGTGGTTGGGGAACGAAGCGAGCTGAGGTCGAAACCACTTAGTATTCTTATGCAGCTCAAAGACCGCACCAACATTAAAATATCGAAGACAGTTCCGACTGATTTTTACACATAAAAAAGCTTGACAAAACGAGCTATCCAATGTTACTATAATTTTAGTGTTTTCTGGCAAACGGCGCTGTTTTACAGAAATATAGCCAAATAAATTAGAGCACTCAAAACATGGCAAACTTTATTTATGCTGTGATATTAATTTTATTAATATATATATATATAAAAATAATTTATTTTTGGGCTACAAAATGTTCGAATCCGCTACTTTTGGAGCTCCCATTCGCTACTTTTTAATCTTAAGTTCTGGCAACACTGGTTAAATGTTTAACGCAACCTTGTTGGAAGTCGCATAAGAAGTATAACATCAAAAAAAAATTTTTTAGATTCCATAACAGCTAATAGATCTTTTTGGAATCTCGAAGTTAAATGAGTCACAAAAAGTTTTAGACCTTTAGTTTTCGCAAAAGTTTTAAAAGTTAGTTTGAGTTTTTGACCCTGAATCTTTTGTTTGTACAATCTTAGAATTTACATAGTTTCGCGAAGTCACGTTAAAATATTATTCATTTTGCACAATTGTTTATTCATATTAATAAAATGCTTATAAAATAATATAATTTCTAAATACTTTATTGAAAATTAAAGCTAATTTATTACAGGATTTAAAAATATTTTCTCTCAATTACACAAACTACATTTTTTATTGCATTAACTTATCTGTTATTTTCTTTATGTGTAAATGATTTACGCGCAAATTTAAAAAAAAAAAAAACATATTAAGACCAAGTTTCAAACACAACAATTTAGAAAAACATCTTTTTTTCCCTGTTTCACTCACTATTCCACAGATTAAAAACAAAATCAACTACGAAAAATAGATAAAAGCAAAGTTATTCCTTTTGTTTACACTTTCACGGTACTCACTTTCACATAGTAGTTGCGAATGTAAAGTTCGATGAGAATGACTCGCTGAACTCGAGAAACCGCCTTCTTCATTTTAAAGAATCAACCCTCCACACTTTTGAAACCTATAGGGGCTTATTCCCATTGCACGTACTCTTCATAGACTTTGGAGTTACACTCTAAGTAAGGAGTAGGTTTTTTGAGAAGAATATGCCATTGCACAAGTTTGCAACAGTTAATCATGAATGTTAGATAAAGTTTAGCCTATCTACAGCCAGCGTTGTCTATGCTTATTCTGAAAATGGCGCAAAACGTCAATATGGAGAAAAGCCCACAGTTTTGTGAAAATAAAAGTATTTGAGATCTAATTATTATATATAAACTTACTCAACGTTGCATTATTTGAACTCATTAAAATTTGCAAACACTGAGATGGAGGCATTGATTTTGTCAGTTTTCATCTCAGCGGAAAAATATCACCAAATTGGAGAATTTTTAGAAAGTTTAATAACTTTTAAAGTATTTCAAGTTATTCGCCCGTTCTAAAGCCCAGATAATTCTTCACGGCAAGATGTTATATACTGCGTAAAACAATAGCTTTGCTTTAAGTGTAAGACACTTAAACTGTGGCTTTCTTATTTTACTTGGCGAAAGAGCTTCGGTTAAGTCTTTACACCTCCAATTTATTTTTAAAATTTTCCGTAAAAAAAAATCATGAATATTATCTAACAGTTGTTGTTCATCTTTGTGTAACTATCATTGGACACATTGCAATAAGTTGCGGCAGACTTACCTAAAGAAATTTCAACCCAATGATTTCTATCCGGAATTTGTCTGCTTTCAGTTTCGATTCCGGATTCCATCTTTTTTGAATCTTTAAATTAAATAACAAATTAAGTAGTAACAATAGCAATATCACATCATTATTCACTCGTTATATCATGAATCATTCATAGTGAAAATCAACATAGCTACGCGTTATTCATAAGAAATCGAAAGAACTGCTAAATAAGGAGAGCTGAAATCCATAGTGCATGTCCTCGTTCCTCAGACTCGTTTAAGTTAATAAAACAACAATATTATTGAATGAATTCATCATTTAATTACATGTACGAAAATTTTAAGCCAAGCTAAATGTTTTTACACTGTAGCTCAGTGACCGAAACAAGTGAGATATATAGCAACACCATATAATATTTTACATTTGAAAAGTTCTTTGTTTACGCTGATAAAAATATGCAAAAAACTAATAATTTTTCATTAAATTGTTATACTTAACACCTAGATAGTAAAGTCTCACCAAATTAGCATTTTTTTTTAAAGAAAAAAATTTAGTATTTTCTTAAAAAAATATTTAAAGAATACTTTAAAAATCTGGTAAATTTCTCTCTGCATTAAATGTAATTTAAAAATTAAGTTTCGCTTTGAATTTAAGGCTCTCTAATTGTGGTTTTTAATTTTTCTGAGTTAAGGAGCTTCAAAAATTCTCTTTAAAAGAAAAAATTAAATGAATAAATAAACGCCTTAGAAAAAGGTCTGAATGTGAATTTTTCAATTTAGTAATACTTAAATTTAAATATAAGTTCATTAATAAATGATTACCTTTCATTAAACTGATATCCTTTGAATACTCATCTTTATATTTTATTAGAAAATCAATCACGTACTGTATTGGATCATCTGGCCTGAAATTGTAAGTAGGGTTTTAGATTTATTAAGCAAAATTATGATTAACTAAACTGAAAAGAAATCTAAAATACTGGATTCAAATTTTAAGCAGTTTGAGGAGGGAATGCACCATTACTAATGTATCCTTACGCATGATCAGTTCGCTGAATCAAGGCTTAACTTGATAGTAACCGTTGCTCGTAACAGTAACAGATATATTACTGATCTAGTTCAGCCTTGGCTGAATTGAATGTGTAATAAAAATAAGTTCCTAAAAAGTGTATCTTGAAAATTTATAAAGTTTCTAGCAATTCCTAAGTAATAAGGTTTTTTTTACAAATTTCTTTTGGAATCGTGAAACAAAATTTAATAACAAGTGATAATATCCACAATAATCGCCCGTACACCTAAATGAGATGGTATTAGGAAAGTTAACAAGTGAAAGAAAAAATATTTTTATAAGATATAATCCCCACAGTACCCTTGTCATTTTTAATAAAACTTTTTTTAATAATTCTATATATATATATGCCATTATCTTTAATAATCTTATCTATATATACATCTTATTTACATGCTATTATCTTTAATTTTGGTCCCGCAGTGGACTGATCGTTAAGACATGGTTCCCAGCAGATCACCGAAGTCAAGCATCGCTGGCTGCTGTCAGTGTGCGGGTGGATAATCACTTGGATCAGTCTGCGTAGGGGCCGAGGGTGTGCTGTATTGGTCCTCGTTAAACTGTTCCACCATAAAGTGGTAGACTTCGAGTGCAGGTCGTTGGGCTACCGAAGCGGGGGTGCCATCCCCTCTGCAGAAGATCAAAATTGTGATGGCATGTCTTCGGATCAACCTCAGGGATGTTTCCCAGACCCTCGCCAATAGCCCATTGTGCAGCTCTAATGCGACGTAAATGAATTACAACAACAACAACAAATCTTTAATTTTGAGCGCGTTTCTGAAAGTTTAAAACTGACGAGTATATTAAACATAAAACTAATGAGAGTTGTTAGGGTATTTTTACATGTATAATATTACTTTATCTGTATGTAAACATTACTTTGCTGTTTACTTCATTGATTACTTTATTTCTTATTTAACGGTACCTGTAATACTAATTCATCATCCATTCTTGGTATTATTCTCGGTTAATTTGATCATTATTTCAAAATAAAAGCTTAAAAGTAAAGAGCGGTGTTTTTTTATTATAAACCTGGAATCAGTGTCCGCAAAACATGGGGAGAGGTACAGGGCCGGCAAAAAGCTTTTTCATACCAGCCCCACATCAATTACTTCGCAACATTTTATGATTAACATGTAAGCAATATTATCTGACTTATTAACGGTTTTACGATTATTAAGCAGTTACAGACTTTTATTTTATTATAATATGTAAAACTGAATCCAATCAATATATGCAAATAAAATAACGATTGGATTATTGTACTATTATAAATAATCTCATCTCAAATTGATAAATAATCTTTCTCAAATCGAGAAACATTTAGCGAGTTTTTTAGTCAACCAATAAAGAAATTTAAATGTAAAAAAAAAAAAAAAAATCGTACATGAAGTTGTGACGGCAATCGAGCAAAATCATTAGACATAAATTTTATTCTGACCGAGTCAGAAATTAAATCCGAGGGACAAAATATGTGTTAATACAAGAAAACATTTTTGGAACTTCACATGGCTGTTATTAAATACGGTGATATGATCTCAGATCTCGGGGTTTCAATCATAACAAACGCCTTTTAACATAATATATATTTAATAACAAAAGGATGATGATAATGGTACAGTGTCATGGAGGAAACTGATTAGCAAACTAATGATTTTACATTACTGCGCAGAGCGCCATCTATTGAGCTTTAGAAATTATAATTAATAAGGAGAAATATTATTAACAGCTGTGTCTAATCACGTAGCTGTGCATAGCGTGCTAACGTTACAGCTTTTATGTTTGAGTTTATTATCTCGCTGTATCCATTTTCGGATCAGATTTAATTGAATATCTGCAACCTGATTAGATGACCCTGGCGTGACGTAACTTGCAGGTTTTAAATTGAATTTCATTTACCTTTAAGGTAGCAATCCGTTTATCTTAAAGATACAAAAAATTATTACGCATGGGGGTTGAGGAGAGAAGCAAGCAGGAGACAAACCCCCAAAGTGAGACTTAATGTTACGCTTGAGCTTTTCATTTTTCTCAAAAAGGGGGGAGGGGTGTAAATTGTTTTATTATTTTCGAATAGCAAAGTAACATCATTAAGATGTTCCAGTGTTCCAATTTTAAATTATTCTACTTAAATTTTTCTGAGAATATTTTGCTGTTGTTGTTAATTTACGTCGCACTAGAGCTGCACAATGGGCTATTGGCGACGGTCTGGGAAACATCCCGGAGGATGATCCGAAGACATGCCATCACAATTTTGATCCTCTGCGAAGGGGATGGCACCCCCGCTTCGGTAGCCCGACGACGTGCGCGCGAAGTCGAGCACTTTACGGTAGCACAGTTTAACGAGGACCAATACCGCACACCCTCGGTCCCTACGCAGACTGATCCAAGTGGTCACCCACCCGCACACTGACCGTAGCCAATATTTTGCAATGGTTTAAAGTGCGAATATTGTTTTCTTATTACCTTTCTTTCACAAGTTCGCAAAGTGCTTTAAATGAAATATTTAAAACTGTTGCTTCGATAAATTCTCTTGCTGCCTTTATATCACTTTCTTGCCATTCACTGATAGGTTTCTTTTGGTATACGTCATCACTGAAATTTCCCGAAGAACAGCCATTTCCATCAACATCCGCCATCTATTGATAAAAATGTGCACATTTAGAAAAGTATCATGTATGTAAAGAGTGTTTCCAAATCACCACCCTTGAGGATACTTTTTTTTTTCTCTTCNCATTAAAATGCAAAATACGCCTCAAAATTTAAAGAAAAATGCCCTATAAATCTAAAAAAATGCTCTAAAAGACAAAAAATGTCCAAAAATGCAAATGTCATCAAAATCCGGGCCTTAGTGATAATAAACATAATTATATATGATAATTATCTTTAATAATATAATAATAATATATAATAATGAAAATAAATAAAACAATAATAAACATTTTTCTTTTTTATACTCTTCATTTATAAAACAATCAAAATCAAAAGCGTAATAATAGTGGTACAGTTAACTATCTTTAAGTTTTGGGTACGAAAATATTTGTAGGAAAAAAAATGCCGCTATGACTTTTATCAAACTTATGCTGATGAAAACCAAAACAATATGAAAATCAATGAGGAAAAATTAGATCCTACCATGTGATTTTCCGGCCAACAAAAATGTACCGACAACAATAGAAAACTGTGTTAGACTATAATGTTAATCTGTGATTATTTAAAAGCTTTTTCTTAGAAAAGGCATATCATCATAATAATTAGCTCATGATTTATTATGGTATCACGAAATGAAGTGGTATTAAATAACAATAAATATCAAATTTACGCATGTTGGATAATTTGAAGAGATCTATACATTAGTCAAAGTAAAATCTTCCTCTTTTAATCTTTGGGCGTTCTAGATTAGATAGATGTAACACTGATTTTAAATTGAATAAAATATGAAGTACTCATGCATTTATGAAAAAGTGCAGTAAAATTTTCCATTGCGCCTTTTAAATCAATATAATGTAACTAAATTCGTTAAAGAAATATGTCTTTGTAATAACCATTTTTAACGTGTACTGTTGCTATTTTTCAGTTTTTTTTTAAAAATTTTTATTCATTATTTAAGCATATGTATATTTACCAAAAATAAATTCCTAAGTAGACTAGATTCAGTTTTAGGACTGCGAATTCAACTGTCGTACGGAAAATCAAACTTAAGATTATTAATGATAAAGCGTTGAAAATGTTCATGTTCTTAAATATTTTCAAAATAATCTTTTATTTGTTAATACGTTTACAATTGTTTTTATATATTTTGTTTATAAAATCGGGGTTCCACCGAATGATGATCGATCATTTAGGGTTTCATAAACGAAAAAAATTATAAACCGCTGATTCAATTAATTACTTTCTCGATTATAAACATATTAAATCAATGTGTGTGTCAAATCAACGTGAGATAAATTTTTTTCGTGTTAAAATCATATCTATGAAGGAAAGAAAAAAAACTTTTGAAAATTATTTTTCTCTTTTGGTATTTTGCTTCCTAGTCAAGAATTGATGCATTAAAATCCTGTTAACTACGAACAAAGAGAAATATTTAAAATTTGCAATTGTGACTGTATTTGTTTATTCGTCTGGATTGTAAAAAAATACGTAAAAAACTATGAAACTTTTTTTTCTACTGAAAAAGACTATTTTAAAATTTCTCGTATAAGTTATTTAGTGGATAGATAAGTATTATTTAAAAAATATATATTATTTTTGTTTTAAAAGTGAGTTATTTAACAGCATAGTTAATTATAATTACTTATAATGATTAAATGTTAAATACTTCCAAGTTTATATTACAAACCAGGGCTCGAAAAAATTCAGAAATTTTACCCGTCACCGAGGACGGCTTGTCCAACAATGTACCCGTCCTCCTTTGAAACTAACCCGTCGCTTCTAAATAAATAAAAATATAATTTTCTCTTATTTATTACTAACATTTATATAAATTGCACAATGAATTAGTAGTTACTAGGATTACATTATACAGTAATAAAAGAAATACTAGGTCACTAATAGTAATCTAGTATTTCTTTTATGAAATAATTTAAATGACAAAGGTCTAGTTATCTGGAATGTCAATTTATTCGAGGGTACTGCGTTTTTTAAATGAATCAAATATGACGTTTGTCAGTTCCACAATCAAGCCAATGATTAACAAAAGTTTCTGCACAGAAATCTGAAAGGGGTTTTCCATTTAGGTAGATGTTCATGATTGCGTTTAACGCTTCTTGTTTAAGACCAGTACGTAATGTGTNAAGCATTCCTCTTTTGTTAGTTCATTGCTGAAAAGCCCCTTTCAACCGCTACAGTACTCCCAGACAGAGAAAACATCAACTCTAATAACAAAAATTGAAAATGCATCACGAACATTAATGGGAAAATGGGCGGACGTCGGATTCGAGAATTTCGTTGTCCGCGGGGAATTTTTGACGGCCGAGGACGGGCGGTTTTTCGAGCCCTGTTACAAATATATATTTTTTTAAAAATTCAAGTCTGGAAATTAAGTTTATAACTGAATAAGAGAATATTTTTTCTCTTATTTGTTTTACCCATCCAAAAGCATTGAGGAGAAAACCACGATTTGCTTGTAGAAGATATAGAGCATTTTGTAGTAAAATGCCAAATCCTCTATTATTAGCCATTTATTAGTTTTTCTTCAAAATGTATCTCCTTAAAATAATATAAAATAAAAAGACTAACGTAAAAAAAAAAAAAAATGATTACATTTCATAATTCAAATTAGAATTTCTTAAGCTCGTTTTCAGAAAAAAACATTAAAAATGAGAGGAGCAAATTTACCTCTGACTAAAATAAGTGTATAATTGTTAACTAGTTCTGTTTTTAAGACCTTGAATATATTATTCTATTATTTCGATAATGTTTTATTTAAAATTTTCTTTGACAATAATGATTCTTAAATACATTACTATGATTCTTACTATGATACAATAATACATACTTAAATACAATACATTCCTATAATTATTAATGAATGTAAGTTGTTAAAAACTTTTAAATAATATTTGGGGGTAATTATTTTTTCAATGATGAATAAAATGTTTGGTGTGATGATGACTAATAAGTATTAATGATAAATAAGATTTGTAAACAAGGCTTTTCCATATATTATTGGTAATCCATCCCAGACTGCAAAGCCACTTTTAAAGAACTACACCAGCTGTACCGAGGGTTGGTGAGCGACAGTGAACAGGGGGCTTAGCCTCTAATATAAAGTATAAATTATATTAAAGCATGGAAGCTAGGCTATAAAACAAACAGCGAGAGCAGCGATCTGAAATGCAGTGCAGGAAGTTGCCAAAGACCTCCTGTTTTGTTTTTAATCTTTTCGAAATCCTGACAACACTGTTGCATAGTGGATTTCGAAAAATTATAATTTAGTTATTGATTTTGAAATAGTGAAAAACAGAGAATTTTTCTAAAAAATACATTTTATACAGCCCGTAACGATTTAACAAAGTTGTAATGAATCTTTACCGTTTCTAGATAAACTTACCAAGGCCAATGTTACGTTAAGCTCCTTTTCGCATCTTATTTCTGCAGAATAATAAATAGTGAAAGTAAAACTCTTCACTGTTTCGTTCGTCACAACTTGTGACGTAATATGTTGTCAAACTGGCTTTCTTCATCCTTCCGCGAAAAAAGAAATTCAAAACGGAAGAATGCGATTTATCATTTAGATCAGCGCCTCTCAACTAGGCGCAGTGGCGTGGAGAGGTATGGAAATGCACCTTCATTAAATGCCCCTTAAACGAGAACTGTAATCAACAGATGAAGGAGGGGGGAAAGCCATTTAAATAAATGAAAGAAAATTTTATATAATCATATAAATTAAAATTTTCTTTTTAAATTTATTTTTATGAAAACATATGCGGTAATTATTCTATGGTTAATTCTAATATATTCTATAATAATCAAACATTTTCCACGACATCAAAAGTACAATTAAATTTTATTGATTTATAACTTCATGGTTAATGGAGTTTGAAAATAATATTTAATTCTTCAGGAAATATTTTGCTTAAGCCAAATATTTAAGGAGTAAAAAATTTAAAATATTAATAGATTTTCAGTTTTAGTGTCCTTAGTTGTCTACTGGATTGCCCATTCACAACCTCTCAGCAAGTCACTGACTCAGCGACCCTGAAATCAAGAAATGATGCCCAGCCCCTATTTATACCAGACATGAAACCAAATTACATAATTCAAGTAATGGGTATTAGATTTCTATCCAGCCAAGTAATTGAGTTTTTTGTTGAAATTAAAATAACTAATGAAAAGAAATTGTTGTTGTTGTAGTTAATTTACGTCACACTAGAGCTGCACGATGGGCTATTGGCGAAGGTCTGGGAAACATCCATGAGGATGATCCGAAAACATGCCATCACAATTTTGATCTTCTGCAGAGGGGATGGCACCACCGCTTTGGTATTCCGAGACCTGCATGCACACCCTCGGTCCCTACGCAGACTGATCCAAGTGGTCACCCACCCGCACACTGACCGTAGACAGTGATGCTTGACTTCGGTGATCTGCTAGGAACCATGTCTTAACAATCAGTCCACTGCGGGACAATAAAAAGAAAATTACGCTTTTTTATTATTATTAAAAAGAATCATAGTTTCTTTTACAGGAAAAAAATAATATTAATGAAACAATGAAGTACCTATATCAGCGGGAGGATTGTATTTGATAGTTCAATATTTTTAATGAGAGAAAGTAAAAAACTACATTTATTACAAGAAGTGAATTGTTAAATACATGATATATTTTAAATATAAAAAAAATATTCAAGTCATAGAAAAAGCTCGACTCTACCCCCTCCAAACGGACACCTTTGTGTAATCACTTTAAGAGAAAAAAGGAAAGGGTTATACACTTCATATCGATAAAGGAAATTTTGAACTCTGTCCAGGTGCTGATATTTTTAGTTGAGATATGTTATTTTTTGTGAAAATTTGTTATTCAGAAATATAACATATTATTTAGATATAATAGGCACAGTAAAAAAATTGATATTTCATAATAAATAATTTAAATGCTTATAAAACAAATGGAAAAAGGTATAAAATAGCTATGTATTTATTTGATGGAATCTAGCCGAAAATTACCTCATCTTCAGATTGACACACAAATTTACATAATATCAATGGAAAAGTTTTTAGTTGTGTGTACTAATTTTGTTTATGCCTTTATATTGTTAATGTTTTAATAACATCTCTAGGAGTTTTATCTCACAAAACTAGAGAAAAAAAAATGACAGTGAAAGAGATAGAAACCAAAACAAAAATTGTTCTTAATTTCTGAAAAAAAAAAAAAAAAAGAATTAACATTAGAAATCTCAATTTAACTTCTCTTCACAATTTCTTATTTTTTGAAAAAACATGACCATTAAAACACATGGTTCATACTCAAAAAGTAGAAATTCCCCCCCCCCTGACTTTTGAACACTATATTCATTTGATGTGCGCTTTAAAACATGCTGTCATAATAAAATCGCTGATAAAAAGAAAAGTTAATAAAGAAAAGCAAAAAAGAAACAAAAATATTTTTTAAATCTCAATTCTGAAATGTAATCTTTTACAATCACAATAACCAAGAAAATCACAATTTTCTACGTTACCTCTCTTACCGTACACTAGAATAATTAAGCATAAAATCAGTAATATATTGGTGGAAAAATTAACAAGTGAAAAATAGTAGCAGTACACTAATTTAACTCTTTTTCTGAAGTAAATGAATTATATCATTATATATACTTTTTACTATAAAGATTACAGCTTTTCACTAGACTCTTCGAATTTAATAAATGTACTTAATAGATATCAATAAATTTACATTCTTGACGTTTGCTGAATTGTTTATTTTTCGAATAAAAAAATAGTGTTAAAAGTTCTGATTATTTTTATGCATTATCACTTCACTTTGTTTATAGCAAATGTATTTCCTTAGCAGTTAGTAAGTTTGATTTAAAGATCAATTATATGCTTCTTTGCTGCCACACTATTTTAAGCAGTTTTTTTTCTTGTGGTAGAGAAATAAAAAATTGCAACAATAACTAAGTTAAAAGCAAATCATTGATTATTAGATAGTTTATCTTAATCAGGCATCTATATTGATTATTCTAAATCAAATTTATTAAATAAAGAATAAGAATGAGTGCCTTTTTATCATTCCCCAAAATCTGAATTCCCCCTTTCCCAAAAATCTAAATTCGTGGCGCCCTTGGTGACATGGACAAGATCTAACAAATTTTCTAAAATAAATATAAAAGTTATGCAAATAAACAGTTAGTTGAAATGGCATAAAATTATATTAAATATTAAGTAATAGTAAAAAGCTGTTTCAAATACCTTTGTCACTAAATAGATTATTTCGAAAAACAATAGCTCAGAACACTTGAATAAACTGAACATCTGGAAAATAATCCAAGGCACATCCAGTAATATTTTTTTTGTAATAAAATTCAAGAAATTTTACATTATGTTGTTAATGCAATATGTCCAATAGCTACTTGCGATAGTCAACGCCTACAGCTCACTTCTGAGGCATAAATCATTCCACTGCTCAAATAGAGAGAAAAAAAAGATTTCTCCAAATGCTCACGTCATGTATGTATACATAAGAAAGAAACCTTTAGATAGCCATATTGTGCGAAAGGGAAAAAATCATGAATTTATTAATTTTTTCAATGGCTAACAAAAAAAAAAAAAAAAAAATCAACCTGGCATGGTGGCGGGNTCACTGAAAAATCACAAATTTTTACAACCAAGTGCAAAATAGTAGTTTTTGTCAATATTTTAGCAAAAATAGTCTACACATAAGCATTTTCCTTAAAATAGTAGTTTTAAATATCGTTGCCAATGGCAGCCCTGACAATACAGGGTACAAGGTATGATGCAAAAGCATGAATGAGATAGTGTTAAATGCATGCAAAGCAATGCATGTTAAATACAAAAATAATTTATTTATTGTGTCAAAGCATACAATTCAACAATTTCCATTATAATTCTAGACATTTAAATGGGAGGGAACATAACTTAAATATTAAAAACACTTTATATAATATAGCTTCAATTTTGATAGTTTTCTTTTACATTTAAAATTATTTGATAACCTAATTATGAGCGTTTGCCATTATAATATAGGCAAGCTTGTTCAATTGATTCAAACGGATAAAGTATAAAACACAGTTGTTATTGTCGTAGAACAAATCTAAAACCTGGTAAGCAGAACGAGCATCATTTGCAAAAGAATATGACACCTATTTAGAAAAAAAAAACTTTATTATGGAATGACAACAACAAAAGAAAAGAAAAAGGGATCTTAATGCGAAGATCTCTTGTTTATGAAGAAACTAAGTTTGTTCTTTTAATGGAAAGGAAACATTTTATTTATATAAAAGAATTTCAGTTAAAATAAATTGCAAAAACATCGTCCAGTGTTTCACTTCTTTTTTCGAGTTTTAGCTTCTTTAGCCAGAGATCTTTTTTGAAGAATTTCTAACATGGCAGGAGTAGGTATTATTCCAGGATCTAGTACGGGTGGTGTCTCACACTTCCTTTTTTCTTGTTTAGCTTTTGCACCTTTAGTATTTTCTTTATCAGACACAGTTTTAACTTTCTTTGCTGCAGGGACTTTCGTTTTCTAAAAAATAAAATTTAACTTAGAAAAATTACTTAACCTTAAGTTGGATGTTAATAGATATTTTCAATAGAGGTAAAATAAGGTTCACAGAACGATTTAAATTTTCAGTTTGCTTAATTTATAATTGGAATGCTTAATGTTATTTGGAAGAGGGTCACAGAAAAAATATTTTAAATGGTGAAATATTTGCCCATAGTGAAATAAACTTCTTTTTATATATATTTTAATAAATAAACAGCTACCTAGGTAACAAACTGTTAAATTAGAAGGAAAGGTAAGTTACTTTAAAACTAACATTTAAAAAAAAAATTTCCCAAGTGAGCTATGTAGAAAAAGCAAAATAACTTTCTCATGATCTTAGCATTTGTCAATTAATGAACATAAAGCATCATTTTGCTAGTTTTTATATATTTTGAAAAGAGCATAATAGAAAATCTATGCCACTTGCTTAATTTTTAATTACCAAAATTTTTCTGTTAATATTGTGCCGGTACATAGTTGAACACTAATAAATTTAAAATAAATCCAAGACAATATAATCATTACAAAATATTTTAGAGATATCAAATTTTTTTTTGTACGATTGGAAGTTTAAAAATCCTATCGTAAAATTAAATTATCTAAACATAAAGTGCCCAAAAATATTAAAATATTTTCCAACAGTAGATATACCTTAGCAGGACTTTTGAAGTTTAAAACAGAACTTTTTTCACATCCAAGTTTTTTCAGTTCCTCCTTCAAAACTTTTCGGCATAATTCATAGCTTGGTTCATCTTCAAATTTCAGCTCTCCAACATAACTTAGAAGCTTTCTGATGACAACTATACAAAATAAAGTAAATACCTTTATATTTGTTTTTAACTAAAAACAAAACTAGGAATTTTTTTTTAGACATTTGTGGTTTTGTCTTTTATTTTTTTATGGGCAATATTTAAATTTAAGAGCTTTAATGCTCACAAGTTTGAAAACATACTTCAGTTATCTGAAGTACCACAAATGTGTGCAGTCAAACTGCTTTGACTATTGCCTATTAAGTCAATGTTTTTAACTACCTATTGTAATTAATAATTTATGAGAATAGTTTTAGTAATAATTTTACTAATCAATAATTTTAGTAATAGCAATATTTATTAAATTTTAATAATACTATGACTCTTTGTTTCCCAGTCAAATGCATACACAGAAATATTTTAATCCTACCAGTTAATGAGGGAAATTTCACAATTCTTGCCATTTTCTAATACCTTGTAAAGTTAAGAATAGTGAGAAGAAATAATTTCGATGCATAAATACTGATTTTAATGCTTATTAGAATTTCACAACAGAATTTTCAGATGACCATGAAAATATTACTACAGGTAGCATATTTACAAAATATTTTAAAATGATCTTAATGCAGAGCTGTAAACATGTCACTAAGTTTTATGACTATGGGTTGGAATTGCAACTCATAACTGATTTTTCGTTGTCCCATTCCTTGCACATGTTTCATTGAATTTTTCAATTTAATAACGACTAATTGATGTAAGGCTGATTTAATAATGTTACAACATATAAAACAGTATTTATTTTTTACCAGGGCAATCCTCATCTTCAAATAATTCATCTAAACTGTCATCAATGTGCTTCATGAACCTAATAAAAAAATAAACACTATAGCAATGAAAGAAAAATAAAGGAGATACACCAATACTGAATTTTACATACTAAAGCAGATTATAAATTTTTGTATTAATAAAATTTACTTGCCCTGAGAAATTTCACAACAGAAAAGCAATTCACTTTACATAATTACGTTCAAGGACAGAAAATTAACTATGTACACGGTGTTTGAATGTAAACATATAAAGTGAGTGAAACAAGAGAAAACTTAAATCGTGGCAAAAACAAAATTGTATCAAGTATCGCCTAAAGATAAGGTTTAATCTTTATTCTCACTAGAAATATAATATTATTAATAAAATTGAGTATAATCAGATATTACACTTTTTAAAATGCCACATTTATACTTAAAAACAATGTTACATCCATGATAAATAAAATATTTATTTTAAGTCCTCAACCAAAATTGAAATACTTGCAAGTGTTGGATGCACTCATGCCCTAACATACATTTTAGCTAAAAATAAAATTTTATTATTAACCAATTTTTCAGGTTTATGAATTATTTTGAAAGGAAATATTTGATGAACTATTTGAAATTTGCACATGCACACAGTAGATAACACAGAAGTAATTCTTTAACCACACATTATATAATTTTGTATTCGTCCTTTTATAAGATAAAAGCTATGATGAAATAATTCATAATTCAGCGGATGCAGGAGCAACTGTATTAGTTTTATTTCTGTCTTAAAAAACATTTCTTTCATCGCAAAAATTAAAATAAAAAAAATTCTCAGAAATAGAATGCTATGTTAATTGTAATGCAAAACTGAAGTTCATTTGATTTCAAACAGCCAGAAAAAGTAGCAAAATACTTTACTTAGTTTTTATTTATTTTATTAATATGTGGACTTATTTTTTTTAAACACGCAGGTTGACAAGTTTACACAATGAATAACATTGAAAATCTTGCTACCACTTTTTATTTATCTTTTAAATTTCAAATAACATTAACAGTACACTGAACAGCAAGTTTACGCTATGAATTACTTAAAGGCAGCACAATTCCCAAGTGATACTTTAAGTAAATCTATTTCTACCAATGCCCAAAATAGGTGTCAAATGTTCAATAGTCTTTTTAGGCCCTCATCTTTAACTGTCAGAATTTCATGAAATTTGGTATCAGGGATTATTTTTGGATGCTAAAATTGAATGCAATAAAAAAATTGGTGCTTCTTCTGCAAAAGTGCATTTTTTCATCAAAATAAGCATATTCTGTCATGGTTGCAGTTAACTGTTATAACAAATTTAAAATATTTCTTCGAGACCTTGCATCATAGCATTTACAGAAGGAACAAACCTGTCAAAAGTTATAAGGGTGATCCATTTTTCTTTGCTAACAGTACACCACAAATATATGACTATTTTTAATATGCTATAAAGATAAATAAAAATTTTAAAAGATAATTACTTCTCTTTTTCTTGTTGAAGTTTCACATTGTTTGCTTTGTGGCATTCCCAAGGAAGTTCACCACAAAGCCACTGTAACATGTTGTAACAAAGTAACTCCAGATCACTTCGTCTAGAAAAACCTACAGAAAGTACAAATAAAAGTTAATCTAACTATTTTCAAATTTAATTTTTGTATTCATTTTCATCAAATTAAATTATTAAATAAAACTTTTTAAAAAAAGTCCAACTATTTCTTTCTTTTTTTTAAACTCTTGCAATATCATAAATATCAAGAGTCATAGTCTCTTTCTCCCATATAATCTTCATTTATTCCAAAATTTTCCATACTATGGCATTTTTTTTCCTACTAGATGACCTCTAAACAGTAGACATGTTGTTGGTTGGTATGAGACAGGTCTTTTTACTGAACTGTAAGTGTGACAGAAGGCTGATTACTGCTTAGCAAAAGAACTGCACGAGTGCGTGTGGAGAGACAGTTGGTGACATGTAGAGAATGTAGAGAACAGTGAGCTCTGTCTCCTAGTAATTCATAATTCTTTAGTAGTTTCAGCTTTATATTCATTTACTTTATAAATATCTTGTGAATTCTGTAATGCATGCAAATTTTTTAATTTTGTACTAGGTAATAAAAATTATTTTCAGATAATTGATAGTAGATGGTGGATAAGAGACTCAAGAAATGAACATTTTAAGCAATTATTCCCCTGTCAGTAAACAACACATAAGAAGATGGAGAGGTTCAGTCAGACATTTTGAAATACAAAGGTATAAACTAATACTAACACCCTCTATGAGCATCTCTGCTAGTAAATTCTGGAGTTCCATTATGAGCCTTTTTAGGATCAGGTTCTTCTTTTTTATGAGATCCATCTCGCATATATTTACAAGCCAAACCCATATCAACCAAATAAACCTAGAAAAGAAACACAAATTGCATCTACAATTAATACTTTTAATGATTCATACATTTAAATTAATCATTGACAACGTTAAAAGAAGAGATTGAAAGGAAGCAGATGAGAAGCAACTCATAGAAAAATTTATCAAAATATTAGACTTTTCTAATACAAAATTGTTTCAGTTACATAAGTTATGCATATGATTTCATTTAAAATATGCAATAAATAAAGAAATTTGCTACATTCAGCCTTAAGTGAAAGGGGCATTAAAAGTAATTGTTAAGAGAATTTGATCTTTTTAATGCTTTTATTTACAATTTCATCTTGTCAGTTTCATTTACTTTTTAAATTGCAAAAATAAACTGAGATAATTGTAGGCAATAATTTTTAAAATTTAATTTTATGTAATATATAGAAATAAATAAAAATTTGACTGTTCTAAAATTTGTAAGTTATTGGGAATAAAATGTCCCCAACAACAACTTTCAAAGCGTGATCAACTTTCAGAATTAGAATTGCATAGGAACCTACACGTGAAAATGTTTTCGTATGATCTGTTCAGAAGCACGCAAAAGTTCATAATAGGGGAGTCACTCTAGCAGTGTATAACATTTTCAGGCACGGGCTCCTATGCAATTTTAATCCTGAAGATGTGCGCCCTAGCTCCCCAAGAAATTTGTCGCAACATTTATGTGGCTCCCTGTTATAAATAACACTAGTAAAACTTAAAATTTTGGCAAAAAATGGACTAAAAATATAGTTTTAAAAAGAAAAACTGTAGCTCAGCGAGAGAAATCTATTGAAAATGTGAAATCCGTGATATTAAAATATCCAAGATCTGTTAAACAGGTCATGTGACAGAAATACATATAGATTCCATGGAGAAACTAAGGATTGTAGCATTTAAATAAATTGTATCAAAATGTGAAAATGTAAACTTATTTTATTACATCTTTCACAATCAATGAAACTAGAACTAATCAGGGGAAATTCCAGACTTTGTGCGAAAAGGTTTAGTTTTGAAACATCTACTCAAAATTTTTTTTAATCTGTTAATACACGGACCTGATTTCTTTTTTAAAACTAAAATTACAAAAACAAGTCGTAAGTACAAATTTTTTGTAAAACGTTTTTTGTAAAACTTATTTATGAAAAATTAGTTAATAATTTTGTACATAATAATAAATAAAGTATTTTGAAACAAGTAATAAATATGAAATAAAGATACCTACTTGATTTTCAGTTTTCTTATTAGGACCTAGCAATAAGTTTGCAGGCTTCACATCCCCATGAATATAGCCATTACTGTGGATGTATTCTAAAACATTTATCTGTAAATATAATAAATAAATGCATTTAAAAAACTTATAAAAACACACATACGAAAAAAAAAAACTAAAAATAAACTTACCACAGATAAAGCAATGTTGTAAACTGTTTCAGGAGGAAATTTACGATTATTTTCTTCTAATAATTTTTGTAGGTCTTTTCCAAATTTTTCTAACACCATAAAACGATACTTGGATCCTTTATACTCAAAAGAACCAAATCCATGACAAGGTGAAAGACCCAAGTAAGGAAGCTTTTTTTGTTTTATCCACTCTTCAACTGTTTAAACAATATAATATATAAATAGAAATATATTATAATTATATATATATATAATATTATTAAATATACAGTCGAATTAAATATATAGTGAACCGTCTGCGGACTCAGTAATGTGTCCACTATAACCGATGGTTCACTATATCCAAATTTTTTGAAGAATATTTTTTGCATAAGACAGTTGAATGATTGAAAATTGGCTTTGCAATTTTGCATAAGTTATTTAAAAAATTATTAACTAATTAACAGATAATAAAGCAAAAATTGATGGAAAAAGTAATTACGTCGCTAAATATTAGTTTTATTTTCACTTTTTATGAAAAAAATTTGTGATTTTTGATTGAACACAATTTGATTTTAAATTGAGTTCATCAATTTTCTTATCTACAATGTGCAAAGAATGAAAGATTTTTGCATTTTGAACAAGATTTCGAGCCATCTTGACAAAGCATCTTCTCCGTTATCTCTTTCAGCTCCACGCAGTTTTTTCAATGAAACCATGTTTTTGTCGTATGCCGCAAGAATTGCTCTTCGATTTTTCCAAATGTTTGAAACTGTAGATTTTGACAAGGAAAATTCCTTACACAGTGTCGATTGATTGGTTCCATCATCAATACGCTTTACAATTTTAACTTTGTCCTCTATCGAAAACGCTTTCACCATGCTGAAATTCAGAACAAGCCCCTAAGACNAAACACATTTATTATTTATCAAAACATTTTGGTTTATAATTAACAATCTTCCTTTCTTTCATGTTTGCCCATTTTACAAATGCTTCTTGAAAGTTAAATGCACTTTCAGGGCCCTAAATATTAATCATTAACAAATATATATATCATATATTCTAGCCATTTTTGTTGATCGCTATGCTTCATCTCGTTTTTTTCGTGAACGCTAGCGTCATGGTTCTTCTTGCGAAAGATATTTAGATTTTTTCTCCTTCTTGTTTGATCAAGTTTTTTTCATGGATGTTAGCGTCATGATTTTTCGCGGAAGCCTTTTTTTTAATGGAATTTAGTAAAATCCTTTAGCAAAAATGCGAAAATGCTTCGTTGAATTTTAGCATTTTTGAGGGGTCTTTTCGCATTTTGCGAAAAAAGCTACCGTAGCGGAAACCCTGCTTTATAAATATCTTGTGAATTCCATAATGCATACAAATTTTTTAATTTTGAACTAGGTAATAAAAAGGCATGTGAACGACTGTGTTGAAGCTGAAACAGCTTCAGATCAATGGGTATCAGCTGGTCTAGAAAGTAAAAGTGGCTAGAACACAACACTGACCATGTTATCACTGTCCTATCATTGGTCATGAAACCATAAGCCTTACTCTCCATGACCCTCAGCACACAATGGGCATTTGCAAAAGTAATTTGTTTATAGTGGTATTTTCTCCCACTCAGCTTGGAGAAGATACGTAAATTCTCTTATTGATTTTCGACGACCAACTCCTACTAGAGATTTTCTATAGGACTCAAAGAAGGCTAGTTTTTTCAGTGCACTTCGTTGTCTAACCTGTAAAATTGCTACAGCGTAAGAAGCATATTATTTTCAAGAACAGTGGAGTAAGAATCGACGATGACAATGAATTGGGATCAAGGAACCCAGTCCATACCACAAGAAACATCCTTACACCATTATTCCAAAACTACCAAACTTTATGGTAGATGAACAGTGCATTTTGGCATAAGGACCCAGAAACTGCCTTCTGACTGAACCTTGATTCATCACTCCAGAAAATCAGTTTTTACTCATCTATTCTGTTTTCAATGGACCTTTTTCCCCAACAGTCAATAAATTGCAGAGTGATTTACACAGAGGCTGAACTCATAAAACAAAGCTCTTCCAGAAAGAAATATTTATTCCGACGATTGTGAAGCGTGAAATAAAAATTCTATTCAGCATCCTGCATAAGTTATTGTACAAGCAGGTGAAAAGCTGAATAGTAATTGGCCTCTCCAGCTAGAAAAAAAAATAGTTTGTTACCACTTCTGATGAACTCATAACTTTCATAGATCTAGCTGATTTGACGCGATTATCGATCATATTTCTAACAATCTACAGTCCACTTTTGACAAACCTTACACCTCCTCAACTAAGCAGTGAAGTTGGATTTTGTAAATCAAAGGTTTATGGTTGGCATCATGACCATGGAAATCAAGCAAATGTGCTTTGTTATGAACTACATTTATCAAAACAACAGCTCTGGAAAAATGTTGGGAACTCCTGTAGTATGTGGGCATCGGTTTAATACGGTTTTAATGAATTTCTTCAGACAGTATTCGTTGCTCTCTCAAGCAGGCAGTTTTGTGTATATGCTGAGTCAAAGCACATTCTGATGTTCACCACTCACCTTCCACTTATTAAACACAATAGCCTTATTTTGTAATGTTTAACTCACTAGATATGCCGTTTAAGGATGGCCATTTCTACGATTCCTCCAAGTCAGACAGCTCTGAATTTTGTGGCATCTTGCATGCGACTTAATGTCATTGCTATTTCCTATACCATATTAAGTACATAGATCAGAACCACATATATCTTTTTTGCTCATTAAATGTTGTTAAAAAAAACTATTGCTTGCTTACACTGATAGTAAGTACCGCTTATTTCTGTGCCGTTACAAGACGGAGCAGAAGCATGACGTGACTGATGCTTGCCAAGAGCTAGAAGCACAATGTTTAAAAGGAGCGTTCTCATTGTTTTTTTTCCAACTGTACATATATATAGAAAAAAAGAAAAAGCATCATTCAAACATTTATCAATAAATGGTAATCTATTCCACTAACAATTATCTTTAGATAATTGATAGTAGATGGTGGATAAGAGATTCAACAAATGAACATTTTAAGCAATTATTCCTCTGTCAGTAAGCAACACATAAAAAGAGGGAGGTTTAGACATTTTGAAATACAAAAGTATAAACTAATACTAACACCCTCTATGAGCATCTCTGCTAGTAAATTCTGGAGTTCCATTGTGAGCCTTTTTAGGATCAGGCTCTTCTTTTTTATGAGATCCATCTCGCATATATTTACAAGCTAAACCCATATCAACCAAATAAACCTAAAAAAGAAACACAAATTGCATCTACAATTAATACTTTAAATGATTCATACATTTAAATTAATCATTGACTACGTTAAAAGCAGAGATTGAAAGGAAGCAGAAGAGAAGCAACTCATAGAAAAATGTATCTAAATATTAGATTTTTCTAATACAAAATTCTATCAGTTACATAAGTTATGCATATGATTTCATTTAAAATATGTAATAAATAAAGAAATTTGCTACATTCAGCCTAGTTAAGAAGTAATTGTTAAGAGAATTTAATCGTTTTAATGTTTTTATTTACAATTTTAAGTTGTACTTTTTTTTATGTAATATATAGAAATAAAAATTTGACTGTTCTAAAATTTGTAAGTTATTGGGAATAAAATGTCCCCCACAACAACTTCCAAAGCGTGATCAATTTTCAGGATTAAAATTGCACAGGAACCTACATGTGAAAATGTCTTTGCATGATCTGTTCAGAAGCACACAAAGAAACAGTTCATAATAGGGGAGCTACTCTAGCAGTGTATAACATTTTCAGGCACGGGTTCCTACGCAATTTTAATCCGGATGATGTGCCCTAGCTCCCCAAGAAGTTTGTCGCAACATTTATGTGGCTCCCTGTTATATATAACACAAGTAAAATTTTACATTTTGGCAAAAAATGGACTAAAAATATAGTTTTAAAAAGAAAAACTGTAGCTCAGCGAGAGAAATCTATTGAAAATGTGAAACCCGCGCTATTAAAATATCCAAGATCTGTTAAACAGGTCATGTGACAGAAATACATATATATTCCATGGTGAAACTAAGGATTGTAGCATTTAAATAAATTGTAATTAAATAAGTTTACATTTTCACATTTTGATACATCTCTCACAATCAATGAAACTAGAACTAATTAGGAGAACTAATTTGTTTAATCTGTTAAAATAAGGACCTGATTTTTTTTTAAACAAAAATTTACAAAAAACAGTAGTAAGTACATATTTTGTGTAAAATGTCCCTATTTGTGAAAAATCAGTTAATAACTTTGTGCATAATAAATAAAATATTTCGTAAGAAGTAATAAATATAAAATAAAGATACCTACTTGATTTTCAGTTTTCTTATTAGGACCCAGCAATAAGTTTGCAGGCTTCACATCCCCATGAATATAACCATTACTGTGGATGTATTCTAAAACATTTATCTGTAAATTAATAAATAAATGCATTTAAAAAACTTATAAAAACACACACAAAAAAAAAAAAGGAAAAGAAAACTAAAAATGAACTTACCACAGATAAAGCAATGTTGTAAACTGTTTCAGGAGGAAATTTACGATTATTTTCTTCTAATAATTTTTGTAGGTCTTTTCCAAATTTTTCTAACACCATAAAACGATACTTGGATCCTTTATACTCAAAAGAACCAAATCCATGACAAGGTGAAAGACCCAAATAAGGAAGCTTTTTTTGTTTTATCCACTCTTCAACTGTTTAAGCAACATAATATGTAATTAGAAATATATTATAATTATATATATATAATATAATTAAATAAATAAATATATATATAATTAGAAAATACAGATATTTAGTATTAGATATTTAGATGTATACAGATATTTAGTATTAAACTTAGATATTTAGTGTCATTTTAAATATGTGAAAATTTTTTAAATCAGAGGGAGATTTATTAATATCTTTCAAACTTTAGGAGAAAAAATTTCCGATAAGGAGCGAAATCATATTTTACAACAAAAAATAAGCACCTTTTAAGCACTTGAATATCCAGGGGTGATAGTGACACTAAGTGAAAAACCTTGAAAATTTCATGTACAAAAAATCAATATCATATCAATTTATATACCATACATGTTTTGTATTTAACAGAATATTTTGAAATAAGATTTATAATTAAATTACCAACCAATGAAGAATACCTCACCTATACAGTAACTTATTTAAGAAAAATCTTATTAGTTATTGCTATAATTTACCATGTGATTTTGAAAATCCAGAATTTTTGTTACGATATGCAAATTTCAAATTGCCCATTTAAAATCTAAGCTACATTTAGATAGTTTTTTTAGTATTTTTAACTACTTATTTGCATGTGGTTTATAAATTTCCGATACATTTATTATGAATCTTGCGTCATAAATCGCACATTTAAGTGATCACATTTTGCCGGACTTAGTTTGTGAGGATTACATTGTAAATACACATTTTTCAATAACTTTTTCAGCAGTTTCTGAGATGCATTCTTAATTAGTTTGAAAAATTCCAATTTTATTATGACAAGCGAATTTTAAATTAAGCACTACAATAATTACTTATTGCCACACTTTACTTTTGCTAAGTTCATTGTAAATTTAATCTTTTGTGTTGCAATTATTGCAATGTTTTTCTTCGCAATTTTTACGATCTCCTTACTTTAACTACAATGTTAATACAACACGAGAGTTTCTAATCCCGAATTTAAATAGTCACTATTTGATACAATTTATTTGAGCATATTTCATCATAAATATAGTTATTATATAAAGTTACTTCTCCGTTGCGGTAGTTGGCACCATGCATTTGCATGTGGTATTTAGAATTCAGATACTTCAATACAATGTTATTTCAACCTGAAAAATTCAAAAACTTGAGTTTTTAAACTGCTTACTGTTGGTAATTTATTTTGCTTAAATTTTTTTTTCAAGTTGAGGGGATTCTTTCTTAAAACCTCTTTTAATTCAAGAAATATAGAAATATTTGAAAATAATACTAAATAAGTATTGAATTCTATTTTGCACAATGGATTTGTTTCAATTTATATGTATTATGTAAAAACAAAATACTTAAACAATATGAAATAGTACAATAAGTTTCACAGGGGTTCTAGCACAATTTCAAAATAATTAAAAAGGTTGCTGTGTAACAAAGATATATTGGAAGATTTATTACCTGTGGCAAATGTAATTTATACGATTGCTGATGAAATATTCAACATCTTAAAGGAGTTAAAGACTATTCATAAAGTTAACACGACAAAATGTATTGACATAGGCACAGATGGAGATGGATTAATGAGGGGGCACATTTCAGAATTCAGAGCTTGAGTTCAAGAAATTTTACAGCTTAGCTACACGGAATCCTTGCTGTTTACATAGATAAGCCCTGGTAAAAACAGACTCTAAGTGAACATCTCATTAAAAGTAAACGCATCATTAGAAGAACAACAGCTAATGCAAATTTTCACAGATAGAGCCTTGAAATTTGTTTACAAGAATGAGTCTCTTCCAAATTTTTGAAGTCACTTACAGGAAATTTTTTTCAGAGTTACCCATGAAAGCCCTGATGTCTTTCCAAACAACTCATTCATGTGAAAGAACATTTTTAGCTCTTCTTTATCTTGCCTTTAATTAGAGCTCTATCTTGCTTTTAATTGTTTACTGTTTTCTTAAAAGAAAAAAAAGTTCACAAGTCTGCATGCAGCAGAGTCAGTCTTAGGATAATTTGAGGAATCTTTAAACCACTCAGCCATGCGATGGGAGAAAGAGATGAGTAATATAGAGTTTGAAAGAATTACACTTACTACGAGCAGGCTTTCCAATGTTTTGATAGCAATGCATTTCAGCAAAAAGTGGCCCATTAGCATGATATTCCTTTAAAAATAAATGTTATTATAAACTTATACATATTATTATAAAGTATATAAATCATATAAAACAAAGATTCACAATGATTTTTCATCTCTTTATAGACTTGAACACACCTGTAGTAACAAGATAGAACAAGCAGGGATAGGAACTTGCAATTCTATGTTTATTGCTGATTAAGAAAATATTTGTTTCAAATTTCATTTAAAGTTAATTTAAACTTTCTGCAGCATTAAATTTGGCATGTGTGTCATATTACAGCCATCCTTAAATTAGAATACAGATTAACAATTGAACTGAATATTGAAACATGGAAAATGTAACAGTGATAGAAATTAAAACTCTGATAGAAAATTCTGATGCATATAAAAATGATTCCACGTTTGTCTTAGTAATGTTAGATTATATTACTAATGAAAGAAAATTGAAGAATTAAAATAAAAACAGTTAGAGTTAGTGTCCCAGCTTAGTGTAGGACTTGAACTAATTGTGAAAAAAGATTTAGAAAGTTTAATATGTGGTGTGAAACATTAACATTACCTGTTTCCATCAAATCTGAAAATTTTATATTATTTTCCAAATCCCTAGAAAGATCTTTTAAGGCCAAAAATGTGACTGATAATTTAAAGTCAGAATTATTAATTCGTCTACTCGAAGAAAAAGCCAATAATGCTCCACTGAAGAAGAATTGAAAGATTACGTAACATTGAAAGATTTAACTCAAAGAGCTACTAAATTTCGCCCTGCTCATAAAAATTAAGACGAAAATTCCATTCAATTTACCACAAGACTTTGATCTATTTTTGAATATTACTTACACTTGAGAGAGAAAATTGAATATAAAAAAAGGGATTTTGCGATTAGGTAAGTTCGCATATCATAATAAAAACATAGCTTAAGTATATATTAGGATTTAAGTAACCACTTTGAAATTAATAGTTATGAATAGAAAAAAAGATTTAAATTTTATTATTTTTTTGGAATGTCATATGGATTTAAGATAAAATCGGCAAAAATAAAGCAGATAGAAAAGTGACTACTCAAATTTGAAATTCGTGTATCATGTTAAAAATATAGGGATTTCAAAACAATGAATTATGTAGCAATAACTGTTTTAAAAAACGTTTGAGAAACTACATAAGACAATAACTGCAAAGTGATCGCATCAAAAAGTGAAGACTCAAATATGCAATTCAAAATTTTAAACACATATTTTAAAAAATAATAATTTTATAGTGTTTGGAAGCTTACGCAAGCGGCACATCAATACATAGCAGACAGCAGCTTGTGCATCTCAACCTTACCGGATACTTTTAGCTCTTGATATTATTGCTATTGTAGGTAACTGCTTTCAAATCAAACCTGAGATATATATCCGTTTGATGTCTGAATTATTAGTCTAATTTAAATTTTTTTTACTATTCATTTGATTTTGTCTAAACAAAATTCATGGCAATGATGCAAAACACAGGAAAAATCTTGCACTTTATCAGATTAACAAATTCAGTAAAGATTCATGATGAGTGCATCACAAATTGTAATGGGTATAATATAAAGTCAACGTTCTAACAAGAACACCTGATATTTGATCTAATAACTATCTAATTATAGATGACTTAGATGAAAGCTCTTGATGAAAAATTTGCTGAAAGTATCCTGAATGCAATAATTGAAATGAATTAAATAAGGTTATACAAGAAGAAAAAAGGCACATTTAATTCATTTTCATAAAGATACTGTTAAGCTTTGAAAAAGCAAAAAAGAAAGCCCATGAAATAGTACAAATTATTAAATTTTGCTGGTAGAACTATTATAAATTATGGTGGTAACAATGCTAAATAATAAACAATCTAAAGTTAAGGGTAGTGACATAGCATCAGGTTCTAGCATTTTGAAAACAATATAAACAACCACATAATATAATACAAATGACGAAAAAGAATGCTTTGAACTAATACTCACTATTTTAATAACATAATTCATTTCCTTGGGCTTTTCTTTAGATGAGGCTATAATAATAAAGATAAATCAATTCTTCAGTTATAGAGAAATTCAAACTTCAAATCATAACTATAGACTTAATTTAAAAGAACTTAAAGAGCATTCTCTCTTTTATTCCATACAGTGAGAAAAAAAAAGAGATAACTTTTGATTTAATGATTAGTTGGATCTTAAATTTTTTTTATTCGTATTTAGATTTTTCTCATCTCTTTAAAGAAATTATAAGAAAGAATAATTTTAATATAAAAATTTGCTTTATTTACTTTAAAATCTTATAAATACAAAATTTTGTCCAAGAGTTCAATTTCACCAATGAAAAAAACTATCCTATAGCAGTAGTTGTTACAGCTATTTTTTTTTTTAAATGTGAATATTAATTAGTCTTGAAATGTAGTCAATAATTTTTACTACTTAAAAATAGTTTAGAATAATAATTGGTTTATTTAAACATGGTGAATTATTGAAGAAAAACTTTTAATTATGTTTAGAAGATTTAATTTATTATTACAAATATTTTTTTTAAACTAATTTTTTCTTTTCAACATTCTACTTTTTAGGCCTCATTCTGCTTTTCTAACAGTGAATAAAGAAATGCTAAAAAATTATCAAATACTTGTAGTTTCATTAAGTATCTAAACCTCTTTAATCTTTTCCTGGACATAGAGAGTTATGTTCCTCAGACTGACTTCAATAAGCTTTACATCAATGAGGAAAATTAGCTGCATTTGAAACTTGTTCTTTTAAATTAATATTAAAAGTAATCATGAGGAATATTTAAAAACTAGTGTTTTTTTTGCATCATGCTACTCAAAAATTCATTTTTTCCAAAAAGGTAGTAGCACATTACAATACAAAGAAAGTACCTACCAATGACAATAGTTTCGTTACATGCAGCACACTCTGACAAATATATGTTATACATAAATACCATTCTTAAGCACTTACCAAAGTATACAGTCCCAAAACCTCCAGATCCAATTTGTGTGCCGATAAGCCAGCTCTTTTTAGTGGTATCAGATATTTCATATCCTTCTGGTATAGGCTCAGGCAACTGATATCCTTTTGCGGCAGTTTTCTTACGAGCTCCACCTAAATTTATTAAAATATCAATCAAAATTAAGATATTAATAAGACTTAAAAATATAACATATTGACAGATATTTATTAAAAATTACGTGTACTTAGTATTATTAATTTAGTACTTCATTCTATTAAGTACCAGGGGTCTGTTTTTGTAAAATTGTGAAAAAATTACTCGTAATTTGTGAATATAAAATAAACGCTAAGTCACATTCCTTCAACCAGGGTTTGCTTTTATGAATTTGTGCAAATAGGGTCCGTTATTGCAAAAAAACTTTTTCAAGGAGTTTTTAAATTGTAAAGACATACAAGATTATGCTCAACACTTCAAAATTATAATTTAAAAAAAAAAAAAAAAAAAATTTAAAAAATAAACTGCAATTGCAGCTACTAAATTAGCGATGCAACATATAAATATTTGGTACAGTAGGGAACTGATTATCCGGAACGATCGGGACCATTGCTATTCCGGATAACTGATTTTTCCGGTTTTCTGAATCGCTACAAAAAGCAATTTTTTTTTAATTGTTAAACCCAACTAAAAATATTTTTTAGGAAATAATCTTAAAAAAAAGAAAAAACGGTGAAGTAATACGCTAATGATTATTTCCAAAATGATGGTAAGGTAAACATCTTTCAAAAAAGAAAGAAAAATCTTATGAGGAATTTTTTTTTTTTTTTTTAAATGGCGGGAAAATTTATCGAATTTCGTTTCGGTTTTTTGGTTTTCTGATTTCCAGATAACGGTTTCTGTACTATATTTAACATATACTGCTGAATGCAGAATATTCATTTTGGACGAATAAAGGAAGAAGCATCTGCCGAAGACAAAATTTAGTTTGCTTACACCTGTCTTTCTCTCTCCCACCCCCTCCTGGGAAGGGTTTATTCGATTAACAAAATAATGAAGATAAATTATTTTGTAAAGGGTCTGTTTTTAAGTTAAAATATTTTGTGAAGGGTCTGTGCGAATCAGTCACGTCATGCTTCTGCTCCGTCTTGTAACGGCACAGAAATAAGCGGTACTTACTAACAGTGTAAGCAAACAATAGTTTTTTTTAACAACATTTAATGAGCAAAAAAGATATATGTGGTTCTGATTTATGTACTTAATATGGTATTGGACCCAAATTCCTTCTAAACAGACCCCTGAGTACTAATTAAATATTTATTAATATTAAGCTAAATAAAAAAAAAAGAAAGATTGCAAGCACTTTTCGTCATATACAATTACGACTTAGCAATATACATTGTTACACAGATAGTATTCTTTGTTTCTTCTAAAGCATAACTATGATTTAAGCTGCTGATATGAAAACAAAGATTTCACATGTCGGAACTCTGTTTTATGCTAACACTGTCATCTTGATAACAAAAGCTGTGGCTTCCTCTGACTCTCAATGAAAAAAATTATATCAAGAAAATTTTTTTATTATTACCAACTTTAAAAAAAAAAAAAAATCATTTCATTTCAATATTCTGAATTCATATAATGTACTACTTCTGTTTCACACCATTATTAAAAAAAAACTTATCAATACACATAAATATAAAAATTGGTTCGATTTCTATTATTTTTAAACTAATAATCTTTTTCCTTAGTAATTGAAACAAAACCAGTGTTTGTTTATTTGGAATTTGGCTATAGATCAATTTACCTTCTAATTTTAAACTAAAAAAATTAAGATATTAGAAAGTAGGGTTTTTCTTTTAATAATACTTCATACTTGGCTTAAGAAAATATTAGGAAATATTTTGGAACATTATACATATACCAGACTTTAAGAAAGGAGCAATAATCAAAATAAGCCACTCTAATTCAAGTTTTATTAACTACTCAAGCATAATAAAAACATTTTAATGCCAAGATTAATAAAATATACTATTTTCTATTTCAGAATAGTTTCAAATTCAGAATTTCATTATTTTAAAATCAGAACAGATTTAAATATAATTTAATTAATGTAGCACTGCACAAATGTTTGAGATCAATATTTCTCATTAATATTTATTTTCATTAATTAATGGTATGTGTTGATTTTGCAATAAACGAAATGAAATTAGAAAAATGCTTTCACTGCAAGGATTTGAAGAGAGTAAAATGAATGTGATTAAGATTTTAATATTTGCAGGTGTATCAAGCTGTTATAAATCTTTTAGTGAATGCGAGATCAAGAAAAAACTGCTACTGATTGTCTTAATTTTTGTAGAGCAGTTGGAAATGATGCATGTGTGATGAAGAGTGAAATAATTCGAGGTCCTGGTATCGATGTGGAAATTGATGAAAGCAAGTTTGGTAATTGAAAGTATAATTATGATAGAAGAGTAAATGGTAGACAGTTGTTCGATGGTTATAGAAAAAGTGAGGGTTAAATAATTTTTTCCCCTCAAAGATAGTAAAAAAGAGACTTTGCTTGAAGTTATTACCTAAAAAATATTGCCTGGGACAACTATCAACTAAGATAGCTGGAAATCCTATATTAGTCTGAAATATGAAGATTTCCTACAATCTGTCAAGCAATTTATTAAATTTTATTAATTCCAAAACTGGTGAGCCTACAAATAAAATTGAGAGCATGCATAGTCAGATAAAGCAAAAATCTTGCTACCAAAATGTTTGTTTCTTATTTTGCTGAATTTCTATGAAAACATAGCTATTGGGATCAGAGGGTAGCTCATTCACTTCATGATTTTATGCAATGCATATAAGATTTGCACAAGCCACACTCCTTTCATGATGCCGAAAAACCAATACTAATTAAGTTTACAGATAAGAGCTATTTTCGTTGCTATGAAAAGCTTTGAGATTATAATTGTGTTTTATGCAGATGCAGGGTGGGTAGCCAAATTTTTAAACAAAAAATAAGCACCTTTTAAGCACTCTAGAAATATTTTTAGAAACTATATACATAAATAAAATGCAAACTAATTTTCAAAGACTTTACATGATCATGATAAAACAACTAGTTTCTGACGATCCTGAGAGATTTTTCGGTTCAATTTCAGAGGGGTGAAAACAAACCCTGAAATTGAGAAAATAGCCTGCAAAATTCAGCAGAGTTGCAGATGAGAATCTCATCGAGCTTAGCTTAATAGACGCACATGCAGACTCACAAGTATTTCATCAAGTATGTAAAATGATTGGTGCTTTGATAAGCTATGGACCGACGACAGGCCGAAATGAATTGTGAAAACGTTGAATAATACAATGTGAAAAGCACGCTTTTGCATAAAACGTGGCGAAAATAGACACGGAAAAGAAAAAATCTCATTTTCGAAAAGGGAAAATTAGGCATTTTGTAAAACAACCTACTGAAAAAAAAGCACCTTTAAGGGCTTTTAAAAAACGAAAATTGGAAACAAGCACCTTTAAGCACTTTTTAAAAATGCTATGCACTATGAGATGTTAAATGTCCTAAATACCTATTGCTTGTTAACATAAAACATTTTAAAGTGTTACAGTTGTTCTAAAAATGTTTGTAAAAAATAAGACAAAAATCGACTACTTTTTGAGGCCAACTTCAGCATGAAAAAAATAGCCAAAGAGTAGAAAAGTAAATTACTACAAAAAAAAAAAATGACTTATGAATCAATAACCACAAATTTCTCATAGAATTAAAAGCAACAATCATATTGAAGTTTGCACAGTTAAATTCTATACTCCAATTTCTAAAGCAATTTAAAAATACAGGTAAAATGTTGGAAAAATTGTAAGCAGGAGTTTAAAAAATCTCAAAAGGAACACGCTCATTTTTAATAGCATTAATGGAATTTAATTTACGGCACAGTGTTTGATAAAGTTGTCATGGAGGCACTACAACTAATTGAAAGCAAGAATTTCTAGAACGAGAGGAATACAAAAAAATGCAAATCATATCTACTTTATTTAAGATACAAAACTATATTTGAAAGATGTAGAAAACAAGGAAATAAAAAAACTACAATCGTACTAATGATAGAAGGAATGCTTAAGCAAAATAAAAAAAAATTCTAAATATAAAAATTAAATATTATTAAGCAGAAAAATATGAACACAACACTCAAATACAAAGCGAAAGAAACTTTTCGTTTAGAGATATAGCTAAAAATAAAATAATACCTCTTCCTGCCATAAAGAATATATATATTAAAACTGTTTATGCTAAAAACGCGAAAGTTATATATACATAATTTTGTACCACATATGACTACAATTAGCAATGTAAACGAAGTTACAAAGAAAACTACTTTTTCCGCACTTTTGAATTAAAAGAAATTGCCATTAGTAAAATGAAACTTCTAATCAATACTGTGAGATCAGCTTACAGCTTTCAAAGAAATATTAGCTTCTCGATACTTTTTACTGACACGATCAAATCCCGTTTGGTACATTTATTTACGTCGCACTATTGGCTATGATCGGAAAAACATCCCTGAGGATCATCCGGCTTTAACCCATCCGCAAATCGGAATTTTGAACTGAAATAGAGCATGCTCAATCTCTGATCCAGTCAGTATCCCTAGAAATATTGATTTTTTATAGGAGCTTGGAGGACTTCGTGACCCGACAGATTTATAGCATGCATTAGTCACTATTTTATACTCGGAGGGTCATCTCGGTCAGCCGGGATCAAACTCACAACCTCTCGTACATTGGACGAGCTATCCTGGCTCCGTGTACTAACTCGAGCGCAATTTTGAATGTCTAAAAAAATATATACACACACACACAAATGGTTACCTATTTTGAATGCTTTTTGATTTATTTATTCTAAAATTTAAACTTTTTTCAAATTAATTTTAATTTTTTTCTATTATTAATTAAATTTTCTTCCTATTAAGGATTTTATTAAATAAATTTTCCAAGTTATTTTTGATATCTAGATTTTTCTCATAGATGGTAGCACTGAAATGTTATTTGCTTCATATTTCTTCTACCAAATATATTTTTAAAATTTGTTGTAAAATTGTAAGTTGTTTGTTGTTAATTTACGTCGTACTAGAGCTGCACAATGGGCTATTGGCGACGGTCTGGGAAACATCCCGGAGGATGATCCGAAGACATGCCATCACAATTTTGATCCTCTGCGGAGGGGATGGCACCCCCACTTCGGTAGCCCGACGACCTGCGCGCGAAGTCGAGCACTTTACGTTAGCACAGTTTAACGAGGACCAATACCGCACACCCTCGGTCCCTACGCAGACTGATCCAAGTGGTCACCCACCCGCACACTGACCGCAGCCAGTGATGCTTGACTTCGACAATTTAAGCAATAAGCACTGTATTCTATTTTTTTCTACAGCAAAATTTTGTTAACTGTTAAATTAGTATATCTATTTTAAAAACATTTTTTACTTTTGCCTCATGCCGGTAACTTTGTTTTCTGCTTTATTTTGTTTCAATCTCAATTTCAACTGCACTTTTATTTTTTAGCGATATAGACACATTATAAAGAGTAATTTTTATCTTAGGATAATTATTCTTTATTCATAAATATCTCATTTATCGTAAAGGATGTGTACTGATGAAGACCTTTACGTTTTCCCATTGAAAGTTTTTATTATTTCATTCTATTATATTCTTCTTTTTTGTGTTTATAGTTTATATATATAAGTTCAACATGAAGATAAGACAAAGGAAAATTATAGACATATGAAAAAAAGGAGGGGGGGAATAATAATGACCAAAAAAAAAAAAAAAACTGCTTTAAAAAAAAAAAGGATGAAATTTTTTTAATAAAAAACAGGAAAATAAAAGATACAGTGAAACCTCTCGGTAAGGGCCACCTGTCCTTCCATTGAAAATTGACCCTTATGGGGGGTGGCCCTTAAATGGGGGTGACAAAAAATAAAATGAGGAAATCAAAATTTATGTAGAAAAAAACTGTTTATTAACATTTTAAGTTTTTATACATGTTTAAAAAAATTTTCAATTGAAGTTTGTTTACTTTTTGCAATTTTTTCGCAAAAAATTTTAGTTTCTATGATTCCTTAACTCAACAAAACAAATTAGTTAAAATCGCATCACTTATTAATGCCTTGGATTGGGATATCAGTTTATTTACTTGTATTAGCGTTTCTTGGTTTGATAAATATGGCACGGGAGACTCATGGGACGGGGGAAAAATGGCCTTTATTGGAGGTAGTCAGGAAAATGTGGCCCTCTAACGGGAGGAAAATTAACATTATGTCTATGGGGAAAATTTTCGTTCCTCAAAATATTGGCCCTTAATAGAGGTGGCCCTTAAGTAGAGGTGGTCTTTAGGAGAAGTTTCACTGTATAATCTTTTCATCAGCCCACACGATTATATCCACGAAAAAGAGTATAATGTGGACATAATCGTATATATTGCGGATATAATCGTGTGGGCTGATGAAAAGATTATATCTTTTATTTTCCAGTTTTTTAAAAAAAAAAAAATTTCATCCTTTTTTATTTTTTTTTAATCAGTTGATTGTTATTTTTTTTTCATTATTATTCCCCCCTTTTTCATACGTCTATTCTCATTTGTTTTATCTTCATGTTGAACTTACCTAATGAGTTCTGTTTACTTGCCGCTTATGCGCAATAAATGAAACTTATTGTTTTTCGTAACTTTCTTCGTGTTTTCTTGTATTTATTTATTTTGTTGTATATATATATATAAATATATATAGANATATAAATGAATGTCTGTCTGTATGTATGTCCTTTATAGACTCCTAAACCAATAGACTAAAAGCTATGAAACTTGGCATACAGATAGTTCAAAACACGAGGAAAGTCACAGTCGACATAATCGTATATATTGCGGATATAATCGTGTGGGCTGATGAACATTCTACTACAAACGGTTCCAGCGGTGTGAGCGAAAATTAAAATGGAATTTTCTGATTGGTAAATAGTTAGCCATTGTTTTAAAGTTTGTTATAAACGATTCAGTTTTCAAGTATCTTGAAGATTTTCTTTAAATTACCAATGGCAAGGCATAATACATTTATAAAGCCAAGCCAATGAGCAAGCAATTACTTATATTGACCGAAGTCATTGAAGCCTCAGGTGTTCTCTAGCTCTCCAATACAAGGCGGTTTCGGAGTCGGTAGAACCAGGAAGTGCCCCGCATCGACGCAGATCTCATAATGGACAAAGAGGGGAGTCGAAAATACCAATTGTATGGGGATGTTCGCTCAAGCAGTCATGTCCCGTAACCAGCCGGAACAGTGCCACTGCCTCACGTCTTGGGCAATCGGGTATATCAGCAAGATCTTCACTACTCCAGGTCTTGGATTTAATCCTATCTTGTATTTATGTTTTGAATTTCGACTTCAAAGCTTGTTTCCAGAAGAGCTTTGTCGAGTGAAAAGGCAGCCGTATCTTGAAGATAACAACAGTGATATTTTCTATCTTGTAACTCTATTTATTTAGAAAAGTAAATTACATATACTTTAATATTTGATTATTATTCGGGCAAGTTTCTTAATGTCAGGTGAGCATAAGCAAGCAAAATCAACGAGAATAGATTTTGTAATTATTGGTAGTATCACGGATTTAGTGAGAACTGTTTAATAAAAAGCAAATTTCATTCAAATTGCACGTTTTCAATAATTATTTGTCCCACAGTGGACTGATCGCTAAGACACGGTCCCCAGCAGATCAGCGAAGCCAAGCATCACTGGCTGCGGTCAGTGTGCGGGTGGGTGACCCACTTGGATCAGTCTGCGTAGGGACCGAGGGTGTGCGGTATTGGTCCTCGTTAAACTGTGTTACCGTAAAGTGCTCGACTTCGCGTGCAGGTCGTTGGGCTACCGAAGCGGGGGTGCCATCCCCTCTGCAGAGGATCAAAATTGTGATTTCATGTCTTCGGATCATCCTCAGGGATGTTTCCCAGGCCGTCGCCAATAGCCCATTGTGCAGCTCTAGTGCGACGTAAATGAAATGCAACTGCAATAATTATTTATATTTTGTATGCAATTTTGGGTTAGCACAATTAAATATAGTTTTCAAGGATTTCATTGCTGACAGTTGTCTGTTGGAAACTATTAGATTGTTTATTATTACAAAGTTTTCGAATTCATTCATTTTATTTCTTTCACTTTAAGGGGACACTTCACGATGGAAAACCCAAAAATCGACCAAATTATACTTTTTTCAATTTTTGTTTCAAAAAATAATACTTATATCTAGCTACAATTTAAAAGAAAAATTTTTCAATTTCATTCATTTTTTGCAAAGTTATAAGCATTTCAAGATTTGTAAACAAGGTTATGTAAACTGTCTGTTTTTATAGTTAAACTGTTTTTTCTCAATGTTGTTTTTTACGATAATATTCAAACTTCGAAAAGTTCCTTGCGCATGAGTTTTGAATAAATCTTTATTTTTTTCTCATATATATGATTGGTCTAATGTTCCGTAACCAATGTGATATAAATAAAAGCTGAATACTCACTGAATATTTTTTAAATTACTTTAAATTGTTATTTAAATTTCAATTTTTAAAAATTATATAAAGACTATGATATTTTGATTTTTTATTTGTTTAAAATTAAGTGCTAAGTTGTTCAAACATATCCAATTTTATTTATACTTATTCAAACTGTAATATAAATGAGTTTCATACAGCTACGATAAAAACTCATGCGCAGGAAACATTTTGAAATATTGGAACATTTAGTAATTTAACTTGCGGATAAATTATTAAAAAAATTATAACTTTTCAACAAATTAATATTTTTGCTTCAAATTTTGGGAATATCTTTCTAAATGCTTTATTCACAATCTATGAAATTTTCATTAAAATTGGTTGATATTTAAAAAAAATCATTTTGAACCTGAAGTGTCCCCTTAAGNATTTATAAAAACAAGCCAATGCAAAACAATGAGCAAGCAATTACAAATATTGACCGAAGTCATTGAAGCCTCAGGCGTTCTCTAGCTCTCCAATACAAGGCGGTTTCGGAGTCGGCAGAGCCACGAAGTGCCCCGCATCGACGCAGATGAGCTCTATTCGGAGGTTCTCCCAGATCGCATTATGGGCAAAGAGGGCAAACCAGCTGGAACAATGCCACTGCCTCACGTCTTGGTTTTTTGTTGTTGTTCATTTACGCCGCACTAGAGCTGCACAATGGGCTATTGGCGACGGTCTGGGAAACATCCCTGGGGATGATCCCAAGACACGCCATCACAATTTTGATCCTCCGCTTCGGTAGTCCGACGACCTGCACGCGAAGTAGAGCACTTTACGGTAGAACATTCTAACGAGGAACTATACCGCACACCCTCCGTCCCTACGCAGGCTGATCCAAGTGGTCACCCACCCGCACACTGACCGTAGCCAGTGATGCTTGACATCGGTGATCTGTTGGGAACCGTGTCTTAACGATCAGTCCACTGCGGGACCCTCACGTCTTGGGCAATCGGGTATATCAGCAAGATCTTCACTACTCCGGGTCTTGGATTTAATCCTATCTTTTATTTATGTTTTGAATTTCAACTTCAAAACTTGTTTACAGAAGAACTTTGTCGAGTGAAAAGACAGCCGTATGTTAAAGATAACAACAGTGATATTTTCAATCTTATAACTCTATTTATTTAGAAAAGTAAATATCATATACTTTAATATTTAATTATTATTCGGGCAAGTTTCTTAATGTCAGGTGGACATAAGCACGTAAAATCAACGAGAATAAATTTAGTGAGAACTGTTTAATAAAAAGCAAATTTCATTCAAATTGCACGTTTTCAATAATTATTTATATTTAGTATGCAATAATTATTTATATTTAGTATTTTGGGTTAGCACAATTAAATATAGTTTTCAAAGATTTCATTGCTGACAGTTGTCTGTTGGAAACTATTAGATTGTTTATTATTAAAAAGTTTTCGAATTCATTAATTTTATTTCTTTCACTTAAAAAATAGATTCTTGTTTTAAATTTTATCATTTTTATATTTTCTATTTACTTTATTTCATTTTTATTGCTTTTTATATTATTTAAAATGAATATGTGAATTTTCGGTTAAGCAAATTTGCGACTACTCTCAACTTTTAGATTTCTTTATGTTTGTGAGAGAGAATATTTGCAAAAATATACCGTCTAAACGAATCGCTCTTAGTCGATCATTATCTTAAGCGCGCAAAAAGAGAACTACCTGTGTTTCAGAAACATCGTAGCAACGGGAAAAAAGACTTGAAACTAATCAAGAACGCAATGCTTTAGCCCGTTCTTTAGAAACAACTGGGCAACCAATTATTTTAAGAATAAACAACTTTAAAAATTTTTTTGCGATTAAATTTTCCATTTTAGGATAATCGCTAATGATATACCTGAAGCGAGGCTTTTAGAAGTAAAAAAAAAAGTTAGAATTTAAGAGCCACTTTAATTATATCGTGAAACTGTTCATTTCTTAATTTTTTAATTTCTTTATTTCTGAACAGAAATATGGAGAACACTGTTTTCCAAAGTCCTTCTTTGGTTCCTAAGAAACTGTATTTATCTATGTAAATAAAATGAAAAAAATTACGATTCGCATTTAGTATTTTTTATTCTTTTATTTTTCAATGAAGAAGGAGATCTATAGTGGTATGGGGCCCTACAATTTCAATTTTCAAACCTAAAATTTTACTCATAGAAAATAGAAAAACACAGTAATCATATAAAAAAATTATTAAAAAAAAAGTCCCGAAATTTCTAAGATGTACTGTGGAGGTGTACTAAGATGTACTAAGGTGGTTACCTTAGTGCACTTCATCTCGGTTTGGCTTTGCCTCTAGCTGGTCGAAAAGCGATCGAAATTTTCCCTCACGATTCCACACTGTTACAATTTCCATTCTAAAAGTACGGTAAAATAGCCGGCAGCAGTCTGCCTATTCAATTAACTACAAATTTAAAGGTAAAGAACATTTTTTACCTTTACGGTTTTGAAACCCTTTACAACTAGTATGTTTGAAAAATCATTAATGAAAAAAAGCAATGTGGTTTTCAACCATTTACAACTAGCAGGGTTTCAGAGTCATAAAAAAGGACATTAGATCTACGCCTTTCGTTAGGTAATAAGCATTGGAATTAGCTTATGATTGAGTTGTATTTTGTCAAGTGAACCGCGGAATGTGGTTTAATTAGTTTATTTGGTTGTTTAATCTATTGTAAGAGATGGAAAATGTTAGACTTTTTATTGATAAGCAGCTTTATGGTGCTACCATACATGCGTGAGCGAGATTATCGTATTCTAATAGTTCAGGGTATAAAATCGAGAGTCCAGCACACTGGAAACATTTCATGTGCGGAAGTGAATGGAGGAACATTTCATGTGCGGAAGTGAATGGAGGAAATATTGTGGGGACAGCACTGGGATTTGAACCCCTGTTCTGTCGGTCATGAGATTGACAGATTAGCCCTCTCGGCTATAAAATGAACCCAGCTGCTAAGGGACTAAGTGGCGTCAGTAGGTGGGCCTAGTTGGTGGGATAAAATTTTAGTTGTTTAATCGTATCAAGTAGAAGCAGTTAATAAACGTTTTTTCTCACAGCTAAAAGTTTGGATACCATCATATTTATTGTTATTTGACTGTTTTGTTTGAATATGGAAAAATAACAATTGAATGAATTGTCACTTAACCATTTTTACCGAGAAATTTTAAACAGTGCGTTTGAAAATGGATTTTGACTGTAACGATTTCAGGAAAAAATTAAATCGTGCATCGTCATTAGGCGCAAAGCTCTTATCTCTAATAGAGTTCTAAGAGTCAGAAAGTGCTCAAAATTTCCATCCCTAGATTCCATCTTCACACACACAAAAGCGAGTTTATGAAAACATTATAATTAAATGAATCTCTTTGTATTTAAAATCGTATATCTAATTCATAGTAGTTTATGCTTTGTTAAACATAACAGTAAATCAAAAATAAGATTTTAAAAATATTAACATTATGTTAGTTTTATTTGGTTAACTGGTGAAACATAAAAATTTTGAGACATTGGGATAAAACTTTTATTTCAAAAAATTCACATAAACATAAATTAGTTATAAAACAACATAGTTATTCACAATCAATTTGTGAATTCCTCCCACCAAGGAACTAATATCACAACTTGCGTAGTTGCATTAAAAATCAGTAAAGGCACTTAACATATTTGATTTATACACATAAATTTCTGTATCATTAAACAGCATATGTACAATTTTAAATAAAAATGCTTCGAGCATTTACAATGAAGAAATAAGATATTTATATTCTTATGACATTTCAAAACTTAGTACTTAATATATATATTTGTCTACATATACTTTCTTTGAATAATTTTCTTTATACCATTATGAAAACATAAAATAACATTTGAGTTTAAAAATTAACTTTTTAAATATATTTGTCACTAAATTGAAAAAAAAAGAACAACAACTTATTATTAGATATTTTGCCATTTTTTGTTGATGTTTACAATCTATTTTTATTATTAAATGATAAATCAAGATACAATGAATAAACATACAGTACTAAGTTTTATTGAACACTGTATAAATACAGTCAGGTATTAGTTCATACGTAGAAAGTAATCTAGCCTTTCATAATTTTTCAACTTTTTTAATTTATAGATATCAATAAAACAACAAAAAACATCATAATGTTTTTTTTTTATTTTATCAAATAAAATTATGATACAAAATATCAAATTTATAAACAATTTTCTCAAAGATAAGATGGAGATTGAGAAATTTCTATTTACGGAGAAAACTTTATACTGATTAATAGTCGATGTTTTGTACAAAAGTGAAGAAAATAAATAAATATAATAAATACGACATGATATAAATAGTTTATGAGACATGCTTTTTTAACGCAATGTTTTTCGGCAACTAAAAAAAAAAGAAGAAAAAAATACCAATCTGCGTCACAAGAGTAATTCAATATTGTTTTCAATATTTTATAAAGAAATAATTATTTGTTGTTTGCATCTTCATAAATTAAGGAATAAATGTAAAACTATGCGAGCATTTTTAATGTATTTTATAATTACAGATACGGAATATATACGCATTAGCTTATCTATAGACATCTTTTTTGAGTTCTCCAGTGTAAATCTAGATATATTTATATACATTCCTCCTTAGTTCAGCAAATATATTGCAGTTATATTGTTATAATAAATTATCAGCAGTTATATTGTTATAATAAATTAAATTTTAAACAATGCATATCTTTCTTAATAGAAACACAACAAATTAATTTAATATGAAATGAAATGCTATATCTAACAGGACTTTAATGGATTTATTGCATATAATATTAAGAAATATTGTCATCAGATAAGTTATGTATGTATTAAATAATTTTATTGTAAAAATTTAATTAGCTCGAAATATCGTTAAACTGCAAAATTCATGACTTACTGCTTCATGTCAAGTAACTATAGCAGATTAAATCTGCTTTGATGGAAATTTCTTAAAAATAATCGATATATCTAATAAGTAATTTCCTGATAATCACCTTATCGTCAAAGATTATGACATCATATCTAGGTGATAAGATTCTTTTAACGTTTATTCTTTGAGCTTTATGCAAAACATTTCCTCAAAAATTTTCAACAATATCATTAATCTATTTACATTTTTGTTGATGTGAACGTTATAGTATCCCTTTTTATTGTCACAAAGAATGACATAAATGTCATAGCCTCCAATTTTATTAGTTAATAAAATTTGCTGTTCGTATTGTTCATTGATATAAAATGAGTTAAACTAACTACAGTATATAAAAAAAGATTTATGAATGTCAATCTCCATGATTCAGAATATATTGAATGCTTTCGAATTCAAATTTCTAAGCTAAATTAGTTTAAAAAAAGCTTTGTATATTCAGGGAAATTTTAATACCAAGCATACATCTGAAGCAAATTACTAACTATCAAACTACGCTTAACTTTTTAGGGATACAAGAAATCAGTACAGGTACAAAAAATAGATTACAATAGAAAATTTTTGATTGTTTTTCATTGGGATTTTACCGAATCACGTAATATAAAAAGTTATGCAATTATTCCTGTTTTTTCTTGGATCGCAGAATTTCATAAATGCTACAACATTCAAAATTGTAAGCTGCATCATTAAAAAGTAAATAGCTCATCTATATTTGCAGCTCACTGTAGTTTAAGTCACTGTAGCCACCGACAGTGTAAAAAGATCTATAATCTTTTCCTAGAGGGCTGCTTGTGTAGGTAGGGATTCCCCATGTAAGTGTTCAAATCTGATACACTACCTACTTCTTTCATTCGCCTCATTCTCAGACATAGCAGGATGCACATAACAGTAGAGAGCAGCAAGCAGGCTAAGAAAGCAGTTGTTACAGCTGTTAATGCTAGCACAGGTAAGCACATAGTACTACTTTGTACTTCATCTAGAAGAAAAAATAATCATCGAGTTTATTTTCAAAATAAAACATGAAATGCACTTTATGAATGAAAAATAATTAAAGAATGACAACCTGAAGTATATCTTAAGAAAAGGTGCATTTTTCAATAGGGAATTACGTATTGAATATCATTTCTGAGTATCAGATTGTTTAGGTAGCATAGGCAGCCTCAACGCAATTCTTATCCCATTTCCACCAAAATACCATATATTTCGAAAGTGTGTAAACTACAAATCACAAATTCATATTTAAATAATGAACAAAAATGCTGTAAAATTTAAACGAATCATCACCGAGGTCAAAAGAGAGACAAAATCTCCAGAAATGATTTTACTTGAGGATAGAGCGATTCTTTAAATACTAAAGGAGAACATATTTCAGTTTCATTAGATAAATCAACTTTCCATTATTTTTATCCTTACTTGCTCTGATGAACTAAATAACGATTCATCAGAGATTGATAATTCATTTTGTAACGGAACAAATAATACAATTTCTGAATGATGCAATTAGAGGCTACGATATTGTGCATTTAAAATGTTTAAAATGCTTTACATTAGAGTGAAATGTTCCAAAATAATTTGTTGAATGATGCAACAAGCCGGAAGGGTTTTAAATGTTTTGAAGAATTAAGGATATACTTAATTCATTTTAATTCATAAATTTTAGAAATTCGAAGTCTCTCATTACAACTTACCAGCTTTAGGTTTTCCTAATTCAGACGCCTCCGACGATTCCTGTAGCACTTGCAAAGCTTGGAATAAACTTACGTTTTCAGATGTTAAAGAAGAATTGTCGTTGTCAAATTGTAAATCAGCTGATCGTTTTGCAAGATTTTTCCAGTGACATCGTTGAGCCTTTATTTATTTGGGGGGAAAAACAACAAGAAAATTTAGAAATAGTAAATGAATTATACTATTTAAGCAGTATACGTTTTCAACACAATGCACAATTTTACAGTATATATGTTTCAGTGAAAGACCGAAATCAAGAGAATGTCGATCGACTTTCACCGGCGAATNAGATGTAATTTTTTTTTTAAAAAAAGTTGTTACATGGATTTGAATGATTGTTTTGAATTCTTAGAATTTTGTGCATTTGCAACGTACCTAAGTTAGTAGCGAGCGAAGCGAGCTTGGTTTGCAAAGCAAACCATATAAAATTACGTAGCAATTTTCGGGGGTTGGCGAGCGTTAGTGAGCAGGGGGCGCAGCCTACTAGCTATATTTATTCGTTGATATTATTATATTTATTCAATATTTTAATATCTGCCGAGGATAGATTTGAAGAAGCAGCAGTGTTCGGAGTGTCGGACAAATGTATACTGGACAGTGGCACCGAACCTTTAAAAAAATATCATATTAACCAAAACGACTATGTGATTGTTAACATTCACCGGTGGAAGTCAACAACCACCAATTTCTGCCATTCACAGTAACATATACACAATTTAAGCTACACGTTTTTGCTTAATGGTATAAATTAAAATGTAGGCTTGTCATTTGCTAAAAATATTTTACTTTAAAGTATAACATACTAAATGTATTGCTTTTAAGAAAGGACTTCGATTATTATAATATAGAGCAGTGTTTCTCTAAGTGTGGTGCGCATACCCCCAGGGGGGTACTAGAACAGTTCAGAGGGGGCACGCGCTCTTATGCGAGATATCTTGCACCAAACGAAAATTTCAAAAAACTTTATTTGAAAACAAAGCTAGGTATGGAAATTTAAGATTATGTATTTTTCTTTTGGCTACTTTTTGCAGAGTTAACAGTTAATAATTAGTGGTGTTAACAGCCAGTTCTGATTTTTAACTTTTGTGCAATTTTTTTATAGTAAAAAATACATTCATTTTCTTATTAGTGGTACACCGCGTTACGAAAATATTAGAAAGGGTACACAAAAGTCATAAGTTTAGGAAACACTGTTTTAAGGTATGACATACTAAATGTATTATTTTTAAGAAAGGACATCAATTATTATAATATAGAGTGAAAAATTGTGGAAGAATATAAATATGATTAAACTAAACACATGAAATATTAGATGCCAATCTTATTGTAGGAGCTCTAGTATAATTTATGTCGATAAAAATTTAAGATGTAACGATGATAAAATTAGATGATAATAGGCTTAAACAAGTTTGAGAAACAAAAAAAAAGTAATTAATTATTAGTCAGTTTCCTCTCTAACGATTGTAATCTAATCTCATCAATCGCAATTTTTTTTCTTCAAAATAAGATACTGACCGATAGGATTTGGTTTGCTTTATGCAAGTGAATTACTGACCTTAAATAAAGACACACAATACTCACTGGACATGTTTGAGAGAATTTTCTCAAAGCAATCTTTGGATTCAGTGCAGAAGACTAAACGACGGAGAACTAAATACTACTTTGAACTGTACAAGCTTTTTAGACTACCAAAAATTACACAAATTAGTAGTCGTAGCAGACCTCATATTTTGAGAAGCTCAGAAAATAATCCATCTAAGAATTAAATATTTTTAAAAAAACCAGGATCATTTTGAGCTAACTAAGATGGTTGGATGGCATTAAGAAATATGAAGACTTTGAAAATTAAAAATAGAAGTTTCACTGCAGGTAGAAGACGCTGGAAGGAGCGTGTAGTAGAGGTGCCTGTAAGAGACTGTTGTGCTTGTGAAGAAGAAGAACTTTTTTATAGCAGGAATATTGCATCAGAACATAATGTAAGGGATTATTAACGGAGTGTTTTGCAGTAACTTACCGGGCACGTTCCATGGCACATATGAACATCACATTCTAAATAGAGTGCTGGACTGCTTGTAAAACGAAAAGCCTTAAAATATGCATAGAGTGCAACATGATTTGTTCCACCAGCACTGCGCACTCCACGAAAAGGACTCATTAGCTGTTCTTTGAGAATGCACCTGTAAGAATAAGTGTGAGTTTTTTTAATGCACTTTAACTGTTTAAATATGTACTTAATGCTTGATTATTTTCTTTACCCATTAGCATCGATAAGCTGCAGTTTTTTCTTGGCGCCATTATGGGCATAGCAACTACTGACAGCCACATCAAATTCAGCTATAAGTTTATGAATAAAAATAATTAAAATGTCAGTCATGATTAATGTTAATGTGATAAAGTGTTGCATATATGTGTTAATTGGTTATTATAATACTAAACAAAATCATTATATACTAATATATACATTATATACTAAACAAAATCATAAGTTCAGATAAGAAAATGTTGGCAATATTTATCAGTTTAGCAATTTTATCAAATTATTATACACCCTTTCTTAATCGGATCGATAATGTTCTAAAACTCAGTGGTAATAAGACACGTAACTGGGTTTAATTATAACACAATCATTACATCAAGGAAAAATAATCAGTTAGGAAGATTCGTTTGAAGAAAATTAGAAATAAGATAATATTATTGTATTTACTGGACAGTTTAGTAATTACGAGAAATCACTATATAATGTAACAAATTTTTAATAATATAGTAAATATTTATAATAGTTCTAGCTGAATTTCCGTTGTTTGTACAGGTTGAAAAAAAGTAAATAATCAATAAATCGATATTGATCAGTGCTAAGAAATCATACATAAAACTGTAGACGTATAACGACACAATTATTTAAGTTGAAACAATTCCATTTTTTATTCCTCATTATTTGTTTTTCTTCACGGTGGCTTTACGTTATTAGATTAAGCAATATATGTTTTCATAAGTTCATTCCATCAAAATAATAATTATCTTTATTCAGTATCATTTGGCAAATTACCATCATCAACAATTTTCTCCAGAATTTATCACTTTCTCGGGCCGTAAACCGATTTCCACAGCACCTACAGTATGTATCTTGGTATCAATATTAGTATACATTAGTTACATACAAAAGTTTTGAGACGATATGCTTTTCTGCTCTAATTTTTCTGCATGAAAATAAAAATAAATTTGAAAATTTTTAATTTGATAAACATCAAATGAGAATTGAAAAAAAAAAATTTAAATCTGAAGTATTGAGGCGATTCTGTCTTTCTAAACTTTTACTGAGATGAATCATTTTGAGGTAAGAAGATATAGCACATTTTTAACACTTTGTTGCATATACTTCTGCTTTGATGACTGAGGCACACCACTTGGGCATCGAATTAACAGGGCCTTCCAGAGTGGACTTAGGAATTTTCGCTCATTCCGATTGAAGATCCAAAAGGAACCCTGCCTTTAAAGAATGCTTTCATGCCCCGCCTTTTATTCCAATGAATTCCCAAAGGTGTTCTATTAGATTCAGGTAATGGGATACAGTTTAAAGTCTTAGCCTTCTTTGCTATAAACCAAGTTGTCACAATTTTGCACGTGTGCTTAGGATCATTATTTGACTGAAACATCCATCCGCGAGGCATCTTTTTTGGTAGCATGTGAACTTCTAAAATGTTTTTATAAACACATTGATACACAGTCTCATCGATGTGTATGAGTTATGATGGAAGGCTCCCCAGGCCATTACTGATCCGTTTCTGTGTTTCACAGGTGGCCTCTAGTTCTGTGCTCCACTGTTGGCCGTTTTGGTTGACGAATAAAACGTAGGCCATCACTTCCAAACAATTGAATTTGGATTCATCACTCCAAAGGATCTTCTTTCATTCTTTAGTTGTCCATGCTTCGTGCTCTTTTGCAAATTTCAATCGGATCATCCTATTTTTTGTGCGGATGTGAGGATTTTTTCAGGAACATTTCAGATACATTTAGACGATGTCATACGGTTTGCGCACTCTTAGTCCATGTTCGGTGGTCATCTCCTTGCATATTTAATTAACGTTCTTGTTTGGGATATGCAAACGACTTTCTTTGGATTAACGCGTCTTGACGTTGAGCAATTTTTCTTGGGGGCTCTTGACCTTAAAAGATCGTGAACACTTTTTCCATCCTTCCACTTTTTTAATATGTGGCCAACAGTCAATTTTGGAATTCCAAACTTATTAGCGAAAATAGATTATTAAACTTTTTCTCAGCTTTTTTACTAATCAAAAGACAAGTAGCTGTTTCATCAATCAAATGCGTTTTCCCCCCCAGAAATTAATACTAAAGCAGATAATATTTTCCAATATTATCAGCACCAATATTTTCACGTTGGAATTAAAATTCTATCGCTTTAAAGATTTAAGCAAGAGAGTTTCGTATACAACGACGCAGCTGTAAGTTAGTTTCGCATACAGCAACTCAGCTGAATAATTTCCCAGCTTTATGTTCGGAACATCCTCTGTTCTAGAAAATTTTAGGAACATAAGAATGTGTAAAGCTAATTTGCTTAGCTGCGCAAAGTTATCATAAGTATCTGCATACAGCTTGTATAGAAAGAAAATAACGAAAATATTATTTAAAAGACAGGAACCGTATTCGAAGCTACATATTTAGCGTGAAATTCGTTTGCTCTAACCACAGAGTTATAAGAACACTTTTGCGTAAGTGATTATTACAAATATTTAAATTAAGTATTAAAAACTTGAATTATGACAATTAGAATGCTTTGATTCTTAAAGTTTGTACTCACTGCTATCACTTTCCATATGAATCATAAGGGTCAATGGATCACCAACAGTTACAGGTCCAGTTAGGCGGCCTCCAGATGGTCCAAAGCCAGTTCGAACTTCCATGTAGCATTGAGGGGGTGAGAGAGTAACTAAATATGGACTAGCTGTATTTTTTCTAAATAAGAAGGAGTTTGTTATAATAACTTAAAGGATCCACCTTTTCCATTTACAACTTACAAATATGTTAAAAATGTAACTAAAAGTAGTAATTGATGTAAGGAGAAAAACAGCAAATGTCAGTTTTAATGCAAAAGTGTTTTAATGCAAAAGTGTTATAAGACATACTTCAGAATGTGTAAAATATGTTAAGCTCCTAGCTTTGAAGTCTCAAAAATGTTTTAAAAAATAAAGTTACAAATAAAGTGTACATAAGTGTGGAGATTAATCTTTGAACAATTTTCACTTTTGTAAATAGTCTTGTAAGTTTAATTGTAGAATATGAAAGTTCTAAGAGCGTACTTTTCAGTTATTGGCAGTAGTTTATTGAGGGTAGTTTAAAGTTTTAAATGTTTTAAGTGTTACTAAGGACTAATATGTTAATTAAGGACTTACAATGTTTTGTAATTTTCACGCATTTCTCAATATTTTCAATTGTGAGCCTTATCATTTATCACACTTTTTATTATCAAATGTTTTTTTAAACACACTTGGTTACAACAATTCATTTACATACTTACTTTAAATTTATTTGAAAATTAAATATAAACAATATGTAATTGTATATTTTAATTAAATATTTATATATTATAATTATTTTTCATAATATTAATTATAATCTTATTAATACAGGATTAAAATCGCTTGAGATGAGCAGTATAACTATTTACAAATTATTCAGGTTGTTTCGCTATGACCGTCTTTAATGTATGTATTTTTTGTTATCCTTGTTAAATGGGTTAAAAGTATACAGATGTAGCTTTTAAAAGTAATATTTAAATTTAAAATGTACGTCGAGATAAATCAGGGAGAAAGTAGGGAAAATTAATTAATACCATTTCATTTCTTCGAGGAAGCAAAAAAGCGACGAAACGCTATTATTAGCTAAACTCTTTCATTTTTATTTGGAAAAATATTTTCGTTGGTTTTAATCCCATTTTTACTGTAATAGACCTCATTAATTATTAATCAGATTTCTATAAAGTTCTTTTTCCTTTTAAATATTAATTTTAATCCCAAATGTTAATGAGTTTGAGCTAATTTTCAACATTTCAAATTTGCCTACAGAATGTTTCATAATTGCCATCTTTTATATATTTTTAAAATCATTTTCATAAATGAAATAAAGACTATGTACGTTCGAGGCCGGGAGTTATTATTATTCAAGTGAGGAAGGAACGAAAATGCAATCGAAATCTGCAGAATCACTGGCGGAATGAGTTTAAATTGCCTCCTCTATCTCGGAAGTGTTTGTAACAAATACCATTCAACTTTTCTGTTTCCCCTGGCAATAAAATAGTTTTTGGTGTTCTCAATCATGCTTCTTCAGTTGCGATTCATTGGATTTCGATTGGGTTTCGTTTTTTACTCGCTTTTATATTAGTCTTAGACTCCCAATGTGAGCATTTTCTTACATTATTTAATTTAGAGAATTTGTTGTTTATCTGAAACCATACGTAAGTGAGAAAAGTGTTCTTACTCTACGCCAACGACTGGAAAGGTAACAGTTCTTCGGAATTCATAACCATATTCGCAAGTCACTTGAAAATGCTCATCCCAATCTTCTTCAATTTCTGGATTGTATTGAACAGTGATTGTGTTCCACATAAAATGATTTCGGTCCTACAACAAGATTATATTGTGCATGTATTGTTATTGAAATAAACTCTCTTCTACATAAAACATAAATAATTCAACACTTTATAGCTATTTATTAATGTTACAATATTTCCCCATATAACCTGACATTTTACTAGAGTTTATCTATAATTTAATATCGGAAAGAATATATTTTAGTTATGATTTGAGAATATTTATTTCCAAAGATAGTCTAGACAATTTCATGTTGACAATATTATGTATTTATTAAAAAAATTTTAAAATTAATTATTACTTTATAGTAAAAAAATAGAACAGGATTTTTTAAGCAAACTATTCCATAAAATGGCGCATTTTGGTTGTCAGTTTCTAATTCTAGATTTTGAAATTTTGTCCCTGAATTAACTATAGTAATACCAAGAAAATATTAAAATTATACAGTTGTATAAAAAATTAGTTGGGAATGCAGATAAAGAATGTACTGATAAGTTAACGAAGTATATAGTTTACATGCACATACATTTAATAAAAAATATTTATTTCTTACGATAAATGTCCTTGAACATTGTATAATAATGAAAATGTCTCATTAAGTTACATCAGAAATATGCTGATCATTTATAACACTGCGTTCTATTTGAATTAGGTAAATAAATTCGTTAATTAATAAAATAAAAAGTAAAAAAATAAAAAAAAACGAACATTATAAGAATTATAATACATGAATCATGTTCAACTCGAAATGTTTATTTATGAATATTTATAAAGCCAATTAATGATAAAACATGTCTTACCGGAACTTCGTTTGATGAGGGTTCAAATTCTGGTCTACCCAAAGTACCACATCTGTTCAATCGAATTGAAAATTCGTATCTATCATGACCTGATCCATTGACGTAGACGCAATCATTGTCATGAGCATATCCAGTGCTGTAGACCAAACCATCAAATGATCCATTGAATTGTATAGTAATTTTCATATAATTGCTAAAGCAATCAGCTGTTACATCTAGAGAATGCATCGGAAAAAAAGAAACTTATTAAAAAAACTCACAAAATTTTTTTTAATTGGTGAAATTTTTAATTGAAAGTAGATTGTTGAAAATGAAATATTGAAACATAGGTACATAAAATTGCTGTACATGTGCCGAATAGCTTACATTTGTTGTATCTATTAATTGGATGGTGTCTTTATATATTTTCTAAGCAAAATTTATATTGTTTATTCAGTAAATAGCTAATGCTTTTTTCGCAAAGTTAATTTTTAGGTTTATGGAAAACCGACCAATCTAAAAGACAGCCGACCCATTTTTTGGGGTTTACACGATTTTTAATGTTCAACTCCGTAGCCTGGTAATTTTGAACTCAATCCAGAAGACAAGGGAACTCTTGGATCAAGTATTGGGGGAAATTTACCCTCGGGGAGGACTTTTTGATGGAACTAACACGCCTTTGCGTTACACGGAGAGGAAAATCACGAAAGCCTCTCACGGTTAGACTGACGGAAGGGGAACTCTAACCTATGATCCGTCTACCACTAAGTATATTTTACGTTAGTGCTGTGGTCGGTGCAAGCTAGATGCGGAATTCATATCGACCAGCCATCTTTGGGATTCAAACCCGGTTCATCTCATTGGGAGGGGAAATCTCTATCTCCTAAGCCATCACGGCTCAAAACAATATAGTTAAGAAATATTCCCCTAGTGAGCTTTAAAGACGTAAAGACGTATTGTAGGAGAGAGAAAACTGTAAAAGGAAAAAATATAAGGCAGCCTTTAGAGTAGCATATTAAAGTGAAATATCATATTTTAAAAGTAAGACAAACAAAAGTAAAAGCACATAACACATAAAAGAGGATTTTTCTACATTTAGACTTATCTTTCGAAATCAATATCCCTCGCTTTACTTGTGAATCATATAAAGAAAAGTTTAGAATAAACATTAAAAGTTTAAAAACTGTTAATGGCAAATGCATTATTGCATTTATTAAAAATATAATTTATTTTAATTATTATTTATTCATATTGTTATTAATATCGTTTTTTGAAACATCAAATCGAATTCTGTTCGATGTCTTTTTAGTTTTATTTATAAGCTATCAAATGATGAATCAATAGCTTTTCTCAATGTCTATTGAGGATGATTATGATGTCTTTCCGATGTCTATTAACCAAATGTTTAATATTTACTTGAAGATTGATGGTCACTAGATATTGTACTTTGCACTATATTTTAAAATGTATCAAGTATACGGGCATCTACAAATAGAAATAGGAAATACTAATACAGTGAAACTTCTCCTAAAGGCCACCTCTACTTAAGGGCCACCTCTATTAAGGGCCAATATTTTGAGGAACGAAAATTTTCCCCATAGACATAATGTTAATTTTCCTCCCATTAGAGGGCCACATTTTCCTGACTACCTCCAATAAAGGCCATTTTTTCCCCCGTCCCATGAGTCCCCCGTGCCATATTTATCAAACCAAGAAACGCTAATAGAAGTAATTAAACTGATATCCCAATCCAAGGCATTAATAAATGATGCGAATTTAACTAATTTGTTTTATAGAGTTAAGGAATCATTAGAAACTAAAATTGTTTGCGAAAAAATTGTAAAAAGTAAACAAACTTCAATTGAAAATTTTTTTAAACATGTATAAAAACTTAAAATGTTAATAAACAGTTTTTTTCTACATAAATTTTGATTTCCTCATTTTATTTTTTGGTCACCCCCATTTAAGGGCCANTAATTAAAAATATATATATATATATATATAGCCATGCAATTGGCCTTTCCCGCTTTTCAAATTATTGATCATCTGTCTTATTTTTACAGTTTTAAAAATATTAGATTAAATTTTCAAGTTTCTGAAGCTCAGTTTTGTCCATTCAAGTACTCAATTATAATGCTTAAAAAAATTGGCGAATATTATGAAATATTTGCTCTAACAAATTATTGGAAGAAATTTTTTTAGTTTTTTAAGAATTATATGAGCATCAGTCAATGAGACTTGTTACAGAAACTTACATTCAACTCGTGGTACGTCTCTTTCGTGTTGGAATCCAAGAATTACTGGTGCTGATTGATCATTTGCTGTTGCAGGAGGTATGTATCCAGCACCCGGTATAGGAGGGTATACAGGTTTAGGCTGTTCAATGAGCTCATTCTCATTGGAATCAACATGATTTGACGTCGGAATTCTGCTTCCTTTTGGGATGAAAGCAGACCCTTCTCGTTCCCGAAGTTCTTCACTACTTCTTTCACTTTCTGAAAAGAAGTAAACGCGAAAAATCACAGTGAGTGAGATTCCTCTCTTTCCGGTTAACTTTTAAATTAAATCAACACTGCGTAAACGGGAAGTATACATACATAAAAAAAAAGAAAAATTATATTTTACTTGTCAAGTGGAGTGTAAAGCACACGGAAGAAATTTATCTGTTAGAGAGGTTCTCTGTTAATACGTGAAAATTTTAAAACCTTCTGGAGCCAGCAAGCACTGTAAGAGCTATAACTGTCGGCCAGCAAGCATTTTTACCTAAATTAGACTGATGATTTCAGTAAATTTGTAACAAGAAAGCAGCTTAGATAGAAAGAAAAATTTTTGCTGCAAATTCATGCATAAACGTTTCCTCCTAGAGTTCTTAGTTTTAGTTAAAGCGTTTTTCGATACATGACTCAGTAAGTCCATTTTTTAGTTGTTTATTTTGAGTTTTAATGCATACAAATTTAGTTTCCCGATTACGATGCGTGATTGTGGCAGATGCGGATAGTTAGAAACTATTTTAATGTAATTTTCATTGATTGAGTGTCTTTGGAGTGATTTCCAATTTTTTTTCTTTTGATTTATTAGGTTATTTTTGCATTGCTATTTGTCTGAAGATTTTTAAACTAATAACAGAACCGCTACGCTGGTTGGTTTAATTTATGTTTTGTCATATGAATTTGTTGCAAAAAAATTTTCTTTTGGCCATAACCGTTTCTTTGTTCTACAAAAAGTGTTTCGGTATGTTTATTGTTTTTACATTGTTGAAGGGGGCTCAGCTCATAAGAATGACATAGTCATTGGGCTAAAGGTTTACTTTAGGAATTGATATTGGATTTTTACAAGAAAAACTTCTAGAAGTTTAAGGCACTCGAGGCTTAAGAAGAACTATTACCTGCAGACAAAGATCAAGTTGATTCTCAATGTACAAATTCTCAGTACAGGGGAAATATAAATTACTACAGATCCCCAGAAATAAACATCATCTTTAAAATGTTTTATAAAATTAAATATTAAATTGAACAGTTTTATTAAGTTTAGTATATTGTAGTTAAAATTATAAAATTCAGTTCTTTTTTGTTTACCATAAAATCATACAATTTTACCATACATTTTGTTTACCATTTTTTTCTTGATGATAGTTTGCATTAAATTATGTTGGAATCTTAAATATAATGGTGTAATGTTTACGATTTAGTGCTATTTATATGCAATTTAGTTTGCTCAATTTAATTCATAACAAACGCACGGAAAAAAAAAGTTGATACTATAGTCTTCAACACAGACAGTTTACTTTGACAAGAAAAACAATCGTATTATTTGTACAATATTCAATTATAAAAACTAAGTGTTGACCCTATTCATTAATAACATACCTTTTGAATCCTCTTTATGTGTGGATCCACGAACTACGTGATAGTTCCCATTTAGAAAATCCCCATGGTCAATCTCTCTGCTTCCAATCTCGGAACTCGATGGGGGTTTGGAACGTACATTGTTTTCTCTTAGAATAGTTGTAGAGTTCCAAGATGCCATATATCTCTCAGCACTGTTTTTAGAACTGTCGTAATGACTGGTGTCACGATAAAGAGCCGGCTTAGAAGTGACTGAAAGTGTGCCATCTGATGGTGGCGTGACTTGGAAGACAGGTACAGGAGTAGCGGTTGTTGCTACAGCGCTTTTCGAAATTTGAAAAATAACCAACCAGAATGCAAGTAAGGAATATGGATGACTAGGGAAAGGTTTGGATACCATGTTCAATTTAAAGAATGCTATAAATTGAAGGTCTAAAAAGAAAGAAAAAAGAATTACGTATACACACTAAATTGATGAGCATCCTCGTTAAAAAAATAAAAATAAGAAGCATGACAAATAATATGAATTACTTCTCTAAAAAGATTAGAGTATTACCCATACAAAATAAATTAATGAATATACTCGAGAAAAAAAATATTACGAAGAAATAAGAATTCGGAAACTTAGCTGCAAATATAGATAAAATGGAAACTTTTACAAAATTTTAAATTTAAATAAAATTCTGAACCTTAACTACACTTGAAAATAATGCAATGTATTATACCTTTAAAAGTAAAATTATGTAATTGAAATTCGCTAAAAGAAAAAAAAAAACTACTACCATTGGAAATAAATTGTCTAATTTTATAACAAATGTGAAATTTTTCAAACATTATCAAATTTTTCTTAACCTGAGTTGAATAAGTTAGTAAATATGGGTTTTATTTAAAAATCTTTCTATTGTTTCATGAAATGCGCATTTCCATAATTGCGTAAAATTGTTTGCTTAATAGTTACATAAAAATGCGCCATGACATTGCTTTAACGTTTGATTTAACTAACAGGATTTTAAATTCTTAAGCTTACTTTTTTTCAGATAGTTGGCTGCATATGAATTGGCATGCTAAAAAGAAATATGTTCTGTAAAAATAGTTATAACGTATTTCCCATAAATTAAAAATTAAATTAATATTTCCTTTATTCTTCAAGACATTTTGAATTTTTAAAGCTAAGAAAAGTGACTGTAGCAATAAACAATAGCCGAATCACAGATTACTTATTCATTCTTGGAGAAGTGTTTTATAGCGTCTAAAACTTCAAACATTCTTTACGATTTGAAACTGGAAGGATGGGCACCGTCGGGGGTCCATCTCCTTTCAATTTCACATTCCTATCTGCATTCTCAATTTATCATCCGCATTGTTATAAATCTGTTTTACCAAAGATAACAGCCATGTGTGTATCAGAATAAAGAACAATTGCTTCTTACTTTGGAGCTCCATAGTCTCCATTTCTAAACTGAATATGTAATTTTTAAAGTGCGATTTCCCTGCCAAATCATTGTATAATTTTACATTAAACTTATTATATTATATGTACAAGAAAATGATCTGCACTGAAAGGAAAGTAGTTCTTTCAACATAAATTCAACAAATATTTCACCTCGTAGCGATTTCTACAGCACATTCACTGACATTTCATTAGCACGTTATTAGAAAATTCCTGGAAATAATGTCAAACTACTATAAATAATGTTAATAAAAATATACCAAATGCCTACGATTATCATTTTAATCATATCCTTATCATTCCTATAATTTAATCGCAAAAATATTAACTATTCACGTAATTAATTTTCCTTAAGAAAATGTATTTTATGTTTAGTGAAATAATTGCATAATTTTATTCGCTTACTTGCTAATATCTAAAGAGGATATTTTTTGAACTGAATGCAATATAAGATGACATTATATTAATACGACTCTCTTTTGTACTATTCACTTCTTCCTATATTAATGGAGAATTAAAATTACGGTTAATTTTTAACGAACACAATATATTTAGATTTTATAATGCTTCTTGATATCAGTGTAATGGAATCATTATAATTATGAGAAATTCAGCACTGCTTAGTGTGTGTTCGATTTTTAACTTGAGATTTTTAACTAAGCAATTTATTATTTAGTTTTATTTTGTAGATTGAAAAAAAATTGTTTTATTTGAAAAAAAATAAATAAAGAATTAATTATACTGTAAAAAATTTTGACTAAAAATACGGTATTAAGTACCTGCACTTTGGGCTCATGAACAGTAAAATCTCTTTTACCATTAAATATTATATCCTATTTTTTTTACATTACTATTTATGTAATTAGAGTGATTCAGTGATTTTACGTAGATTATGGTATATCAATTTTTTTTATCTTAATATGTTCAGGTAAAAATAGATTTTATGGTAAAAAGTATCGGCTTCCTGAATGCGGGTACTTTTCACCATAATTTGACCAAAGATTTTTTACAGTGTATCACTAATTTTGCCTGCGCTGAATTGGTAAAGTATTCATGTATAACACGATTTATTCAGTTAAAAATACCTGAAAAAAACCTTTTTTTTATTTATTAGAATAATAATATAAAAATCATTGCTACTTTCAAAATGAATAGTGATGAAAAATTAAATTTAGACTAATTTCAATGATAATATAATCAAAACGAATTTACAAGACTAAATAAGTAAAAGATGACATAATTGATGAAGTTTTATCCTGAGAGTTTGGAGTTTATGGTTTAATCATCAAATATTTTTATAATTCGTAGGCTCTTTTGAAAATTAAACAGTATCATTCATTGATTTCACATTTAAAATTGATTAATAGGGCGAATTAAATTCAATTTATAATTTCGTATTAGAACGTGGTTTTTAATTATAATGCCTGTATACTAGGAGACAAATTTCCTTTTGATGTAAACATCAGTATAAAAAAATAAATAAAATATGAAAGTCAATTTAAAAATAAGAATATTTTTGATAGTAAGAATATTGTGTTCTAGTGAAATAATAAAAACCATTGCAAAATAAGAGAACATTAATTAAATTTACTCCTAGTTTTCTAAAATAATTAGCACAAAAAAATACATTTATTCAATTCTCATACTTATCGACTTAATTTTGTTTAAATTTGGCTTGGTCAATTCCCGGCGAAAGATTAAATTAGTTATATTTTTTTAAAAAAATATAGAAATGTTTAATATCTTCTTAAATAAATTTGTGAAGTATCAATCATAATAAAATAAAAAAATGGGTTATTTTTAGATTTATGTAACTAAGTAAATGAGATTTTAAAAACACCTTAATGATATAAATTTACTAATGATATTTTGACTAAGGACTTTTAGTTTTGATATTTTAAAATTCATACTCCATGAAATATTATTTTATATAGCTCTCTGAAAATCATTTAATACAAATTCTTTCTATACTTCGCTTATGTTTGTGGTATTTGGGACATTTTTTAAATTTCTCTTTATTTTAAGCATTTTCAAGACATTACAGCAATATTGAAGCAAAAAAAATTCATTTTTTCTTTAAAAAAAACAAGAGATAAAAACTTTAAGATAATTTTAAAAGTAAACTATTAATTTCTCTTTTATTTAATATAAATAAATTTCATTAATTCTATACCAATTTGATTAAAAAAAATAATTTTGATCTATATTTGAAAAAAAGTAGATAATGTTTGATATATAAAAAATAGACTACGTATTGTATCTTAGAAATTTGGTTGAAGAGTTTAATTTCTCATTTTGGGTATCGCAGCTTCATGATCTGATTATAAAATAAATACTCTTATACTAAATTTTTAAATCAATAAGGAAACTTACATTTTAAATAAATGTTATAAAAAATTTCCATATTTAGAAAACAAACGAAATGGAAGTAATCCAGTGTCCAAACTTTCATTCCTAGGAAATTACTAAGAATTCATTCATAAGAAAATGTAAAAAAATTTGATTGATAGGAAATTGATAAAGATTTCGTGTTTAGGAGGCATTGATAAAGGTTTCCAAGAAATTGATTTGATTCTCCTAAGTTGGTGCAAAATACATGACTACTTTTGCGTGCTCCGATTCTTATAGTGAACTAACCTGTAATAACAGCGAATATATAGTGAATTTATAGGGAATTTATAGGGAATATATAGTAATATATAGTGAAATCAATAATTTTGATTGGCAATGGGAGTGGGGTTCAAAACGTATTAAACCTATTTATTTGTTTTCCTTTGACGCTTATATGCTTTAGATTTTCTTGTTTTTAATCGTGTGCCATATATAGAGTAACACAATATTTAAAACTTTTTTTAAAAAAACTCCAATAAAAATTTATATATATTTATAATCTCAGAATAATTTTTAAATTTACATTTGTAGTCTCTCCGAAATATTTCAGTATTTTAAAAAATTCTCCTAAACCATTAACTTAGACATTTAATTTGCAATTTTCAAATCCAGCTTAGTTGTTTTAATATAAATTACTTTTTAAATCGTAAGATTTGAGTAAAATGTTTTTACATTGCTCTAGTTATTTTAAAATCTGGTTAATAATTAACTGAATTTATAATCTTATTCTTTAAAATAAATTTTTGATTAAACTACTTTCTTTTTGCATTATTTAGAACAATTAAAAAGTTATGATATTCAAAAAATAGTTTAAAATACAATATGGTTAGAATATTGTAAAATGAAATATGGTGCAGTTTTTGGATTTAAGTAAGATTTCTTTCTACACTATCAACATAAATAAAAATTTATTGAGATAAATTGAAATAAAAATTTAGCAAATTTAATTATTAAACTAATTATTGCATTCTTTTAATTAATAATTCTGTGTTCTTGTTTTCGCTGTAGATTAATGATTTTCATATTATTGAACAAATTTTGGTGCTCTTTTAAATTTATTTTAAGCATAAGCTTAATTTTCGTTTTGCATTTTGAATTTATTAGATATACGCAAGTCATTAGATAATTTCCAGAGGAGCAAAAGACTAAAAAAAATATTTAGGTTAAAAGTTTAAAAGCAAGATAGAAGATATTTAATTTATCCTCTCATCAAATCCTCTCATCAATTTAAGGTTTCTGTACTGTTTTGGTCAAAATTTTACGCATGTAGTGTGTTAAAATTTTTATGTTATGCCAATTTTTTATTGCTTGAATATAGGATTTATCAGTACTAGTCTTTATTAAATTAATATTTTTATTAATATGTGATTCTACTATGATAGTTAGAAAGTATTGCAAAATGTACGTTGAAGACAGAATTTTCTTTCATGATATTTCTATTTTTTAAAAAAAATCATATCTTTTTAATGCATTGTTTCCAATACATAATAAAATTGAGTTAGAGATAAAACACACGCGAACCTACGTTAAATCGATTTCAACATACACTTAATTTATTATTCTGAATTCACTTTTCATTTTAAATGCATGATTTTGATTTAAATTTAGTTTCATTTTAAATATAAAATAGCATTAAAATGTGGCGAATCTGATGTTATATGTATACTTGAGCACAGTTTTTATTTTATTGCAAATCATCAAAATATTGGCAATTTTTTTTCAGGGGATAAAAACTTAACACTGTGTAATAACTTTTTAAGAACAGTTTAATTTTATTAAATTATTGTATAATAAGTACTTTAGATATTTGCTCTCTTCAATGTAGCGTTACTACATTGCCTAGATCAAAATTTTAATATTGCTGTGTATTTTAATTTTATTTACTTGTAATAATATATTTTTATCAATTAAGNATCATTGCTACTTTCAAAATGAATAGTGATGAAAAATTAAGTTTAAACGAATTTCAATGATAATATAATCAAAGCGAATTTACAAGACTAAATAAGTAAAAGAAGACATAATTGATGAAGTTTTATCCTAAGAGTTTGGAGTTTATGTATCAAATATTTTTATAATTCGTAGGCTCTTTTGAAAATTAAACAGTATCATTCATTGATTTTACATTTAAAACTGATTAATAAGGCGAATTAAAATAAATTCCTAATTTCGTATTTGAACTTGGTTTTTAATTATAATGCCTGTATACTAGGAGACAAATTTACTTTTGATGTAAACATCAGTATAAAAAAATATAAAAAATATGAGAGTCAAGTTCAAGTAAGAATATTGTGCTCTAGTGAAATAATAAAAACCATTGCAAAATAAGAGAACATTAAGTAAATTTACTTCGAGTTTTCTAAAATAATTAGCTCAAAAAAGTAACTTTATTCAATTCTCTTACTTATCGACTTAATTTCGTTTAAATTTGGCTTGGTCAATTCCCGGCGAGAGATTAAATTGGGTATTTTTTTAAAAAAAATATAGGCATGTTTAATATCTTCTTAAATAAATTTGTGAAGTATCAATCATAATAAAATTAAAAAAAAGGATTATTTTTAGATTTATGTAACTAAATAAATAAGATTTTAAAAATACATTAATGACGTAAATTTACTAATGATATTTTGAATAAGGACTTTGAGTATTATTAGTTGAAAATTTACTCTATGAAAATTTATTTCACATTGCACTCTGAAAATCATTTAATGTAAATTCTTTCGTTATTTAACTTGTGTTTGTGGTATTTGGGACATTTGGGACATTGTTGGGATATTTGTGCTTGTGGTATTTTTAGTTATCTTTATTTTCAGCATTTTCAAGACATTCAACAAAATTCAAACAAGAATTTTTTCATTTCATTTTTTTCTTAAAAAAAGAGCGAGAAATAAAAACTTTGAGATATTTTTAAAAGTAAACTATTATTTTTCCTTTCATTTAATATAAATAAATTGTATTAATTTTATGCCAATTTGATTAGAAAAATAATTTTAATCTATATTTGAAAAAAAAAACACTGTTTGATAGATAAAAAATAGACTACGAGTTGCGTCTTAGAAAATTTAAGCATTATTTGGTTTAAGAGCTTAATTTTTCATTTTGGGTATCTCAGCGTCATGATTTGATTATAAAATGCATACTCTTACACTTAATTTGTAAAACATTAAGAAAACCTAAATTTTAAACAAATATAATAAAACTTTCCACATTTAGAAAATAAAAAAAAACGGAAGTAATCTAGTGTTCAAGTTTTCATTCCTAGGAAATTACTATGAATTCATTCATAAGAAAATGTTAAAAAATTTGATTGATAGGAAATTGAGAAGGAATTTCGTGTTCGGGAGGCATTGATAAAGGTTTCCAAGAAATTGATTTGATTCTCCTAAGTTGATGCAAAATACATGACTACTTTTGCATGAACCGATTCTTATAGTGAACTAACCTATAATAATAGTGAATATATAGTGAATTTATAGGGAATATATAGTAATATATAGTGAAACCTATAATTTTGATTGGGAATGGAATTGGGGTTCTAAAACGTATTAAAACTATTTATTTGTTTCCCTTTGGCACTTATATGCTTTAGATTTTCCTGCTTTTAATCGTGTACCATATAAAGAGAAACACAATATTTAAATTTTTTTTTAAATAACTCAAAAAAAAATTTATATATATTAAAAACCAGTATAATTTTTAAATTTACATTTGTTGTCTCTCTGAAAGATTTCAGTATTTTAAAAATTTGTCCTAAACCGCTAACTTAGACATTTCATTTACAATTTTCAAATCCAGCTTATTTGTTTTAATATAAATTACTTTTCAAGTCGCAGGATTTGAGTACAAACTTTTTACATTGCGCTAGTTATTTTAAAAGCTGATTAATTAACTTTTTTATTAACTTTTTTGATTGAATTTATGATCGTATTCTTTAAAATAAATTTTTGATTAAACTACGTTGTTTTTACATTACTTAGAACAATTAAAAAGTTATGATATTCAAAAAATAGTTTAAAATGCAATATGGTTAGAACATTGTAAAATGAAATATAGTGTAGTTTTTGGATTTATGTAAGATTTCTTTCTACATTATCCATTTATTTTCTGCTTGTTTATAACACATAATAAGTTTAAAGTTGAAAATAAAATATAGTAAATTCAGTTATTAAATTAATTAATACATTCTTCTAATTGATAATTCTGTGTTCTTGATTTCGTTTCAGATTAATGATTATTTTGATATTATTGAACAAATTCTGCTGCTCTTTTAATTTTATTTCAAACGTAAGCTTAATTATTGTTTTGTATTTTGAATTTATTAGATGTATGTAAGAATGCTTTGTTTGGCCTTTTGAATTTATTAGATGTGTTAGATAATTTCCAGAGGAGCAAAAGACTAAAAAAATATTTAGGTTAAGAGTTTAAAAGCAAGATAGAAGATATTTAATTTATTAATGCAGTTTCCTCTCATCAATTTAAGGTTTCTGTATTGTTTTGGTCTAAGTTTTACTCATGTAGTGTGTTAAAATTTTTATGTTATGCCAATTTTTTATTGCTTGAATATAGGATTTATCAGTACTAATTTTCATTAGATTAATCTTTTTATTACTATGTGGTTCTACTATGATAGCTAGAAAATATTGTAAAATGTACGTTGAAAACAGAATTTTGTGTCATGATATTTCTATTTTTAAAAAAAAAATCATATCTTTTTAATGCATTGTTTCCAATACATAATAAATTTGAGTTAGAGATAAAACACACGCGAACCTATGTTAAAGCGATTTCAACATACACTTAATACATTATTCTGAATTCACTTTTCGTTTTAAAAGCATGATTTTGATTTAAATTTAGTTTCATTTCAGATTAAAATGTGGCGAATCTTATGTTATATGTATACTTGGGCACAGTTTTTATTTTATTGCAAATCATCAAAATATTGGCAATTTTTTTTCAGGGGATAAAAACTTAACATTGTGTAATAACTTTTTAAGAACAGTTTAATTTTATTAAATTATTGTATAATAAGAACTTTAGATATTTGCTCTCTTCAATGTAGCGTTACAACATTGCCTAGATCAAAATTTTAATATTGCTGTGCATTTTAATTTTATTTACTTGTAATAATATATTTTTATCAATTAAGCTCAGATTTGTTAAATTAATAGTTGAAGAAAGAACTATATACTTACAGTTATATATTTTGTCAATATATCCTGAGTAAGTCAAAGTTGAGAAAAATCACAATTTTTTTTTAAAAGTCACATGAACATAAATTCCAAAGCTATCCGTAAGTAAGTCCCAATGGGCCGAGAGTAAGTACAGCGATAAATTGCACACAATTACAGTTCTGAAGCACCAGTCGAAATCACACAGTTTGCCTTAGTTTGAAGCGTGTCAGATAGATTTATAGCACACATAGAATTAGATAATCAATTTGGAGGAAAATGAAAACCATCCTCGGATTGGTTGATGAGTGACTAATTTTTTGTTGAAAAGGGGAGGAGTTATTTTTGATCAAAAACAATGACGAAACGATGCACGTTATGGTTGAAATGGAGTCTTATGTGATTAATTAAGACTAAGTGAAAACCAAACTAGATTTTGAGTTTTCATTTTCAGCTTTTCAGAGTACGTAACAACAGGTTGTGGGCACGGTTGCAGAACATTAAAAGCGGCATCCCTTTGTTTGGCTTCTTCTTTGTTTGTATAGGAAGGATTCTTTTTTTTTGTTGCTTAGGTGGCTGCAATAATTTAGAACAAAATTTGGTTTCGTTTTCTGGGAATCTCAGATTTATTGTTGTCATTTATAAAACAAGCGGCATCAGCTTGGTATATAATTGAACAACGAGATATTTTTTTTTCGAAATATTTGGTAGTGATGAAATCTATTGTTTTCTTGAGTATTCAGTAAAAGTGAGGAAAAAGTGCTTATTAAATTTATGAACAAAATATAGAATTATTCTTGACTGACAAAATGTTTTTTTTAACACATTTCTCAGAATCGAATACTTTCAGTTCAGAATCATTTCAAAAATTCAAAATTTAAAATTTTCAGATTCTAAATTATTTTTTTAACAAATGAAAAATTTTAAAAATTAATTATTTTTGCGAACATTTTAGTAATTTTAAGTAATTTTAGAAAATATTTTAATTATCTCGTCCTATCCTATAAGGTATAAAAACTAATGGTACTGACTTTTTATGCTTTATGGATTGCATAGTATTCAATAGCATTTTACAATATTTACTTAATCATACTGTGTAAATATTGTAAATGTATGTAAATCTATAGTATGGTTTATTTCCGAAATTATGTATAATCTTGTTAATTAAAATTAATTGTTTTTTTTTCAATTTTTTTTAAATAATAAAAAGATTATTTAATACACATAGGATTCAAATAATTTTTTAATATTTATCTCTACCGCGACAAAATGTCTAAAGCACGAAGTTAGGACCTTCAATATTTTTTTTCTCTTTGTAAGCTTTTTTCATAAATTTATATAAATGGATCAAATATAAAGTCGGCAATCGATTATATAAATTTAGAAGACTTTAATGCAGGTCTGTATTTTTTAATAGAAGTTTCAAAGTCTGAAATGACTTTTGATAATATTTACCTTATGAATTTTTCTCACAGATTAAAACCAAGGATCTGTCTAGGTTTTTTTTCAAGAGGTACAGATTTTGTGAAAATTTAAACATAATTTGTGAAAAATAAAAATTATATTAAAAAATCAATACAAAAATATGGTGATTCTGAGACAGTTTGGCAAATACTTATTCAGCCAATCTCTTTTCTGTGTTTTTATACACAAACACTTAAAACTGTTAAATAGACTAATAAATGTTATTTAAAAGTAATATTTTAAATAAATATCTTCTTTATAAAGACAGTTTAGAATGAAAATTCTTGTATTTGCTACATGGTTAAAACTGTGCAATTCAAGTAACCCTTAAAAATTATTCACTTATTCTTTTTTTTTTTTTAAATAGATCAAAACAAGCATTTAGGAGCAAATTCTAACAACTTAAGATTGTTTATATACTATATACATAAGTAAATGAATTCAATAAATTATAAATAAGTGAATATTTGTCTCACATAAGCAAGCTTCACTTCCAAGCCGCTAAACTTCTGCAATTTATTACCCTTTTCTTCTTCCCTTAGAGATCTAATGAAAATCTAAACATTCGAAAGTCATTTCATGAACTGTTTGCACAGTTCACCATCTCAGAACCATCCATATCAATAATTTTAAGTATCTAAATAGGTTTAAAACTTTCACGCTAATGCTAACACTGAAAAGGTGGCGAAATTTTTTTGCTCCAAAATGGCGGCCAGTTCAGCTCCCTCAGTAGAGAAGCCTCTGCATCACCAAATTTCCAAAGTTATCTGAAACCACGTGTTTATTTTTTTACTGTTATGTTTTTAAAACGTGTTACTAGAAAACTAAATAATTGAAAATCAATAGTAATTGAAATAAAAAAAAGTTTTATACTAAAAACCAAAATGAATAAATAGTACTAATTCGTTGAGAGGAGAATGCCAATATTATTAAGAAGGACGTCAATATTATTATTGACGCCAATGATAATTAATTTTGGTTATAATTACTAATTGAAGTAAAGTAATGAGCTATGTAAAAAGCAAAAAAATAAATAAATAAACAAATAAAATTAAATAAAAAATAAATAAATAAGAAAAGGACTGCGTCACTAAATCAGCATTCCTAAGGTTAGTTGAAACTACGTGTCTATTTTGTTTATAAAATTCTTTTAAAACGTATTTCTATAAAAATTAATTTAAAATAAACAGTAACGAAAATGAAAAAAAAAATAATTATGTATTAAAAGACAGAATTAACGGGAAAGTGATACTAATTCGTTTAGGAGAAACGTAAAAAAATCTCCATACTATTTTTGACTCCCACGATGCTTAATTAATTGAAGTAGTGGAGGCATAGTGAAATAGAAAAAAGCTATTTACTCAAAGGAAAAATTTGTGGAGTTCAAGTTTTTATTCTGTTTGGAAAACCGTAAAAAAGAGCTATTATCGACACCGATGATGTTTATTCAATGTTGATAATAAGTATTAATTGAAATAAAAAAATAATTTATGTAAAATAATTTATATAAAATTAAAGTTAAGGGATAAAATATACTTATTCGTTGGTGGAACCGTAAAATATCGCCATATTATTGTTAAACACCGATGTTTAATTATGGTAATTTAAGTAAAAAAAATAAGCTATTAATTATAAAGCAAAGTTAACGAAGAAGTACTTATTCGCTTAAGAGAACCATAGAAAATCGCCATACCCCTAGTAACAATTTTACATTGGCCCCAGTTGGGCTCAAAATGGGCTCACATGGGTCCCATAAGAGGCATCGAGGGATCTATATTGGGATGTCTAGATTTTTTAATATTGGTCTTAGAATGACTGTCAATATTGGAACAAGATTCATTTCTATCTAGGACCAATATTGAAAAATCTAGACATCCCAATGTTTAACCAACATTAAAAGTCCTTAAAGGTCCGACATAGATAATGATATTGGTACATTATTGAAAGCCATTCTAGGACCAATATTACAAAATATAAACACCCGAATATTATCTTGTAGACTGTAGTTTGAGACACGCGTGTTCAGATCACGCTCATGTGGGGCTAAAGGACCCGTAATATCTGATCTAGACTGAGTATCAACAGCATGAGTGGGTCAACGTCGCTGTCACAAAATACAAGTCAGTTGTTCACTGTGTCCATTTATCCAAGTACGTGTGTTTCTATTGAGGTGCCTGCTTCCATCAAAGCACACGTGTTCAGATCACGTACGAAAGTCACCTATGAAAAGTGTTTGTTGAAACACGCCTGCTTGCGAGCAGCCTTTGTTGGGCAGCTAAGTTTCCAACAATGTCAAATTTCAACAACACGGAGGTACTCAAGATAGAATCAAGTTAACTTACCTTATATATTAGGAAGCTGGAATTTAAAAGTTGTAGTGGCAGTCACGCTATAGGCTCTATATCGTAAGCCTGCAAGGGTCTTATATAGAAACTAATATTGGTCCTATGTTCAAAACTAATCGAGGACCAATATTAAAAAATTTAGACACCCCAAAAGTGACCCTATATTGTAAGCCTATAAAGGTCCTAGATAAAAAATAGATATTTGCCCGGAATATAAAGCCATTCTAGGACCTATTATTACAAAACGTATACACCTCAAACTTGGTCCGATATCGAAAGCCATTCTAAGATCATTTTCCAGAAATATATAAGACCATTATAGACTTGCAATTAAGGACCAGTTTTGTATTTACATCTATTGAACCCGGGAAGACTTAATATATATATATTTCTCTTACACGATAAGATTGCGTAGCAATCTTAGCAAACATAAGATTGCGTAGCAATTTTCGGGTTTTGGCGAGCGTTAGCGAGCAGGGGGGGGCAACCCACTAGTATTTTAATAATATCCATTTCTATATCTAGTTCTTAATAAGTGATTTTCAATGCGAACAAATGTACCCATAACAGATTTTTCTTTTTTTCTCATAAGACGTTATTGTTTATTTCACAATAGTCCAAGTACAATATACACATTCACTTTTTGAAAAGAAGTATTTTTTTCTTTGTTTGTCTATTAAATTTCTGAAAGAACTATCATTCATATAAAATTTTGGTAAAAGTATACAGGACTGAAAGATAATTTTTGTTTAGGATTATTTATTGTGAAATAAGAAAACCATTACGTAAATGCTTTGTCTTAAAAGTCTCAGCTGATTGAAATATTTTGAAAATTGATTGGTTAATAGAGCAATTAAACACACATATTTTAAAAAGACAGTTGCAAAAGCTCTTCAGTTTGTTTATAAGGTTTATAAGGTTGTTTATACGAAATTACTCATGAAATTTCTTTATGTATAATGTAGAAAAATTAAAGAAAAAAAGGTTTTATTTTAGCAAGATGACGTTTTGCGTTTTGCTCTATACTCATAAAATTTAATTTGTTAAATGTCGTAAAATTAAAAAGAAAAAAGTATTATTTTAAAAAATCGACGTTTTACTAAACTCCCAGCTCTCTGAATTCCCATACCACAACCAGGAGATTACACTCTCTCCCAACTTCCACTTCACCACCAGCACGTACCTCTCTACACAACACCACAGCCCACACATACCTCTCTACACAACACCACCAACAAGTGGACTTTCCGTCACGATACATTCTGCTTACACACATCAGATTCGAACTCACTAACCTCGAGCTCTTCAAGCGGCAGTGTGTACTACGCCTTAACCAACTGCGCAGCCGGAGCGCCGATAGTTTTAACACTTTAAAATATCACTTCTGTTTTTATGAACAACATGACGTTTTCTG